AAACCAGGAACTGTCTTCCTCTTACACATGATGGGATTAAGTTTTCAAGCTTCCTGATCTCACAAACCCTCTCTACTTAAGTTGGGACCTCCAGAGAACCTTGGTTCATATGGGTTCTATCCATTAATAGTGACCATATTTGGGAATAAAATAGAGAAAATAGGAAGGTTTTTTTTTTTCATTTAAAATGAGTGGCCATAAAGTTAGCAAACTCTGTTATGTAAAGATTTTTGCTTTATATCTTTTGACAGTTACAGAGAGACATGGTGGGTGGAGGTACTTCTACATAATGGTTCACTCACTTCCCAAACACTGCAAACAGCTTATTTCCAAACGAAGCGCATGCTCAAAACTCCACAGATCACCAACAGATACATGCCCATGCGCATGAGCTGTCCAATGCTGTTTTCTCACCTTGGTAGCAAGGAGCCTGGGACTGCACAGCTGGGACTGTAACCAGTGCTCATATGGAATGATGGGGTTCTAGGCAGCAGTATAACCAGCTCTGCCACAATGCCAGCTCCAACATTTTTTTTTAAAGGTTTATTTATTTTTATTGGAAAACAGATGTACAGAAAGAAGAGGATAAGGAGAGAATGATTATTCATTTACTGGTTCACTCCCCAAGTGGCTACAACGGCCCAAGCTAAGCTTATTCAAAGTCAGAAGCCTACACCAGGTTTCCTTTGTGGGTGGAGGGTCCCAAGGCTTTGGGCCATCTTCCACTGCTTTCCCAGACTACAAGCAGGGAGCTAAAAGGGAATGAGCTACGTGAACATGAATGGTGGCCCTGATGAATGCTAGACTGTAGTGGAGATTAGCCAGTTGAACCAACAGTGGCTCCTCCAACATGAAAACTATTTTATGGGCCTGGTGCAATAGTGTAGTGGTTTAAGTCCTTACCTTGTGTGTACCAGGATCCCGTATGGGTGTTGGTTCGTGTTCCAGTTATTCCACTTCCCATCTAGCTCCCTGCTTGTGACCTAGGAAAGCAAAGGAGGACCGCCCAAAGCCTTGGGACCCTGCACTTTCATGGGAGATCTGGAAGAAGCTCCTGGCTCCTGGCTTCTGATCAGCTTAGCACCAGCCATTGTGGCCACGTGGGATGAACCAACAGATAGAAGATCTTTCTCTCTGCCTCTGCTTCTCTCAGTAAATCTGACTTTCCAAGAAAAATAAAATAAATTAAAAAAAAAACTATTTTATGAAAATATTTTCTTTTTAAACATAAGAATTTGCAGATCTGTTCAGCATCCAGATCCACAGAAGGCTGTTAGATGCGCGGATGTACATTTTGTCCTGCATTTTACAGTTTGTGTAGTGTGGCTTTCTCCTGATTGAGCAACATGGCAGGCCCAGCTTCTCATAGATATATACTTGGAAAAGGACTGTTAGACTTTTCAGTCAAATGGGAATATTGTATGTAAATGATGCCCTCTTACAGGCTAACTGCCATGTGCGATTCTGAAGCCACTTCAGTGAACTTAAGCACGTGTGTTGCATTGTATGTTGCAATCTGTTGATGTACACCTTTCATGTGCCTGACTTTTACATAACTGGTCATTTGAAAAATCTTGGTTCACTAAGTTAATGCAGATATTCTGACATTGTTGAGTCAGTTTATCAACACATTTATGAAGATCCATAGTTGATATCACTGCCCAAGAGTGGGTATTGTAGCACAGTGGGTTAAACTGCTGCGTGGGGCATGAGAGTGTCAGTTCAAATCCCACCTCTTCCCCTTCCAATGTGGCTTCCTGCCAGTGCACCTGGGAAGGCAGCAGGTGATGGCCCAAGTGCTCGCCTTCCTGCTGCCTGTGTGTGATGCCTGTTTGGAGCTCCTGGATTTGGCCTTGCTCAGCTGTGGCTGTCGTGGACATTTGATGGGTGAATCAGTGGGTGGAAGTTCTCAGTCTTGTCTCCTTTCTCTGTCACTCTGCTCTCCAAATCAGTGGATCATTTCTTTAAAAAAAAAAAAAAGAAAAGGCTCACCACCCATCTCATCTCGGAATCTGAAATCTTGAGGGACAGGGTATTAGATAGATGTGTTTCAAAGTCCCGATTTTTGCTCAAAAGCTCAGGTCGCATCCTGAGACACAAATACCACTTTCCTGAAAGTGACAGGGTCACTTCATTCTTTTCGGTAATGTAGCTGCCAGCTGCTCACGCCTGGATCTTGACGATTTGTCTCAAGCTGTTCTTTCAAGTGAAAAAAAAATCCGGCGTTGGAGAAGAAAAAAAAAATTCAAAGATGGTGTTTCAAGAAGGCAGTGGCTAGGTCACTGGCCAGTGTCCACGCACACGCAGGTACCGTTCCATGAGATGGCCAGCAGAGTTTAGCATGAAACAGAAATGCCTTCTGCTTCATCCTAGTATGTCAGAATGGAGGGTGCTGCGAACCGCGGGCTAACATGGTGTTGCTCATTCCCTTTATCAGTGATGTGTTTTGCTAAAACTGGCTTTCCCTGCTCACTGTGACCATGTGGTGGGCGGTGAGTTACACACTGGCTCCCAGGCGCTGGTTTCAGCGCTGCAGTTGGTGCTACCTGACCTTCATCCAGTCTTGCATTCAGCACAGGTGTCGGGACTCTGGGTTGCCGGGGGAGAGACTCAGCTGAGTCTTGGGGTTATTTTGAAGATAGTTTTCACCTCTTTGCAGAGGTCCAGGAACCCAGCAACCTGTACACCCCAACAGGAAGCTGCTGTGCTGGAGGTCACAGAGCAGCATTCATTGCTTGTGGCTGTGGACCTGGTGCCTGGCAGGTCCCAGGGGAGACCTATTGTCACAGGTAAAGCACACTGCAGTTCTTGGTCATGGCCATTCTTTCTCACTTTCCTAAGGGTCTTTTCTTCACCCCAGGGGTCGAACTTGGAAAGTGAGCCTCGGTTTTGCCTCTGTGACTTGGTTTTACCTGAATGGCTCTTTGCTGCTTTCTTTATGTGGGCTCTGCAGTTGAGCTAGTTTTCAAATGTGGTCTGGTCAGATTTAGGCGACCTGGGAGCCCCGGATGTGCTGTTTGAGGGGATGGATGGGGAAGAAGGTGGCTGGCTGCTCAGAGAACATCAGTGGCTTCACTCGGCTTCTCGGGGAGGCCTGCAGCCTGTCACCTAACAGAGAGATGTGTTCTGGACCTGGGGTGGGCTTCCTGACACAGCGCTGTCTGGAAAGAAGGTTCCTTCCCGGCCCCACCGTCCTGATGGGCTGGCCTGTGGCCCTGCTTCCTGTCGCGGCCACTTGCTGACAGGCCACTTCTCGGCCTTCTCAGAGCTCATCTCCTCTCCGACACTGAGAGCTGTGACCCGGCAGTTCGGTCTCTTTTTGTCTCCCCTAATGCAAAGTCAGAGCTCGGAGGCCTTCTCCCGCCCCCTGGGCAGTGTGGGCAGGCGAGTGGCAGGCCAGAGAGAAGACACAGACCGGCTCCTGGGCTGCTGAGCGGCGGAGATGTACAGACTCGCAGCGGTTTTTTATGCCTCGGGCCTGAGGTGTGTTTTTCTCCCACACAGTTCTCAGGCTCCCGCTCAGCATCCCAGGGCTGTCAGGGAAGCTGTGAGGGAGTCTGTTGGCTTCCAGCAGCAGCGTTTTTAGAACACTTTCTCGATTGTGTGGGCGGAGTGTGGTGACTGCCACTCGCTGACAGGAAACAGGGGAGGATTCTGCTGCGTGACAGGGGAATATATCTGTATTTATATGTCTACGTATCTATATCTATGTCTATATCTATATCATCTGTCTCCATCCCCACATCCCAAAATGCTAGCCCCACCTGGCAGTTACGCCGGACGACAGAGCAGGTGGTCCCTGCAACAGCCATGGCGGTGGCAAAAATGTAGCCAAAAAAAATCCCTCAAAATGTTGCCATCTCCAGGGCACAGATTCAGGAGGAGGATTTATTGTTCATATGCCCCAACTTTAGAAATAGCTTCTCACTTAAAAAAAAAAGGTTTGTGGGCTGACACAGTGGCATAGTAGACTAAACCTTAATCTGTGGTGCTGCCACCCAGTTGGATACTGGTTCAAGGCCTGGCTGCTCCACTTCCGACCTAGCTCCCTGCTGATAACCTGGGAAAGCAGCTGAGGAAGACCCAAGGCCTCGGGCCTCTGCACCCATGTGGGAGACCCAGAACACGCTCCTGGCTCCCAGCTCTGGCCCAGCTCTGGCCATTTTGGGTATTTTGGGGAATGAACTAGCAGATGGATGACCTTCCTGTAAATATGCCTTTCAGATAAAAATAAACAAATCTTAAAGAAAAAAAAAAACAGGAGCGCAGGGTTTTTGAGTGTGTGGTTTACTGTGGTGGCTCCTCGGTGTATGAACACGCCTGGCTGTGTCTCCTGCAGCACACCCACTTGTACCTGCATGCTGGGAAATAGCACTGGGCCAGTCATCTGTGGAATGCAGGGCAGCGATAGCCCCGCCAGAGGACAGATCTGTCTGTGAGAGGCAGTGGAGACACTACATGGCACACTGACGTGGTGGGTATGCCAACTGACCAGCCCCAGTGGCGCTGTGTTCAAGACTGCGTGTCTCTCTGCTGCCCGGTGTCATAATGTTTCTGTTCAGCATCTGAAGTGAAATTCCAGGTCGCACCTTTTGCAGTACTTGCAGCCAGCGTTCAGTGCACCCCAGTATGGCGAGTGCATTATGTCACACTTCCAAGTGAAGCCCTTTGAACATGTCCCAAACCTACTGAATTTGAGTGCAGATGGTATTGTGTCCCTGGGCTCCCAGGGCCTCTGTCCCTCATCTTCCTGGACAGTGCCCCTCACGGTGGCAGGGCGTGGTCCATGCCGGTGCATGAATTCTTTGACCTGCCTCTCCTGGAGGGCTGAAGGTGGCCACCGGCCCATGGGCAGGTGGCACTGAGAAGCAGGAGAGTACGACAAGGTGTGTCTCGGCTCCGCTTCCCAACCACATGGCTCTCATGATGGTTTCATGCCAACATATGCTGCTGCACAGATCTTTGCCTCTCGCCACTACCATGCCCTTTCTGTTTTCAAGGAAAGAAGGACTGTCCAAATGCGGAAGATGTAAGCAAGCCTTTTACTGCGACATGGAGTGTCAGGTAGGTTCCAGGCCAGCTGGCGGGGAGGGCCCAACTTCCTTTGGCACTAGGATTCCACCATCGCTGCACTCTGTGTCCCGGCATCCTGGAGCGCGCTTGTGACTGGAGCTGCACAGCTGGGTGGTGGTGGAGGAGTTGGACGCAGATCCCCTTGGGAATGCTGCCCTGGGGTCGACAGCTCCATGACAGTTGGGGTCACATGTAGAACTAGAAACAAGGTACAGGAGAGCTGGCAAAGATAGGGGAACACCAAGTTAAGAGAGCAAGCAGGTGCGTGACCAAGGTGGACAGTCTGGTCTCAGGGTCATCGGTAACAGAGAATATAGAGATGAAAATGAGAAGTATTCAAATGCTATATCGGATACTGAAAAAATGATTATTGTTGCGAGTCTTCATTTTTCACAAATCATTCTAACAGGCTGGCTTCGCCTTGAGCTATTTGCACCTGGCCCGGCTATGGGCCTCGGTGGGCCACTGGCCTGGCTCTGGGCTTCAGTGGGTCTCTGGCATTGCCTTGGGCCTCAGTGCGTCCCTGGCCTGGCTGTGGGCCCCGGTGAACCCCTAGCCTTGGCTGTGGGCCTTGGTGGGCCCTGGCATCGTGGTGCGGCCTGAGGGTGGTGCACTGGGCGGAGCCTGGGTGGTAGGTGGAGCTGGGTTGAGTGGATGAGTCCTCAGTACAGCCTTCCTGTTGTGGCCGTGGGGAGGCAAGAGGGAGGAGTTCCTGTTGGGCCTTCTGAAGGACAAGCTTTCGCAGTTCACAGGGCTCCCCAGGACCCACATGGGCAGGATCCATGGGCAGATGGTGGACATGGGCACGTGATCCCTTTAACTGCTTCAGAGCCGTTTATTTTATTTTTTTAAAGTTAGTCTTTTTGTTTCTAATGTTACTTTTTCATTTATTCGAAGAGCAGTCACAGAAATAAAAAGAGGAGGAGGCGGAAAGAGAGATCGATCTTCCATCCACTGGCTCAAATAGCCACACTGGCTGGAGCTGAACCGTTTTGAAACCAGGAGCCAGGAACTTTTTCTGGGTCTCCAGTGTGGGTGCAGGGGTCCAAAGCTTTGGGCCACTCTCCACTGCCCTCCCAGTCCATAATCAGGAAGTTGGATTGCAAGTGGAGCAGCCAGGACGTGAAGCAGCACCTATATGGAGTGCTAGTGCTTGAAGGTGGAGGATTAGCCAGTTGAGCCACAACATTTGTTTATGTCTTTGAAAGGCAGAGTTAGAGGAAGACAGAGACAGATCTTTCATCCACTGATTCACTCCCCAAATGATGAATGGTTGCTGATAGGCCAGCCAGGAGCCCAGAGCTCCGGTCAGTTCTCCTACATGGGTGGCAGGCACTGACTTACTTGAGCCATCATTGCTGCCTTCCCAGGTGTATTGGCAGGAATGCTGAATTGGGAGTGGAGCAGCTGGGACTTGAACCTGTGCTTCCAAGGATGCCATTGTTGGCCTGCAGTGGCTGCACTATGATGCTGGCCCCCTTTCACAGTCTGTATTTGACTAGTATACATTAGGGTTTTCTAAACTTTCTAGCTTGACCTCTGTATTTGTTCCTTTGTTCTGTAAAAAGGGAAACATGACAGCACCCCAGAACAGCCCCCTGGTATCAAAGGGCAGCTCTGAGCAACAGGGGAGGTTTGCTCTGATCTGAACCTGTTTGTGCTTCTTTGTTCTTTCTGCACTTTGCCATCGTCTCCTCCAGCCTGCCTGGTGATGGTTTCTTTCTCACCTCCAAGTGCAGTTGGCCTCTGAAAGACCTCAAGAGCCTTAGCAGCCACGGGATAGCTGGCTAGGCACACCTTCCCTCTACTGTCAAGAGTTCAGGTGATGGCTACCCCCGACTGCAGAGACACTGGCTCAGGAAAACTCAAGTCCCACCATGGCCCTTGAGGCACTGCGCATGTTTCCCTGTGTCCCGCTGTGCTGGAGCGCTTGCCCTTGCATCTTCAGGGGGTGTGCCTTGTGCCCTGCCTCCTGCCAGCTGTGGTTGGAATCTTCAGCAGCTACATCACCATGGCACTTAGAAACATCGGCCCTGGCATTCACGGTTGGTTATCAGGTGTGCCAGATAATGTATACATACTCCTGTGTGTACATGAGACACTCATAGAATGAACTCATTTCATTCTGGTGTCTCAGGCAAGCGTGGTCAACCACACCCCGTCCAGGGGGTGTAACAAACAGGAGAGCACGTTCCCAGCTGTAGGTCCTGGAGCTGCTGCTCACCAGTGGGGGGCTTAGCAAGCCACACAGCACCTCTGAGTCTCAGGGTCCCCAGCTGAAGACCGAGGACAGCACAGCAGATTTGAAAGTCCTTCATTAACTCTGCTACTCACTCTGTGCAGGGTCCAAGGGTGACTGTGACAATCACAGTCAATGGTAGAGGTGATTTGGTACAAGTTAGGCTGGACTGCAGCTACTTGTACATAAGGAATAAAGAAGACAGCAAACTTGACCTAAGGGCCTTTTTATTTTTAACCCTAAAGAAAGGCTAGGGCTGGGAACTTGAGGGCACTATGGCTGTTCTCTTGGTGAGTAGTGCTTGTCCCGGCATCAGTCTTAACTCCTTCCAGTGAGTGGTTAGTGCATTCATGGAGCCCTCCAATGCCCAGTGCATGGAGTGCCTCTGGGCTTCTGGGTGCCCCACCAAGCTATAATTTGTAGGGCTCCACAGGTAGCAGCACTCTAATGTGTCTCCTTAATCCATCCAGGTAGAGATTTCGGGTGCCCATTATGATTCCCCAGGACCTAATCCCCCTAGATCTGCAGATTCAGAAACCTCATCTGTGAGCCCACGTGGAAGGTGTCTCCCCAAGGGCGAGGCTTGCGTTAGACAGCCACCCCAACCTGCAGGGAGCAGAGCACTTCCTTTCTTTATAGTCCGCACCTCTTCCTCTGAAGAGGGACAGGACGTGGCACGGGTGGTACTGTGTCCCAAGAAGGAGGCAGTGGTCACTGAGTTCTAATGCTCTGACACTACAGCCTGCTGCCTCAGGCCCATCCACTGGAACATTCTCCCAGCTCCTCATCCCGCATCCTAAGCACTGGGTATTCCTGCGATTCTGTTCAGTGCTTCTGCTATGTCTCTAGGGACCAGAGTTCCTCAGTTCCTCCTCCTCCTCCTCCTCTGTGGCAAGCCGTAGCACAGCTCCGGTCCCAGAGGTTTCTGCATGTACAGCAGGGTTTGACATATCTGTTCTGTTTGGTTGATCCAACCACTAAGGGTTTTCAGCCATTACTGCTACAGTGGAATGGCACAGAGAGTCCTAATCAAAGCAAGTGCCTGGATGTGAAGGGTGGCACAGGGGTTTCCCACTGCAGATGCTTAAGGAGGAATCACAAGCACTTGCGTTCAGGAAGCGCTGGGGTAGGATCCAAGTGAAGGCTCTGCTACAGGATAAACGTGACACAACAGCAGCGACAAGGGAAAACCATTGAATTCCTCCCGACCAAAGAGAGCACAGCCCACAGTCGCTGCTCATCCCTCGCACCGGGAGCCAGTGGGTGGAGTACCAGACACAGCAGGCACCACACAGCTGACAGTGCTGCTGGAAAGGAGCTTGTCCGTGCTAGCCCTTTCATCAATAAGAACACAGTTCCGCTGTGATTTGGGAACCTCCCCAAGGTCAGCAGCAAGCGCCCTGGGAAGAGACCTCACCGACTGCTCATAAAGGACTTTCCCCACTGGGTTACCGTGTGGTTAGAAGTGCCGAGGACCCTGTGGGAAGAAGGCCCTTGTAGGAAAGTGTTGGAGAAGTGGCTGTTGATACTGTCAGGTGTCACTTAAGGGTGGGACAGGGAACTAAGAGATGACTCACTGTGTGATTACATCTTGGTGCAGGCTTCATAGAGGGCATTTAACACAAATCAAGATATCTGCAGTGTCCTGAGGTGATATGATCATAGGGGGCTAGCAGGATTGGGTGGATGAGGAAGAGCTGTGTCCACTGTGGCTGTCTTGGTCGGCAGCCTCTGCAGGAGAGCTAGGGCCCACATTTCCTTCCTGAGAGTCCCCTGTTGACCTGGAACAAGGTGTCTCAGGGGCCTAGTCCCTGTGTCTATTCCCCCACCCCACCCCAGGACTCCAGTGCCTTAGGGGTTTGCCATTTGGTTCTGTCTTACACCATTGACATCCTCTTAGTTCACCTGCCACAGTGGAACAGTGCCAGAGGAAAGATTTTAATTAATGCTGCATGAAAGAGGAGAGGAAATATAAAAGAAGTAGAAATGCCTTTTTAGTTAGGTTTGCTGTTTGGTAACCTGTGTGTTTTAATGAACTCTATTTATTTTTATAACTATGCCTGCAAAGCTAAGTCTGTTATTCACTCAGACTTCATTAAATTGGACCATGGTATGTACAAGAGAGTAGTTTTAGAATGTTAACATAGAGACATGTAGCAGAAGAATCTGGGGGTCTATTTCTTCATTGTTAACAAAAATGAAGGGAGAAAATTTTAAAAGAGATTTATTTTACATATTTGATAGGCAGGTTTACAAGAGAGCAAAGAGGAGAGACCGAAAGAAAGAAATTTTCTCTACTGATTCATTCCCCTGAATGGCTAACGCCAGAACTAGGCAGTGGCAAAACCAGGAGGCAGGAGCCTCTTCCAGGTCTCCCGCAAGGATGCTAGGGCCCTCAGCTCTTGGGCCAGGCCATCTTTGATGCTTTCCCAGGCACATTAGCAAGGAGCTGGACTGGGACTGCAGCAGCTGGGACTTGAACCAGTGCTCATATGGGATGCCAGTGATGCAGGCTACAACCTAACCTCTGTATACCACAGCACCAACCCCCCCCCCCCAAATTAATTGCAAGAATTAATTTAAAACAAAGTAGAAGCAGGAAAGAGGGCATATCCTGATAGGAGAAATGTGTATATGAGGAACCTCGGACTAAGGATGTGGGGCAGTTCTAGCTGTAAGTGTGCGCTGGCCAGTGCCTAACTGATGCTTCTCTGACCCTGAGTGGGGTCTTATTCTCAGGCTCAGTCCTGGTGAAGTCCTCTCCAGCCCAGCCTTGGAAAGCACATCTTAAATCTGGGACCCTCTTTTCCCATAGATGGTCAGCAGCGGCATCCCTGGAACTGTGTGAATGGTCCAGTGCACGTTCACTCTTACTCAACAAAAACAAAGCACACACCCAGTGGTGCTGACTCAGCAGGGTAGCATCCAGCTGATTCCTTCTGCTGTCAGAGATGATGGACGTGGGCGTCAGAAATCCTAAAACATTTCTTCACAAGAAAGCTCATGTGACATGCACACAGCACACACTTTGGAAAGTTCCACAAGGCAAATAGAAACACCAAATGTTGGGGCCAGCACAATGGCTCAATTCGCTAAGCCTCCACTTTCAAGTGCCAACATTCCATATGGGTACTGGTTTATGTCCTGGCTGAGGTACTTCCCATCCAGCTCCCTGCTTGCGGCCCGGGAAAGCAGTAGAGGATGGCCCGAAAGCCTTGGGACCCTGCACCCTCGTGGGAGATCAGAAGGAGGCTCCTGGCTTCTGGCTTCAAGTCTGTTCAGCTCCAGCTGTTGCAGCCATTTGGGGAATGAACCAAAGGATGAAAAGTCTTTCTTTCTGTGTCTCTCCTTCTCTCAGTGGGTCTGGCTTTCCAATAAGTATAAAAAAAAAATTCAAAGAAAATTGAACTGATATTAGAACTGACAACTGGGCCTGGTGCCATAGCGTAACGGCTAACATCCTCACCTTGGAACATGCTGGGATCTAATATGGGTGCCGGTTCTAATCCTGGCGGCCCCGCTTCCCATCCAGCTCCTTGCTTGTGGCCTGGGAAAGCAGTCAAGGATGGCCCAAATCTTTGGTACCCTGTACCCATGTGGGAGACCCGGAAGAGGCTTCTGGCTCCTGGCTCCTGACTTCAGATTGGTTCAGCTCCAGCCATTGTGGTCATTTGGGGAGTGAATCATTAGACGGAAGATCTTCTTCTCTCCGTCTTCTCTCTGTTTATCTGCCTTTCCAATAAAAACAAATAAATCTTAAAAAAAAAACTGACACTCAATAGAAAAATAAGACAAACAAATGCTGTCACTTTTGGGAAGTGCCACATTCACTGTTGCCATGGCTCTTTGCATCCAATCAGTGCTGATCAGGAGGTGTAAAATCTCAGACTGCGAGCTCTGGACCTGTAAAGTGACTTAAGGATCATATTATTTACAGCTCAGAAGGTGGGCACCGCAGGGTGTAAGAGGCCTGCCTGGCTGTAGAGTGGAACCAGAGTGGCCCACACTGGCATGCCCCTGGTGTGGTGGCAGGCCACCATTCTCCCAGCAACTACCTGGCGGTTGGGTTCCCTTCCCTCTGAGGACATTTGTGTCTAATTGCCAATATGATGTGTTACTTATTGGCCACACACCGAATCCGACATTGACTTGGACTGGGACTTCTCAGCTGCTGGAATTACGGCAGATAAATTTCTGTCATCTTGTAGCTTCCCAGTTGGAGCAGCCCAAACAAACCAAGCGATCGGGGGTGCCACCGTCTGGTGGTGCTCACGATCACATGAGGAGAATAAGGCTGTCACTAAGTCAGTTGTTGAAAACCAGTTGTCAAACACTGTGCAGAGATGTTCCAGGAGAGAGAACACCTCTTCAATAGCAGCTGAAACTACGGCTGTTGGTGCACACACTCATGAAAATCCAGTGGCATTCTCCAAAATCTATTTTGACTTCTTTCCAAGCCCCAAAGGCAGATTTACAGGGATGCATCTTTCAAGTCTCTGATGAAAACACAAAGACATGAGTTTCTTTTTTAGGTTTTAAATAACTTGTATTACAGCATATTGTTAGAACTTTTTAATTATCAGTAACAGTTATTCATCTCTCATTACTCTGATTCATGTATTAAACTTTTCAGAATTTATGCAAAAAGATTTCCAGTTAGTTGCCACAATAAATTGATTGTGTTCATACACAGCGAGTTGTATTGCGATGCATTAATGTTTAAGTTCCTTCTCCCTGGAGCCCACTGTTGCTCTCAGCAGTGAAGCACTCACCCACAGCTGAGATGAGCAGCAGCCTAAACGTCCATCAAGGACACAGAGTCTGAAGTCAGATGACTCATAGAGCTCCTGGGGTCCCAGCTGCCCTGTTTGTATTTTCCTCTTGCCTCCACAGGGATGCGTGGGGTTTGTGGGCACTGTGGGGGCTGCAGGAATCTGGACCCACCCATTTTGTTTCCATTCCTGCATCAGCACTCCATGCTCATTTTAGGCCTTGGCTAAAACCAGAGCCTCTTCCCTCTTGGGCATATCTGGTCGTTTTTTTCTCTCCCTGCCCTTAGTTATATTCAGCACAGCATTATTTAACTCTGTGGAGCTCTTTCATGGCACAGCCCTAGAAAGCCAGGGGCTGCGCTGAGTTACTACATAGATCGTAAAGTGACATTGAGTTCCACCTTCGCGGGGTCAGGGTGGGAGGAAGAAACAGTGTGACATCTTTTGCTCAGCAACCTCATCTGATGCCTAGGTGAGGTGTCAGGCACAGATAGAGGTTCTGGGTTCTGGTTTTTATTGAAGGGAGACAGATCCTAAGCCACCCAATTGATAAATGTGTACCCTTTTCAGCAGTGAGTCAGGAGAAAATGCAGAAAGCAAGACATGGGAGAGTGGTGAAGGAAGTGGTGTTTTTGACCAGATGATGATGGGCAGGGATCCTGAGATGGTGGCACTGGAGCTGGGCAGAGAGAGGAAGAAGGATGGGAGCCACTTGGGAGTTCTGTGCTAGCCAGGTGACAGCAGCAAGTGCAAGAGGTAGAGCATGGCTGGGTGTATCCAGTGTCCAGGACACTGCTGTGGCCCACGGAGGAGAGACAAGAGGGTTAGAACAATGGAAGGGGAGTGCCAGGCATGCGGGGCCTCGCAGGCTCTCCCTAAGACCTCACCCGTTGCCATTAGATGGTTCTGAACTGAGGACTGGCCTGATGACTATATTGCTTAACAGGATCCTTGGCTGCTCCGTTGAGCTTGGTCCATGGTGCAGGGGCAATGAGCATGGTCAGAGAGGGCAGGGCTGCAGCATGCTAGGAAGGAGGGCTGGGGAGAAGAGCCCAGAACCTAGAGGTCCTCTGAGAGTTGCTGGAGGGCAGCTGCTGGAGGAGCTGTGCCAGGATGATTCTGTCGTTGGAGCCGGGGAAGACTGCGGGCAGAACAGGATGAGGCCCCATGTCCCTATGCTGGAGCACATGTGTACGTGTGCCCGCCTGCACTCAGTCCTCTCCCTCTCTGCCCTCTCTTGTTCCTCCCAGGTCTCGTGTCTGCTCTCTGTTCTCAACAGCCTCTAACTTTGGCTCTGCCAAAGCTGGTTCTCATCAGTCAGCGATGACCATACTGCTGCCAGATCGCTTCTCAGCACCTCACATGCCACCTGTCACCAGCCTTCATCTCACCATTTACTCCCTAGAACTCAAACTACTTTTTTCCTTTGGGCCTCTAAAACTCCTCTACACTTGCTGCTGCTCTCCCTACTGTCCCATTTCACCTCGCACTGCCTGTGCCTCTCTTCCCCCTCAGTGAATTTGTGTCCTTCCCTCTCCACATGGGACACACGAACCTCGAAACATGGGAAAGGAGGAATACAGGTTCTGTTGTTCATTGAGTCTTTGAATATCTTGTTCCCACATGTTACTGATAGTTGCCCTTCTAGGCCTCCTGATGGCCCTTGGCAAAGCGTGCACTTGTGTGTGTGTTCCCTAACTCACCTGTAGGAGGTGCTGTTTGCCCCGGCATGAGGACAGATCCAGAACAGAACCATGGGAGAGCAGAGCCAGAATGGGGGCTAGATCCCAGGACCCTCGCCTCTGCAGTTGACAACTTAGGCAAATGATGGAAAGTTGGGGTGTGTGTGTGTGTGTGTGTGTGTGTGTATCTTAGGTAATTGTTTTCAATGTTCCCAGAAAGAAGACTGGCCCATGCACAAGCTCGAGTGTTCTTCCATGGTGGTTTTTGGGGAAAACTGGAATCCCTCTGAGACCGTAAGGCTGACAGCCAGGATTCTGGCCAAACAGGTGAGAAAGCGAGGCCATGGTCAGGTGCTTTTTATTTTGTTTCTTTCTTCCAAGGTCAGGAAGGCAAATAGTTGACCCATGGTGACTGTCTTTTGTCTGACATTCTTGGTCTTCGCTTCCTGTCGGAGCCATATGGACAGGGGGAAAACAGTGCTCCAGGCAGCTGATTCATTGTGCCCCTCTGTGACATGAGGCTGCAGCATACTCTAGGCCAGGCTCACGTGGGAAACCATGGCGATCCGTGGCATGAAAGACCTGGCTGAAGATCATCAAAGCTTCGTGAGAAACCAAACTGACCCAAGGAGCTTTGAGCTCTTGCCGTGCTGCCTGTCTGGCTGGGAGTGTGCAGCTTGGTCACCATCCTGTGCCACGGCTGCCTTCCTCTGGCCTCTTACTCTCTTCCTCGTGTCTGTGCAGGCAAGGAGGTGGCAAATGCCAGGAAGAGAAGGCACTGCGAGGCAGCAGCTGAGGCAAGGAGAGGATGGGCGGAGGAGGATTAAAAGGGAGCAGAAGGAAAGAACAACATCGCCATGGGGCAGACTAGACAGCCACCAGATGTGATCTGCAGAGGAGAGGGAGACGCTGTGGGATTTGTGCTTGACTTCCCGAAGGGGCAGCACGGAGCTGAGGAGCAGTGTGTACCACGGGGGTCTTGCCTTGCCCTGTTGGCAGAGAAGCAGGGGGCAAGGCCTCTTCTGTGCCCTGACTAATCCACAGCCTACACAAACCTGCCCATCCCCTCGCTCCTTCAGCATGGTCTCTCTCTGTTCTCAGCCAAGTGAGATTCCAATGGTTAGCATAGATCTGTGTCCGGGCCAAGGTAGGATCCCTGGCTGCAGTAAATAGGACGAGAACATTCCCCAGCCCTGAGGTCATCATCCAGCTCTGCTCGGCCTGGGTCAGTTGCCTGCCCAGACACCCCTTGGCCAGCTCAGAGCCACTCAGAAGCACCCTGGGGATGAGGCTGGGGAGTCAGGGTTATGGTCCCAGGGGGAGTTCACTTTGGGGTTCTCAGAAATGGTCATCTTCAGGTACACACAGGGTAGCGGGCTGCAGGGGAGACGGATGGGGCTGAGTTAGATCAGCAGCAATCTCTGCATTTGGGAGGATTTCAGAGCCCAGCCTGAAGACGACTCTCCCCTCCTACTGACTTCCTGAGGGCTGCTTCTGTGGCTGTGGGAAGAATTTAGAAGAAGCTGGGGCGCTTTCTTGAATGAAAAGCTCTCCCTGGGTGAGGTGACTTACTAATCTTAGAGACGTACATCCGGTGAATGGAAGATTTCTGCTCCCAAAAAAGAACCACTGAGATGTTTTGGCACCAGGTGGGCAGGCTGAATGGCCCGATGAGTTTATGCGAGTTTCGTTCAACTTAGATTGTAATTACTGCTACTACTAATAGTCTGCAAAATGAAAAGTTACCTGACCATCTTTTTATCTCTCCAGGACTTGATGATTAAAAAAATCAGACCATTGGTATTCTAGTAGCCTGCAAAGGATTAGGGGAGACCGGCTACCCCACTTCCGAGGGGAAGCCTGACATGTTCACTAGGGAGGTGAGAGCCCAGCTAGACCACCTGTATCCCCAAATTGAATAGCTAGATTACAAAGACGAGGCCTCAGGCCAGCTCCTGAGCTGCGCGTTTGAACTCTTGTCAACACCAAGTTTATTCATGTGCTCAAAGCCTAGCAGGTTTACTATTGTTAGCGCCTCTCGGGGTGTCCAGAACAAAGGCAGCCACGCGTTTCAAGTGAATCTGTCCTAACAGACACAACCCAAAAAGTGTTCTTTTTGAAACACAGAATTCCAGATCATTTTAGCTTATGCTTAAAGAAAGTGTAAAATGGGTTGGGGGGGTGATTTTGTTCCTTTTTAAGAGCAAGAAATAATAAATAGGATGATTTGTCTGTAGACTTGGTCCTTTTTAAAGTAAGAGCCCTGAAAAAGAAAAAGAAAACGTTGGTTTTTTTGGCCATGCTCTTCCCCATAAGCAGTGCTTGTGAGCCTACTGTGTACACAGCTTCTCAGGTGCCTGGGAGGAGGTGGGCATTTCCCAGAGAGCATCCCCCCAGGGGGTGACCCCGTGTATGGCACCAACACCCAGAGCACTCAGGCCAATCGCTCTCAAGGCTTCCTCGAGAATCGTGGTTCCCTTTTCAATGCTCATGTAAAAGTGACAGGTCCTGGCTGGCGTTGCACATTGCACATTCAAGTCTGTCGCTGACTACCCACGTCCCAATTTCTAGAAAAGCCACCCGGAGAGAACACCGTCTGAGAAGTTGCTGGCCGTGGAGGAGTTTGAATCCCGTAAGTCAGTGCACACCTGGCCGTCTGGCTGTGTCAGCCCCGAATCAGAGGTGGCATGGGTGGGGTGGCTGAATGGACCCTAGGAAGGAGGGGCCTGTGCTTGCAGGAGCAGGGGTGATCATGAAAAACTGTTAGCAATTATTTTGACTTGACTGTTTGAAAAAAGAAGCAGCAGCAGCTTCTGTCTTTCCGAGTTGCCAAGGATCATCAGGAAATAAGTAGGGGCAGCTAGGAGCAGACTAAAGGGATGACTGCATCCCAAGCCATCTCCCGCTGGCTCTCCTGGAATACTGCATGGCTTTGGGTCTTGGCTGAATTACAGTCCTGTAGAGAGCTGATGCCCTTAGCTAAAATTCGTTATCTCAGGGGCTGTCCAATGGCTTGACCACAGTGCTCGTGCCAGGGCCAGTCACAGATTCCAGGGGTGAGGGCCCCCATGAGGCTGAGGCTGGTTGACCAAGTTAGCTGCACTCATGGTCCACCTCCCTGTAAATGGCCAGCAGGTATTTCACAGACTGAGGGTCTTCTCCAAAGAGGAGAAAGAAAAGGACTTCATTGAGTTTTCTGGGACTCAGCATGTTGGCTTTTGTATTCTCCCCTTTTCTCCATACGAGGTATGGTAAGAAGAGGGTGGAGCTATAAAACGCAGGGTCTTCCTCCTCGTGATAACACGTCGTGTATCCGCAGATCTGGATAAGCTGGACAATGAGAAGAAGGACCTGATTCAGAGCGACATCTCCGCTCTGCATCACTTCTACTCCAAGCACCTTGAGCTCCCCGACCGCAGCAGCCTTGTGGTGCTGTTCGCCCAGGTGAGGAGCCCTTCTCCCGCTGCACTCCACGGGCAAGCTCCTGACGGTGCTGCCGCAGGTCTGCATGGAAATGAATGACAAGATAGGTGTACTTTGGGGCACACATTTTTTTTTTTGAAACCCACACAGAGTGCTTTCATCATACAGACTTTCTGTGAGTTTTCTGAAGCCCCTCATACTGGAAGACGGGGCCCTGGGCCCACTGTCTTCACCACCTTGCAGGGTGACCTGAACGTGTCAAGCTGGTCACTGCTTGACACTGCTTGACACAAGCTGGTCAGTTCCAGGACCACTCTCCCTGACCTGAGGTGCTCAGCCAGGTTTCTGCCCATCCACACCCACATATGCTCCTCAGTAAGCTGAGCATCTGGCTCAGGTGAACTTCAGTGGGAGAAAAGGCCTAGATACTGTTCCAGGGACATACAGCCACTCCCTTCCCGCCAGAACCCACAGAACTCGGGAGGATCCTGACATGCTTTGTCTTAGAATTAATGTCACCTTTGTGCCCTTTGACCTCACGATCCCATCTCCAGGCAGAAGCATCAGTGATTATGTGCAGAAAGGAACAGGCAAGCTACCCTATGGTAGGCTTCCTTTAAAGGTCAGAGGACAGGGCTTGGTGGCATGGCCTATTGGCTAATGTCCTAGCCTTGAACGCACCGGGATCCCATATGGGCACTGGTTTGTGTTCTGGCTGATCCGCTTCCCATCCAGCTCCCTGCTTGTAGCCTGGGAAAGCAGTCAAGGGCAGCCCAAAGCCTTGGGACCCTGCACCAGTGTGGGAGACCTGGAGGAAGAAGTTCCTGGCTCCTGGCTCCAGATTGGCACAGCACCAGCCATTGTGGTCACTTGGGGAGTGAAGCATCGGACGGAAGATCTTCCTCTCTGTCTCTCCTCCTCCTCTCTGTATATCTCTGACTTTGCAATAAAAATAAATAAATCTTAAAAAAAACCAAAAAGGTCAGAGGACAAAGAGAGGAAGGGGGCTGGAAAAAGGCGGGGGGGAAGAGATCATGTCAGGGCCAGCAGCCAGGGTGTGGTGAGATGAATGATAACATGGCCATTCGGTGCCAGACTAAGGGGCCTGTCCAAAAGTGTGGGAAGAGGGTGATCTGTTATCTTACTAATTACAAAACCAAGATGCGAAAACAAACCAAAAAACACATGCTGAATATGAAAATACTTGTACATTTTTGAGAAATGATGGAATAGAGTTCACAGTGGATTGTGTTTGGAGCTGTAGACCATTTTGCTTTTTTCCCACTGAGTGATTTTTCTGGATTTTCTACATTAAGCACATGAAACTTTAAAAAAAATGCTACAAAGAGCAGCAAGGTTAAAAGCAAGCAGAACGGGGCACTGAACATCCCCAGTAAAGTCTGGAGTGCAGTGAGAGCTGCAGCTCCAGCCCCCTGCCTCCGGCATCCTGCTCTGCCACCCCCAACCTCGTGTCCGCTGCACCTGCCCCACACTCTGTCCCCTACCCTCCTTCATGGCCCTGCTGCAGCTGGCAGCCTAAGGTGACTGTGCCACCAGCATGGAGGTGTGCTGTAATTTCTGGGAAGATGTGTGTGGCTACAAAGTATATTTTTGGTGTGCAGCCTAAACTAGTCTAAATGCTAATTGTGAGAATAGCTCTAACAAGGCACTTACGCCTGATTTGACTTAGGAAGGAAAAAGAAAGGACTCTAGCCCATACATCTTTCTTAATGTGCGAGTTCCCTTCTCATCCCCTGGGGAGATTTGCAGAAGGGAGAGAAGGCTGGCAGGGAAATTGCTGTGCAGTTTGGCTCCAACCCCATCACCACTCCCCAAAAGGGATAGTAAGTGACACTCAGCTTATGAAGAAATACGCGGTAAAGGCAGTGGCAGTGGGGGCTGGGTGGGACAAGGACTGGCTGTGCTGGCACACTGGAGCCTGAAGGATGCCGCAGTCACAGACTGGCCCCGCTGGGCTTGCTGCAGAGGAGAGCACTGCGGAGCCAGGCACTCAGCCCCTGGAGCGCTCAGGTGCCGTCTGTCCAGAGCGCAGTCCTGCAAGCTTGCTGATTCCTCGCCTCCTTCCTGCAGGCATCTGTTGTCTGGCACGAGCACCAAGCATCCGAGGGCCCAGGGGGCGGGAGGGTCTGCGTTAGTGTCCAGCCGGAGAGTCATCTACAGCGTTCAATGCAGAACACACCAGAGTTCATGCTGCAGTGCCTTGTGCCGTGTGAATGAAAGCCCTGATGCTGCACCTGCCCCGTTGGTTCACGGCCACCTGCTGAGGGTGATGGGATAGCGTCCGAAGGCTGAATTGGCCAGGTCTATGCAGTGGACACTATACTCTATACTAGATCACTAAGGCTTCCACTGGAAAATGCCCAACCTCTGAGTGCTTTAAAGGCTGCGCCTCGCTCTCACCCTCCGTACCCTCACGTTTTCCTTGTTCAGTGTTGAATGGTCAGTCCAGCCAGGCAAACCCACCCTGGCCCTTGTCACCTATGTGAGCGCCTTTGCCCTCGGCCTTTCATTTTGAGATGAAATTGCCATGTTGGCATTCAGTCAGAGCCATTAGTCTTGGCAGAAAGCAGACTGTGGCGCGGGAGTGACTTGTCTGAACCCCCTCCCAGCATGCCTCTCTGCTTCCCCGGGGACTCTGGTTTTGACCTTGTTGTCTGTCAGGAAACATGGACGAAGAGTGAAGTTTGAGAACTGCTGGCATAGTTGGTCCCGGCTTTGAGCCTGCGCCCTCTAAGCTGATGCTCCCCGGGGACGAGGTTTGCCTTAGGTATTCAGTGCCATGCTGCTTAGCAAGGATGAGAAAGGAGCCTGCCATCCATTTGGCTGCCAGGAAGGCTGGCGTTTCCGTGCCCTGCCGTGTCTCTAGTCCCTGAGCCGCAGAGAAGGACAGCAGTCAGGTCAGACAGGTAAGGACTTACACAGTGACCACTCCCCTTGACAGAAGCATTGGATTAATTTTTTATTCTTATTTTCATTTTCATTTTATTTATTTATTTTGAGGATGAAAGGACTCGGCAGTGGGCCCCAGATCACACCATACAGCTGTGGGTAACCAGGTCAGATTCCAGCTCGCTAACACAAGTCCCCGGAGCCCTGGGATCTGGGGCAAAACTGGGAAGCAGGTCGACTGGCTGCACCAACAGGCGCCTCTGCCAACAGCTCTGCCTGGGTTTGTCTGTCTGTGGGGCTGATGAGTGAATTGTTTGCACAAAGGATACTCTGGGCAAAAGGGAGCTTGTCAGACCACCCGAGTGGTTCTTGCTAGTTAATTTGTTAAAGGTCAAAGTTAAAGCAGAGAGAAGCTATAGCTCTCTGACCCTGTCTTCCCCCTCTGACCGCAGGTTAACTGTAACGGCTTCACCATCGAAGATGAAGAACTTTCTCACTTGGGATCCGCGATATTCCCCGAGTAGGCTGAGCTTCACTTCATTTCTCTTCTTTGTACTTGTTTAACACTAATTTGATTTTCTTTCTTTCATGGTTTGTTTGGTTTTTCTTCTTTTTTTTCTTTGATTTCTTTTTAATATAACTCGGCTAACTGCATGTGGCAGATGTGACTCTCTGAGGGAATTAAGACAGCCTTTTAATCTGCCAGATTTCAAAATATCTCCCCTACACTTCAGGCTCTGAAGGCAGTAGTTAAGAGGACTTCCTTGTTAAGTCCTGCCAGGCTGAGCTGCTATTCGGGAACGTTTTCCAGTGTGCAGAAGGCACAGCCGGGGTCCTGCTGAGGAGTTTGCTTTCTGCATCACCATGGTTGTGGCACTCTGAGTTTCTTATGCTCAGAGTGAATGTATTAATTGCCAGACAAGAACCGGCCATAGGCTCATGTGGCTGAGCTACTTCTCCATCTTCCCTTTAGGGAAGATACTGGTTCAGAAATGGGCTTAGAGTGGGGGCAGGATTTGCTAAAGTAATGACCCAAAGGAACAGTTCAGAGAACTGGTGGATCTTTCTCAATAGTTATGGAATACCCAGGTAATGCAAGGAAGACTAGGCAGTACGCCAGTGGAGGCCTTGGTGGGTCTGACCCCAGCAGCTTGCCTCGAATGGCTCTCCTCTGAAGTTGAGCCTCACTGCATGGTGGGAAGCCTGGACACTGGGCTGCCTCCACCAGCCCACCCAGTCTGCAGTGTAGAGCGGTTCCTCCCAAAGGCAGGCCGCGCACTGCTGACTCCCCTGGACACCTGCTATCCAGGCATACGTGTGTGTATGTGCTGTGGGTCACAGGGAGGAGCTGCAGGTGCAGGTCCCTGCCTGGTGAGTGACTGTCACAAAAGCCCTTGGACCAGAGATAGAAACACTGACCCATACGAGTTCCCTGTCCCCAGTGCCAGTGCAGCATCACCTGCAGTTAGAGCTCCGGTTGGAGAAGGAAGATGTTGCTGCTTTGGGAGAGGCTTTTTCAGCCTCAGCCCTCGGGAGGAGGAGAGGGGAAGCGAGTCCTTGAGCCGCCTGACAAAGGCCCGTGCCTGCAGCTTCAGGCCTGGCGGGCCCCACGGTGTCTGTGCCTGTGGTCACTCCTCTCCAAGGTGGCCAGAGTGAGCTGACCCCAAGCACTCCTGTTGTTCTGGGGTCTCAGCCTTAGAGTCTGTTCTGGAAGGACCAACTCAGTACTTTTGTGAGGCAGTCCTGGGATCTGCTTTTCCTTCCCATGCAGCCACCCTTCCAGTGTGCCTCAGTATACCTGACTGCACATCCCTCCCTGGGTCGCCAGGTGGGCTGAGGTGCAGAATGGAGGTATCTCTGGGGTCCAGGGGAGTTGCTGCCTGCCCTTCTCGGGCACGAGGCCATCCACAGACCTGCAGCCCCCAGGAGGTGGTGAGGGCCACGGCCCACCCTGCACCTTATCCTCTGCAGTCTCCACAGCCCCCATTCCCTTGTTGTATTCTCAGGGTGCGCCCAGGAGTGGCTGTGGTCTCTGAAGGGTGGGATAGGTGACTCTGGTCAGCATAGCCGTTATGCCTAGGGACACAAGTACCCAAATGAACTTGAAACCGTTTCTAAGCAGTTTTAATTAGGGTGGGGGTGGGGAGAGGGAGTCCCTTTTAGGCTGAAATCATCTTAGTCTTATGATTTCAAAGGCAACATTTTCAGAGATCAAGCACTTTCCCCCTGTAGTTTAGAAATTTCTGTTCTCAGAACTTTGACCTTGATGTAACAGGAAAGCTCAAAGCACCTCACATGGGCAAAACCTCTTTCCCTCTTCCTCTCTTTTCCTTGCGCCCTTGCTCCCCACGTCCTCTCTCCCTCCTCCTCGTTGTTTCCAAAAAGCAGACAGTGCAGTAGGAGCAGTCCTGCTGACTTCTAGATGAGGAAACTGAGATGCAGAGAGACTCAGCCTGGCTTCTCCGGGGCTGGGGGGATCGCCGGGGGCAGGTGGCATCTCCCAGCCTACCCACTGAGCAGTGTCCCAGGGAGGAGCCGCAGACGAGGGAGGGGCTTTAGGGTTTGGTTCCTGAATTCCTAGAGGGCATAGTTAGTTGTAGCACTAGCTTTCTGTTGTGTAGTTAGCTCCATTCTGAACTGCAGAAGGTGCTTTCCAGTAGAGTTAGTTTGGCTGTTACTCTGAGTGCCTGCAGGACCCCCGGGCACGGGATGCCAGCTCTGAGCTTTCATGGAACGCCAGAGGATGACTGAGTCCTGTCATGTAAAGTGGAGAGCCGTGCCCCCTCCTCACCCCACCCCCGATGTGTGTGCCGTATTCAGAAGACTGGGATTTCTCCTCTGATCCATAGTGTCGCCTTGATGAACCATAGTTGTTGCCCCAATGTCATTGTGACCTACAAGGGGACCCTGGCGGAAGTCAGAGCTGTGCAGCAAATCAGCCCCGGTGAGGAGGTGAGTCCGTTGGCCATGCAGGGCTGGGACGGGCGCTGCCGTTGAGCAAGTGACCCAGGCAGTGTCACTTGTCACCTCTGGTGCCAGCCATGAGTGATTTCAGCAGTCACGTTCTGTCCGTCTGCAGGGGAGCAGGGTGGGGGTGGGGGCGGATGTGAGCGATCAGATTCACGAGCCATGGTGGACAGTCCTGTGTCCGGGGCTTCTGCATGCTGGGCATCATTCTCGTCTTTTGCTTAAGAAACAGGAGAAATAAGCTAACTAAATTTGCGTGTGTGTGTGTGTGTGTGAGTATATGTAAGTTTTTTTTTTTTCCTTCAACCAGTAGTGTTGGAGAAAGGTGCCTGCTGGTGTGGACTCTTGTTGTGGCTTGATTCTCTTGAGTCTGTGTTTCTCTGACTGCCACTCAGAGAGCTTGAGCTGCCCTGTTGATCGGGGTCGGGGAGGGAGGGAGGGACCTCGCCTGTTCCTTCTCGCTCACTGCCAGAGGACTGCGGTTACCCAAAGGGAGCACACTGCCCAGCCTGTGCCCGGTCAGAGCTTCGGGTTTGAGGTCACCGTTTAGGAATATAATTCAGGTCACTAGTTGTGTGCACTGCTGGGGAGGGAAGCAGAAGCAGTCTATGGTAAAGAGATCTTATCTCCCTCTTGGGACCCGCAAAGATGCGGAAAACCAGGCATCCGTCCCCTTGGTGCCTGCCCGGCCTGCCCAGTGCTGGGCACACCTGCACTGCATTCCCAAGTGGATGCCTGGGCAAGTCCCATGGATGTTTAAGGGTTGTCATCAACACGTCTCAGCTCAGTCAGTAACTCACACAGCGATCAGTGCCTTTAATGAAGAATGGTTTCTCTGGAAGCTGCTAACATCCCGGTGCACTGGGACGGGAGCCCCGCTAAATGTAAATCCCCACAGGATGAGGGAATCTCACGTGGGCTGGGTGTCTGGGTTTCCTCAGTGGGGAGGTTGTTCTTGGGCTCCAGTTCTGGGAGCCTACAGGAGAGGAGCCCGCTCTCCCCTCCTGCAGCTCAGCCTGAGCAGTGACACTGGAGTGGCCTTTGTCGCCATCTTCTGGCATCTTGTGTTTATTGCACTGTGTCCATCTGTCATTTAAAAGGGAAATCTGGGCCAGGCCAGCTGCTGTTTCTGTCTGCCCTGTGCTGTCACAGATCTACAGTCAGTGCTTTGGGGTTCGCCTTTCTGAAGGGAAGGAGCCCCTTGCAAGGTGTGAGAAAGACTCCCATCGTGCGCTTTGGACTGGGCAGAGTAGAGCTGCCCTAGCAGTGCCAAACCTAATGTCTGGCAGTGCCCAAGGTCACTGGCATGCCCAGCAGTAGTGTGAAATACACCAGGGCTGGCAGACGTTTGCCCATTTGTGTGTGTGTGACGGGGGGCGCATCTCAGGTGCTGGCTGCCTGAGTTCCACATCTTAGTTTCAGACCCTGTTACCAGCAAGGACAGGAAGCTGCAGAGCCGCAGGGGGCAGCTGCAGGTGGTTGGGTCCAGCAGGATCAGGAACTGCCCTGAGCAGAGCAGCTGCATGGCCTGTCCTTGCAGCTCTGTCTCCTAGTGCCTACTCGTGGACCCACCCTTAGCTGCTGGTCCCAGGTTCCAGATGGTGCCAGGAAACAGGCAGACTCAGCTGGATGGACTCCTGCGGCTCCTGTGCCCTCCCAGCCCTGAGGGGGACAGGCCATCCCTGAGGTGACAAGCAGAGGCATGGCAGGCCCCGTCGAGGATGAGTCCCCTGGCCCATGCAGTGTTACCTGTTGAGAGTCCTAGCATAAGCCCCCTTTTAGAGCCATCCTTTCAGTTCTCCAGGGATTCTCCCAGGCGGTCCAGTCTGGGTCCCCCGCAAGGGAAGGTGCCTCGGGGGGCTGCACAGCCGGGGGACTGCAGTGCCCCCAGCAAGGGGGCCGAGCTGCCTGCCAGTGCACTGAAGCTGCCCCTTCCTGGACGCCTTAGGTTTTCACCAGCTACATCGATCTGCTGTATCCGACAGAGGACAGGAACGAGCGGCTAAGAGATTCCTACTTCTTCACTTGCGAGTGCCTGGAGTGCACCACCAAAGATAAGGTGAGTTGGCTGGTAGAGCCGGAGTGCCCAGCTGCCCTCCGGGCTCAGGGTCTGTCTGCCCAAAGAGCCCCCGGCTCGTGGGCACATGTCCTCCATGGTAGCAGTGACCTCTGAAATCCGCCTCCCAAAGACAATGGGGAGTCGTTCGGCAGGGTCTCTGTTCAGACCTGCTGCTCTAAGCTGATGCAGGCTCTCACCCTGTCCGCAGGAGAGAGGGAGGGAGGGCTGTACCAGATGACTGCCTGCAAGAGGGGCATGGGAGAGAGCGGCAGACTGGCTGACTGGTTTCGAGCCTTTGTTCCTGGCCCCCAAGACATGGGATGCCCCCAGCAGTCCCCACCGCAGTGTCTGTCATTGGTGGCCTGCGACACACGGGCCCGGGAGCCCACTGCTCATGGTAGACGAGGCCTGCGTGTCCTTCCTTCCAAGATGAGCATGGTGGTGAGGTCTCTGTGTTTGCAAGCCTCTGTGTGCTGGTGCCTAGGCCATAACACCTGCCCCTTGTGGACATTTCCGCCCACAGGACAAGGCCAAGGTGGAAATCCGGAAGCTGAATGACCCACCAAAGGCAGAAGCCATCCGGGACATGGTCCGATACGCACGTAACGTCATAGAGGAGTTCCGGAGGGCCAAGCACTACAAATATATCCTTGTGACTGCAGCCGCCCCGGGGTCAAGGCTGTGACGTAGGGGGAGGGGACAGGAGAGCAGGAGGGTGGGTGTGGGGGCTCTTGGTGAGGGTGCGGGGTGCCTGTCAGCACTGTATGGTGTGAGAGAAGCATGGGACACGGGTAGTCTTGAAGGCCCTTGAGGGGGGCGCATTCTGCTTGGGGGAGGTGTGGCACCTAGGGCACTGTCCATCTCAGCCGGCCCCTCCAGGTCCCTGGGCAGGGACTGCTGTCATTCCCACCAGGCAGGCGAGGGCACGGGCTGTCACGGACCCAGTCACATGCCTGTGGGATTGGACAGATCTGGGCTTGTGCCCAGCCCTGCTGACCGCCCGCCCGCACGCACGTCCTTAACCTCTGGGAGCTTGGCAAGGGGTCTGTCTGGTTTGTACTCTGGAGCGGGGAGCTTCAAGTCAGAGAAAGGCACCACGTTCCCGCCCTGTGCCGTGCACAGCTTCCGGGAGCCGACACACTGGGGTGTGTGGGCTGGCAAGCAAGGCTTGGCGTTTCACAAAGAGGCCGAGGATTTGGGATCCCAAGGAGCCTGGCTCATGTTCAGACCCAAGAGTCTGCAGCGCTACTGTGGCAGAAATGCCTGGAGTTTTGTTTGGCAGTTGAGGCCCTCAGGTTCCCTGTGTGTGTGTTGGGGGCAATGGGGGGGCGAGGGAGAGCCCCGTCCCCTTTCTCTTGGCTTTCTGTGATTGGCTCTCTCAGGGAAAGGAGAGGGGCGGTGGGGGGACGGCAGGGGTCTCCCAGCCAGTCACTGGTTTCCTTGACTCCTCAGCACCCCCTGCAGAGCTGCTGGAGATCTGCGAGCTCAGCCAGGAGAAGATGGGCTCAGTGTTTGGGGACAGTAACGTGTACATGCTGCACATGATGTACCAGGCCATGGGCGTGTGCCTCTTCATGCAGGACTGGGAAGGAGCCCTGCGGTACGGACAGAAAATCATCAGGCCCTACAGGTGACCGCCACGGCCATTGCCCACCGAGCATGGACTGCCTGCCCCCCAGCACGTCTCTGCACCCGCAGCCTAGGCTGTCCGCTTTCACCCCAAGGAGACTCGTGCGGGGAGGCAGGTCACAGTTGAGGATGGGGTGCTGGGGCAGGTTCCTTCCCAGGTCCTTTACCCAAGCTGGTGTCACGAAGCCGTCCGGGCACTGCTCTTCTGCCCACTTCCTCGGCCTGAGTGGCAGCTCCGAGCCAGCCAGCAGCATCTCGGTTGCCTTCCCAGCATCACTCATGTCATTCACACCATCCCATTCTTGGGCTCCTCTTTTCCCACTGGGGCCAGTGAGCTGGCTGCAGTTATTTAGCATCATAAGATTTGAGTTAAACGGCTAAGGCTCTTGGTGCTAGTAACAGTGGGTATTAGCCACAGGGCGGTGTCTTGCCTGAGAAGTGGGTGACGGAAAAGTCACCACTTTGTCGTCCCTCTGACTATTCATTTGGTTGCTGGGATGATTGGGTCAAGTCCCTGGGGACATATACAGAGTCAGCCCGAGACCAAGTGACCGGACTCTGTGACCGTTAGACTGAGACATGCCTGTGTTCTTGAGTTTCAGAAGTCCCCCCTCCCAGCACCGGGCAGGGCTCCCTGTACCCGGTGCCTGATGCAGGTTTCTACCTCCTTACCCTGCTGTGCCCTGATCAACCAGCAGGGGGAGCCCAAGGGGAGGATGGCTCCTGAACACTGCTCTTGGAGACAGAACTTGTTAGGTCTCCAATCATAGCCCATCCCCTGCTCCTCCAATGGGTTAGGGAGTCCTCTGGTCACACGCCTGCCCCTGGGTGATCTGCATCGCTGTGCGGTGAATGCTCTGCAGGCTTTGCTGTGCTGTGCCTTCCCTCAGCTTTAGTGGCCTGTCTGGGGGGAGCAGCACTGGCCTTCCAGGGGCTGCTGGGCCCAGGGCTCCCTCCAAGCAGCGTGCTGGCCCCTGCCCACGGACCCGATAGTGTTAGGAGCAGACTAAGCATGGCCCAGGTGAGGCCGACAAGCCTGTGTGTGAACCACTGGTTCACAGTCCCTTCTTGTCTCTGGGACTCGGTGCTCTGTGACACTTTCCACGTCCACCTTCAGTTGTGGACAGAGGCGGCAGGCACTTGGCTTGGCAGTGAGACAGCTGTGCCTTACACTGGAATACCTGGTTCCAGCGCCCCGCTGCAGCTCTGGACTCCAGCCTTCCACCCACGCAGACCCTGGGGAGCAGTGTTGATGGCTCAAAGAATTGGGCTCCCTCCAGCCAAGTGGGAGTTGTTCTTGGCTCCGGCTTTGGCCTCAGCGCAGCCCTGACATTGCCTGACCTTGGAGGAGTGAGCCCGCGTTGGGGTGGAGGATGTTGTCTCCCCAGCTCCTTCTAACCTAGAAACACTCAGAGGACTACAGTGTGTAGACAGCAACCTCTAGGAGGAAGGAGCATCCCCCAGCTCGGGGCAGCTTGCTGTCTTGCTAAACAGCATGGGATGCGACAGGAAACTGGGTTCTTACTGCATGGTGGCAATCTGTGTGGAAACATGCAAGCCTCCTCGTGTGAACTGATGGGCCAATTTGTTGCTCCCATGAATAGGGCTTTAAAATACAAAAGCTTATTTCCGAATTTGAGTGGGGGTGGGAGGGTACTGGGTGGAAAGAGACTTACCCATTGACTGGCTCACTCTCCAAACGACTGCAAAGCCAGGGCTGAGCCTGACCGACCCCAGGAGCCAAGCGCTTCATCTAGGTTGCCCATGTGGGTGGCAGAATGCATGCACTCAGGCCGCCTTCTGCAGCTTTCCCAGGCCATTTGCAGAGTGGGTTGAAGCAAAGTGGGGGCTGTGGGCCTGTGCATGCTCACCCCTGGCACCTGTGGGTCTGGAAGAGCCCGGCTGCCCACCACGCTATGCTCAGCTGAGTTCAGCAACCCCTGATGAGGTGGCCTCTGTTCTCTCCTTCCAGCAAGTATTATCCTCTGTACTCGCTCAATGTGGCCTCCATGTGGCTGAAGCTGGGCAGACTCTACATGGGCTTGGAAAACAAAGCTGCTGGGGAGAAAGCCCTGAAGAAGGTAGGTCCAGGATCCTGGATGGCAGGGGCCGGGTGGCCTGGGCACACCTCACACCTAGCCTGGCTGGAGGGCAGCAGCATGGAGGAGAGCAGCCCTTGACCCGCCTTGCTGCCCCAGGAACACTCCTGGGTTGGGGTGGGCTCCCTCTTGTGGGAGTGGGGCGGCTGAGCCTCGCCTCCACCTGCACCCAGGCCACCCTCATCTAGGCAGAGTAGGTGGGGCTAGTTGCAGCCACATGTTCAGCCTGAGGCCTGGGAGCAGCGGCTGTTGCTGTCCCCTTGGTCAGCTAGGGATGAAGGCAGAGGCAGGCCAGGGGACCAGAATGAGGACATGGTCCTCAGGAGTTTGCAGAATCATGCACCAGGCTATTTGGAGTCGGGAATGGGCTTGTTCAGTGTCAGGGCTTGCATCTACACTGTCCATCGAGTACCTGTCACACTGAGAGCCTCAGGTGAGCGGCCTGGCTCCTTGGCGGTCTTTTGAGCTGAAAGTTGGGAGTGCCACTGAATGGAGTGTGACTGGCAGGAGGGTGGGGGCTTCTGGGCAGCCTGCCTTCAGTGTTTGCCAGTCACCGTGCTCCAGGTATGAGCTGGGTCCTTGCTGTTTGTGTGGGTGCACAGCTCCTATAAGGACCGTGTCCTTTGAGAGGCGGCCCATCGATTCATTCCTAGGGGGAGTCCGTGTTTAAATGTTGGCCAAATCCTGCACGTTCTGCAGAGCTTCCCCAGGGACTATGTGGGGAGGTGGGAGCAGGGACCCACATCCAGGGTCCAGCCAGGCTGACCATGAGAGCTGAACGTGATGCTGGATTTTTTTTTCCAGCTAGGGGTTTGTCTCCCGCACAGAGTGAGGGGAACTCAGCCCAGCAGGTCACAGCTGCAGGGCTGGAGCAGACCTGAGCAAGGAGCGAGCCTGGAGGGGACAGCACAGGGCAGGGAAGGTATCCAGAACAGGTGACGGCTGTGGCCATGCCCTGTGCATCAGCCCGCTTCCTGTCGAAGCGTAATTGCAAAGAAGGCCTCGTCAGGTCAGGGCTAGCCGGAGTCTCCTGCGTGTGGGAATCATTCTGATTTTCCCATTTGGGAGTAACAAGGTTGGAGACCAGACAACAAACAGCCCCAAAAATTGCATTTGACAGGTAGCTTCCTTCCATGCCAGACAGTGTTCTGAGAAGGAGCTGTTATTCCTGTGTAGGGGAAAAATCCAGAGTGGTTAGGTAAATGGCCTGAGGTCACACAGCAAATGCTGGAGTCACAGGATACTGTTGTCATCTCACTGTAAAGAAACCATACCCAACATTTGATCCCCAGCATCCCTTGAAACCACCCGTTCTTAGGGGTGTGTGTGTGTAAAAACTACCAGAAGGGAAGATGTGAGGGACATCTTACAGGCCATCGAAGTCCAGGTGGGTTTGACAAGTCCATCTTGTCCACCCTCTTGCCAGCACCTCCTGCTTTTCTGCCTGAGCATCGCCCAACCCCTGGGTCTCTAAAGCGCTGTGGGCTCCAGTAGCCAGAATACTGTGGCAAAAGAACTTGTGAAGTCAGTTTCGGCACATCAGTGCTCCAGCATGTTTTCCTTGGTGGGAGGGCCCGGGTGGCTAGCTGGTGATCAGACAACCTCAGCTCCTTGGCTCTGCAAGGAGCACACGGGCTGCGAAAGCCCATTCCCACCCGTGCCTTCAAACGGAGGAGCCTGGCTGGAGCCCCGGTCCACCCTGGTGGAGGTCTGGGTGCCCTGGGCCCTCTACATTCACGCCTTCCGTGTCTTTCTCTCACTAGGCCATTGCAATCATGGAAGTAGCTCACGGCAAAGATCACCCATACATCTCTGAGATCAAACAGGAGCTGGGAAGCCAGTGAGACTGTGGTGCCTGATCTCCCCATGTGCTCAGTCCCGAGACCTCAGAGGGCTCATCTCCAATCTAGCCCATCACTCCTGCACCGTGACCCCGCTGCGATGACAGCACCTCTCTGCTCTGCAACTTTGCACACGCCACCCCTCCAGACCGGCCTTTGTCTACACAGCAAACTAGTTTTGAATGTTTCTTTTCCTGAGAGAGCGAGCAGCATGATTTTGCATATTATAATACTGTAAAAAAAAATGTCAACTATCTTCCCCTTTATCCCTACTGTAATGTTCTGAATAAATCCTATGGAGGAGAGAGAAGGAAGAGAATGGGTTTAGGTGGTTTGTGTTTTCTTGTGTGCATGTGGTGGTGGGAGCCCAGTCTTGAAGTGACGTGTGTTCTCTGTAACCTTGTGAGCCCAAAACTTCTCCCCACCACTAGGGCTGGCAGGCATCTTGATTTGGGCACTCTTTCCTGGGATGACACGTACGGGGGACGGGGGGAACGGGACAAGAGAAGATAGCAAGAGTGAAAGAAGAGAGTGCGGGTGGGGAGGTGCCGGCCTCTGCTCCGTCTGCCCTCCAGTGTAGAGCACTGCCTGGCACAGGCTCACCATCTCGGCTCTCCCCCGGGCGTCGGAAAGCAGACTTTCCATCATGCACCCCCTGCCTGCTCTGCACTGTACTCTTCTCTATTTTTGGAAAGATTCCAGGGTAAGCTTGGGAAGGAAACATGTTCTTTCCTTACCAACCCTGTGTTGTGCGCAAACACAGTGGTCTCCAACCACAAGATAGCTGGAAGGCAGTTTTCAGTGGCCGTTCAGCCCAGGCAGCAGAGAGCCGAGGGCTGGCTTGCTGGCAGTGGCTGCACACCCAGGTAAGGAATGTGTCCCTTAGGAAAGCGCCCTGTGGCGTGCTGAGAGGTCCCTGTGCATGTCAGGCAAGCTGGCTGCAGCTGACACTGTACCGCCTTCCCTGGTCCTGGGCTGCACATGGGTCGAATGGCTCTAAGGGTAGATGTCCCACCCCTCATCTGCAGACACACACACAGACCCCTACCTCTCACAGTTGGCTGCACAGTGGGACTCAACAGCTTGAATGCATTCTGTTCTCAGGTCCTATGCACAAGCCGAGTGTTGGTCACCTACCATGTGTAAGCCCCTTGGCATAGCTCAGAGTACATAAAAGTAAACGAGTGGTCCCAGGTCAGAGGAGCTGAGTGTTTTAAGAGAACAAATTTCTTCCATATTCTGTAAACTGACCATAAGCCTAGCCCACTGTTTCTATTTTAAGATTTATTTTATTTTGATTGAAAAGTCAAGTATACAGGGTAGGAAGATCTTCTATCCAGTGATTCCCCAAGTGGCTGCAATGGTCTGAGCTGAGCCTAACTGAAGCCAGGATCCCAGAGCCCCTTCTGGGTCTCCCACATTGGTAGAGGGTCTCAAGGTTTTGGGCCATCCTTGACTCCTTTCCCAGGCCACAAGCAGGGAGCTGGATGGGAAGCAGGACCACCAGGATTAGAACTGGTGCCCATATGGGATCCCAGCGTGTGCTAGGCGAGGACATTAGCTGCTAGGCTACCATGCTGGACCTTCTACTGGCTTTATAAAATTCATGGAAGCTGTGTTTTCCCAGTAAACTCATCCCATAGAAACCACCAGTCCCTGCCCACAGAGGCAGCATGTGCCCAGCCTGGTCCATGGGCACACCTTTCTCCATGCCTATAGGATGGATCCATGTGAGCTGCACAGCAGAGGTAGAATGGGACTGACACATGACTAACCCACTGCTCGGACTTAACACGCACTCTTCACTTCAGTACTTAGATCTGCCTCATTGTTTTACAGGCAGAACATCCCACTGAAAGCAGAGGCATTCCTTCACTGAGCCATGACAATCACATGGACGTTTGGCTCGCCCCTCCCTATTTGCTACTAGAAAAAATAGAACTTTAACTAACAAACTGCTCAGTCAGTGTTAGCCTGTCAAAGTATAAGTCAAGATCAAATAGTGGGAGAACTTTAAAAAATAAACATGACCATATTTCCTTGAAAAAACTACTCCAGGTATGGGTGTTGGGCTTGTCCACTGGGACTTTCCACATGGAAGCCCCTGAGATCAAGTTCAGACTCTGCTTCTAATTCCAGGAATTAGTGCATTTCTACTATGAATTAATACTCATGACCCAGCTCTTCACACCAGTTCTCACAGCAGATGTGTGTGGGGATCTGGGGAGCTTCTCAATTTGTCTAAACTTGGCTTCAAAAATAGTTGTCATATTTCTATAAGATACACACGTTCTTCTTAATTCATATGCCAAATATATATGTATTTAAGAATTACTTATTTGAAAGGTAGAGAAGAGAAACAGCAAGCACTTTTCTAGTGGTTGATTCACTCCTGAGATGGCCACAACACTGGAGCTCATCTAGGCTGAAGTCAGGAGACTGCAGCTTCACTAGGGGCTCCCGTAGGAGCGGCAGGGACCCAAGGGCTTGAGCCACCTTCAGCTGCCTTCCCAGGCACACTGGCAGGGGGCTGGGTCAGCAGAGAGGCAGCTGTGATGCCAGAGATGCCACCGCTGCAGGCACTGGTTTGCTCCACTGTGCCACAAGCCAACCCCAGGGAACTCTCCACATTGTCTTTCTTAACTGTAAATCTGCTTTTGTCAATCTGTTGTTCTTGAGGAAAACAGAATCACAAATAGCTTGATTCTGTTTTTGTCATTTTATCACAAATTTGTATACAGTGTTTGTTACAATTTTTGTATTCTGGACAGACCTTTTCATAAATTTTCTTCCCCAGCTCTGCTAACAGTCCAGTTGGAGACAACTGGTCTAATAGTAGTCACATTCTTTGAACTTCTAAGTTGTGAGGGCTGTACTTTTTTTTTTAATCAACCAAAGAAAATAAGCCTGGTCTATTTACTCAGCACCTGAATATTAGTTAATTAATTAGTTTACCTTTTCTGCCATTCTGACTTTTCTAGTTCACCTATGACCATCTTTTAAACACTTTTTAGCTTTTCTTTAAATAATTGTAATGATTTTGATGCCACAGTCATCACACAGACATAAATGCTTAATGGAGCTGTCATCCATTTCACCCCAAGAGTCTTCAACGATTCTCATTTCATGATATGAAACAGACTGGGCCCTCCGATGGCTCTCTGTAGAGTGAAGAGCGGTTGTGGACTGGTTACTGGCTCCAATTGTGACACGGCCCTTTGACCTATCAAAGATGTGAGGGGCATCAGAAAGTTTTTGGAAATGGAACTGAAGACTTCTGCAATTTTTAAAAAATACACCGAGTATTTTGAAAATATCCATTTGCCACACCCTCTGGAAGACTCCCTCATCATCCGGGGAGCTTACCCTGCACGTCTTGTAGAAGCTGTTGGCTGGAAATCTGGAGAGGCAGCAACCTTGCAACCTACAAATAAACTGAGCCATCAGGAAGCTGAAAGCCCAGGAACAAGACTTTGGGTTTTCCAATAGCAGCCTGGTGCCTGCCTCTTTCATATCAACAGTTTGCTCTCTGAGTAAATGACACTGGCAGAGGGAGAAGATGGAGTTAAATGCAGCTTACTGCTGTGTACCGAGAGACTCACCGATTCTACTTGCTTAGTGACTCTAACACTGATGAATTTGGGAAAGCCACACCTAAACCTTTAGTAAGGAAGAGGCCCAAGAAGGCAGACTTTCCAGACATTCTAACTTATAAAAATAATCCTAGCAGTAAAGAGATACAGGTGCTTTCAACTAATGTAAACATACTTAGTACTGAAAATTTCAACTTAACTGTTTTCTCTGAAAAACAAAAAGGTTTATTGCATATGGAAATCAATAGATATCTCTTACAAAAAGGTTAAAGGTCTCACATTTGTAAAGGCACATATGAAAAATTTTACAGCATGAACAGTGAGAAGAACATCAACTAGAATCAGTATCTAAATACAACTTTATAAAAACAGAAACAGTGCAAAAAATACTGTCAAAGTCAGTTTTACACATCTTTCCGTTACGTATAAAACTGGCAAGCTTAAGCTTATTTACTGATATAAAATAGCACATAGAATAGCATGCATAGATTTACTTAAGGCTTTTAACATAAAATTAATAGGAAACCTATACCAGAGTCCCCATGTAGGGAATGTCCTTCAACTTTTCAGCCCTCTGCCCTGCTATAACAGTAGTCTGGTGGTAAAGAGATCCAGTTTCCATCTTGCAAAGTAGCTAGTGGCCACCACGAGAACAAGTCTGTTCTCAGGATTCCAACTTCCAACCTGGAATGCATTTCTTGCAGCAACAGCAGAAGAGGTGCAGGTTAACGCTTTCTGGTCCACCCACAAAAGCCAACACAGTGCTACACCTCAGCTGTGCCGGAAGGCAGCAGGCTTCTGTGGGCTGACCCCAGAATTTTAAGGGCACCTGTTTTCTAAGTTGGCGACCTATCTGTACATCATTTCCAGAGGAAACCTATTAAATAGCACTTGTTTCGAATGATACCAAATTCACAACATTTTACAAAGCACAGACCAAGGAAAGCATCAAAATACTGTAGAACAAGAGTCCAGTGAGACAAACTAGATGAAGCTGTTCCTGCTGTAACCCAAGTCACTAGGTAATACAATGAATAGTCACCTGCATATGTAAACCTCTTTTTCCTTGTTACTATCCCTAAGCAGGGGAGTGCCTGCTGAAGCCACAAAGGACGCACACAGGAAATCATCCTGGGGAGCAGTGACCTCACTATCTCAAACCATGAGGCTAATGGATGTCTGGAATTCCAAATAATGGCAAGAACCTCAAAGAAATTGCAGTAAAATGTTACAATATTCAAGCTCTCAGGGGAAGCAGCTTTGAGTTAAAAGCTTGCAGTTCATGGCCATGAGTGTTTATTAGCTAACACCTTGGTCCGCAGTGAGGGAGGAGGCCCCTGAGAAAGGCAGAGAGCACCAGGCCCTCCTGCTCCGAGAGCCACCCTCGTGGAACTCAGGGCAGCATTCCTGAGATTTCAGCGAAAGGTTCCACCCCAAGGCACAGGAAGATCCCGATCCCATATTCTCAGCTTCCCTCTAGAAAATTCTATCTGATGGGATGGTACCTAGAGTCTGCAGCTGGGAAGGAAGGATGTCACCTACATAGAGATGGGACGGTGGGTCACGGTTTTCTCCCCTCCTCACTAAAAGCAAATCCATCCCCAGTGCCTGGGCAGCCTGGGAGCTGTCTCACCAGGCTGGCCAGCCAGTGCAGAGATGCCTGAAGCAGGACCCAAGCAAAAGTGAGAAACAAATTAGTCTGATCGTTATGCCAAGTGTAGCCACATGAACCTATACAAGTTCATCTTGAAATTAATACAAGGACAACTGCAACCTTTTAAATAGGACCATGTCTGTCTTCCACGCCTGCACGAGGGACAATTCCTAAGACCACGAGAGTAAAGGACAAAGGAGGGAGATTCCTGGGTAGGGCTATTTTTTAGCTGCTCCCATTTGAATTATCATTTGCTAGATCCTATGCCTTGAGATCATACAAGCTTAAAAATGAGGTTCCCTAATTACATATACTGGAGAGCTCTGAGATAATGAATTCTCCATGACCAGATTTAACTCTTCTAAGGTTGGTTGCTCAACAGCCAAACAAAAAAAAAGTAGGAAGTGAGAAAACACAAAAGACCGGAAGGCCAGCAGAGCCCTAAGCGAGCGAGGGCGTCTCGGAATGGAGACGGTAACAGGAGAAGGCATTCCCAGCCAGCCCTCACCCGAGACAAGCTCAGCTGCTGTGCTCACATTCTCCCCTGCATGGACACGACTTGCTGGAAAGGAGAGTGAGGTCGCAAGTAAGAGGGTACGAGCTCCGGGAGCCACGCAGGTGTGCACGGCCCTCTGCTCACGAGGCTTGCACCCTCTTACCTGCGACCTCAGTGTGGAACGGAAGAGCTGGCATCCCACAAAAGGTGGCCACAACGGTGACGCAGGGCTGTGCTGTCGAGCAGCAAGCCCAGGCAATGATCCCAAAGTGCACATCCTCATCCTGGCTGACATCCACTTGGCTCTGTGTCAGCCTTGATTCCCACTCTACGGACCATGGTGGAACTGATTCCAATGAGGCAGTCCAGTCCTTTGTGGGATGCCAGCTCTTCCATTCCACACTCACACCACTGAAAGGAGAGAGGAGAGCAGGAACCACACACCAGAGTTACAGTCTGCCTTTTGAAAGAGGACACATCTGGGACTCATTTGCCATGTTCGGCTGAGATCAGCTAATACAGATCAATGCAACAAACTCAGCTAACACATCAAGAAAGGGGAGCAGCTACAGTCCTCCCTCAATGGGCTGATCGCCAGCCCGAACAGAAGCAACACCGCTGCCCCTCTGCAGAGTAACCTCCAAGGGCCAGAAGGTGGCACACACAGCGAGGGAGGTAGGCCGCTACAGCAAACCGGAAGGGTTACAAGAAGACGCAGGCTGCCTGGTACACACACTCATTAGCACCTGCTTGGAGAAGTGACACCTGGTGTTAGGGATCATACTGTATCAGGGTAGAAGTTGTCTGCCTACTGTTTGAACTTTGTGTCATTACTGAAAATACTGTCAGTCATGAGGATGATCACGTGGGGCAGTCAGTATTCATGTGGAAAAAAGAAAAGGAGTCAGCTGGCTAGAAACAGTGACCTGCGACACCCATTGAGGTTTACATCTGAAAAGTGAAGAGAATGGGAATTTAGACTGAACGTGAGCAGGTGGCTGAATCCCACGGGGATTCCTTCAGGGGAATCTACCAAGATTCTCTGCTCAGGGCAGTTCCATTGTAATTTACAAAGCACATCTCCTTCTCAGACTAGAGGACAGAAGTCAATTCCTGATTTGAAGGAATTTATTGCTAAAAATAATCCATCTGGAAATGTGTCTATCTTCCCTGATCTGCTTGGTACCTGCACCTGAGTGGAGAAGCTCAGTTAGGGCATGACATCCTTCTCTAATGCAGCCATGTCTTAATTTTTGTTTATCTGACAGGTTGAGTGACACACATGGACAGAAATATCAAAAGCTCCCACTTGCTGGATTACACCTCCAATACCTCCAACAGCTGAGACTGGGCCAGGCAAAGGCAAGAAAGTAGGAGCTCAATGCAGATCTTCTACGTGGATGCCAAGGTCCCAATATATCCTGCTGTCTGCGCATGGTGGTCATTATCAGCAAACTGGAATGGGGCAGGAGCAGAGCTAGGATACAAACTCATCTGCTAGACCAAATGCTTCTGCCGAAATCCTTCCTTATTTCCTATGCAATAAAAGAGCTTCGAGAAGGAGAATTCCAAAAGTTCATTGAAAATGCATATTATGAACACAACGCTGCAAGGACTTAAAAGTGCTGTGTCCAAAATAAGCATCATATCATCACATTTTTCTCCTGTGTGTTGGAATGCCTCCCATATAAATATAAGTGCTATCTGTACACGTTACTAGACTCTGACTAAAGGGCAGAGTCTCTTAGAGCCCAAACAAAATGAAACACGTTCGGCAACATAAGCCTTGGCTTCTCCACGGAGCTCATCTCATGGATAAAGATCAAATTCTGGGCCCGGGCCCTCAGCGACTTAGGCAACACCCTTTGGGTCAGTGTAGCCAAATGAGTGTGGATGAAAAAGGGCAAATAAACTAGAAAATTTCAAAACCAGAGGCCTGAAAATGCTGGATGGCATTGTCTCATTTCCCCCTCCTCCTCTATTTTTCATTTTCTTTCTTCACATCCTCACAGCAGCAATAGACCCTGACAGTTCTAGCTTCAGACTTGATACCTCATCAGGAAATCATTCCAAAAGCTCTAACTAGATAACTAATTTAATACACTTTGCTTCAAGGTTTATTCCTTGGCTTGCTTCCCAGATATAAAGCATCTCTGGATAATTATTATACAGATGCCACAGAAATGGCTGCTGCTAATGGAACAAGAGATGCACTGGCATTTACTGGAGATGTGAAAAGGAATGCAAAAAAGCAAGCCATTTGTTCTTAAAAATGAACTATGTGGGATCACTCTTGGATGCTTTCCTTTGGTTTCCATATAAACCTTGGCTAGGAAGCTGGATATTAAATTTACCCCCTCCTGCATTTTGTGCATTATCCTGTTACCCATGGCGTAAAAGGGGAGCGGCGGACAGGATTAAAGGAAGTCCATGAGTGATGAGGTCTAGGAGACCAGAGCTACACGCTGCTCACTGGAGACTTATGTTAACAGTTGAATTTACACTCCATGACTTAGTCGTCGGATCTCAAAGAAGAGAAAGAGGAAGCTCTCCTTCCCAGAATAATCTCGAGTCTAAATACAGAGTCCAACGCATGACACCTGGCCAGATGTCAGACCTACTGATGCACAGTCCAAAGGAATCTGTCCGTAAGAGGTGACAGGAAGTCACACAGCCATGCCCCTTCTGGCTGATCTCATGCCATGCTTGGTGTTTTAGCTTGGGAGGGGGTGGTAAGCAGCAATGGAGGCAGGCAAGCAGAACACTGAATCCTAAGAATAACACCACAGTTTACAAGTTGTATTAAAAAAAGAAGTTGTGAAACACTAAACTCAAAATGCAGCAAGAGGGAGAGGGTATGGAACAGGTCTGACAGGTGTGTCACTAAGCAATGGGAGAGGACACTGACCAATGAAGTCCAAAGGCAGAAACTGGCAAATGAGCTTCAAATTCGGAGTGGTTCACGCCAAAACCAGTGAGTGGGTCTCATGGTGAAAGGGAACAGCGTAGAAGGATGCTGCGACAGAAAAGCCACAATCTTTCATCGTGTGCACCATGATCTGAGCTTTGGGGTCCTAAGTAGGATCAACTTTGCCGTTCTGGCCAAAGCCTGGTGCAGTCACACTCAGAGTGGTTCATGGCCGCTCACCTGCCAGCTTACATGCCTACCAGCTCCCAGCCATCAACTTCCCCAGCTGATTGTTCTATAACTTAGCAACTGACGGAAAGGCAAACACACCCGAGCCCTGTACCTGCTATGCCCATCCTTCACACACATCAGAGCTCTCTAGCACAGAGTACCAAGGGCCCCACCAATGCCATCTTTTTCCCACCCTGGGGTCTGTTAACTTCTCATAATCAGGCAAGAGGCCTCAGGGTACCCAGGGCTGGCTCAGGGCTCAGCACCCCAGGCTGGGGGCCTCCTGTATAAATGGAGAGAAGCACAGAGCACCCAGGGCACAGGGCTGGCAAGGAACCAGGTTCTGGAGTCCAGAATAAGGAAGAGATGACCAACATAGACACAGCAGGCACTACTCAATCCACAGATGGCCATTCCCACATGGCATGGAAACATTTTCTCCGACTGTTCCTATCTTTAACTCACACTTGGGAGGGCAGGGCTAGAGAGGGTGAGAAGGAAGATTACTGAAGATGAGAGCAGAGATGAAGAAGAGAGGAAATCACCCCTGCATCAAAGCACATGAGCCCCAAAACAGACTAGGTTTCTTTCTTTCTTTAAGGAAAGCATCTTGGCTCTTTTTGTTGTATTTCAGGATGAGTTCATTTTCTCACCATCTATAATTTAGCCACAAGGGATCAAGCTGGGGATTTCCACAGGTGGGTGACAAACCCACTTGATCACTAATGGTCACTAGACATATGCCCCTCCTGCCTCTGCAATCCCAAACCAGCTAACAAGCCACCTTTCCTACGACCACATTACAATGCAGATCAGTCAACTTGTTGTTTAAATGAAAATTACTATATTATCATGAAAACTGTATTATCATAATTCACAAAAGTTATTCCAAAGGGGGAAAAATAAATTATCTCATATAAAATAATACATGATGCTCGCGAACACGCTGGGCTCCTACTTCAGGGAGCCTGGTGCCAGCCATCTGTCCCCAGCGGTGGGGACCAGATGTTGTCTGGAGGTGATGTTCCACTGAGGAGATTAAATGAGTCTGGAGTTTTGCAGGAATTGGATGAGGACCTGGTAGACAAACTTGTACTGGGTGATGGTCTGGATCATGAACATCCTTTGCTCTCTGAGAAGCCGTAGCATCATGGGGACTTCCACTTTCTGCGAGAAAGAAAAGGCATAAGATCCTAAGAGAGGAAGTTGCCCTGGGCTCATTCCCCTTCCCTCGTTCAGCAGGGAAACGCCTGCCGCCAAGCGCAGGCACGAGATATAGCAAAGGCCTCTGTTCCCATTCGGTATTATGAGTCAGCGTCTCCACTGCCACTGGGGCATCTGAACATCAGGTATCAACCGCTCCTCGGTCTTGTAGCAAACATCAAGTATGGACATGAGGGATCACCAGTGTGATATTTTAATTAGGTGGGAACTTCCAAAAAGTTCATGGAAAATGCTATTAGAAATTGATCTTACCACTTGGCACAGTTCCTTCTGTAATAGGAAGGGACTTGTTTCTGTGCACTTGCTGAGAAGCTCTCTTGCATGCACGGGTTTCCAAAACATTCTAATCACAAAATGCACACCTTTGATTCCATTTTTCCATTAACTTTTTGTAGTTCCCCCCCATAGTTTACTCTGCTAGATGAGAGAGGCTGGAATGAAACCTTGACCAACATTCTCAACTCCAAGACAATTCAATAATAAGATACATCTGGGTCTTAGTTTCCTAATTTGAGAATAAGAGTAATTGCATTTTCTCCCAATAGGAGAGTGGTCTTACCCAAGGTGGTGACATCTCCTTAGCAGAAATATGGGGTAATAAACAATACTCACCTCGCAGGATCCAGTGGCAAAACACACACAAAGTGATTTAGTCTGGTCTCTGGCAACAGTGAGTTCTTAACAGAAACAACTCTTTATCTTATGAACATTAATAAAGATATTAGGAACACCATTTTGCCCATCTCTTTAAATCACAGGATTGTGGCCAAGATAAGCAGAGATAATTTACGTGTTGCCCTTTGAAAATAAAAGCACACTCTCTGAACACTTGTCCGAAGTTGCAACAAAAGCTCTTTACTAAAAACATTTTGAGTAGTAAATGGGATTGCCTGTGAATTCTCTGAAAATACAGAGCTGATCTCAAGGGAAGGAAATTAATACAGGAGCCATCAGTGCTGGAGCACAGTGCAGTGTCCCCTCACCATTTCCATCCTCCTGGACCAGCAGGGACATGCACCTGTCAGCTGGGGATGCTCTTAACCTAAACACGAAGTGAGCACAGCTGAGCAAGCATGGGAAGTAAGGCAATAGAAATTCAGCTGCAAGTCTCACATTGTAACCTGTAACCCGTTAAAATGAATCATTTTTTTTCAAACATGCAATATCACAACACCCTATATCCCCATTGGTCGCTCGTCTCTAAAGCCACTTAAGGAATGCACATCACAGACTCTGAGAGGACAAAGCTGTTGGGTAATAAGAAGGAAAAAAGAGTGGGGGGGGGGCGGGGAGGGAGGGAAGCAGCTAATCTTCAAACGATGAGCCAAAATGCAGAACCTCGATTATAAGACTCTGATGGAAACAACAAGTCTTGGCCTATAGCATACTCCAAAGTGACCAGTGTCCTGGCACACAGCCCAGGTGTATCTGATCATGAACCTGGTTCATACAGAATCTCACGAGCATTACTGTTGGGACACCGAAGACACAGGATAGAGAGAATGTGACTGTCCCTGTCATGCCTGTGCAAGGCTTTGACGGAGAAGCAAGACTACTCAGGAGCCACGAGCACAGACCCTAGGTTAGGATTCCCAGCTCTACCGCTCCCCAGCAGTGACACACAGGCAAGTTACTTCATCTCCTATGACTCAGTGTTTGTTACAGAAATGCATGGACAGGACCTAACTCACCATGCCACCATGAGAACTACTGGGTTAATTCTGCAAGGCTCTTGGGAGAGTAAGGACACACAGTCAATACCGCCATCACCGTCTCCTCCCCCACCACCTCCATCATCATCAACCCTCCCCCACGACCTCATGTTGCACCTAACCCTCCTCTTGCATTGCTTTTAGCCTCATTTCAGTAACTGTAGGAACTGGTCACAAAGCCCCCAGGTGGCTGACATTCCACGAGGCAGGCAAGAGATGAAGAAAAGCAGCATGGCTGCCACAATTGCTCTTCAGAGACTGAGAAACCAACCTTCCAGAAGGAACTATGTCAGGGACAGGTGACTGCATTAACAACACTGAAAGTACAGGAACCCATACTTGAACTCTCCAAGAAACTACACGCCCCTCAGAGTGCTCCAGCTCACACTCGGTAGTCCCCCAATCCCTCCACTATCGGGCTTCTCTGAGCAGCCAGGCTGAGCTTACTCTGGTTCTCATGACTACTGCCTCATGTGGCCCGCTTCATGGCTTATGCTGAGCTTCTCTATGTTAATGAGACCAAGGAGGAAGAGTCCAAGGAGACCACAAGCCATGTGATTCACAAAGTGACAACAAGGTACACAATAGACTGAAATACAAACCATGCTAAATCCAGCTGCGGAAGGAAGGAAGTTTGAGCAGGAGAATGGGACATACAACTTCACATTTATTTGTCAAGATGTTTGTTTAGGGGCTGGCAAGTTGGCTCAACTGGCTAATCCTCCACCTCCAAGCACCGACATTCCATCTGGACACCAGTTGGTGTCCCAGCTGCTCCACTCTCTGTACAGCTCCCTGCTTGTGGCCTGGGAAAGCAGTACAGGATGGCCCCAAAGCCTTGGGACCCTGCACCCACATGGGAGACCTGGAAGCAGCTCCTGGCTCCTGGCTCCCAATCAGTTCCACTGCAGCTATTTGGGAAGTGAACCAGCAGATGGAAGATCTTTCTCTGTCTTTCCTTCTCTCTGTAAACCTGCTATTCCAATTAAAAAAAATAATAATAAATTTTAAAAACAAAGCAAAGCAAAACAAACTTTGCTTAAAAACCCCCAAAAAAGCTGGAGCTGTAACACAGTAGGGTTAAGCCACCATTTTCAGTAGCATTATGGGTGCCAGTTTCAGACCCAGCTGCTCCAATTGCAATCCAGCTCGCCAGTGGCCAGGAAAAGCAGTAGGAGATAGTCCAAGTCCTTGGGCTCTTGCACGTTTGTGGGAGACCCAGAAAAAGCTACTGGCTTCAGCCTGGCCCAGCCCAGGTCATCGTGACTATTTGGAGTGTGAACCAGTGGATGGAAGACCTCTCTCTCTATGTAACTTTGCTTTTTAAATAAATTAAAAAAAAAAATCCCACAAACTTAACGTGTTCTAGTCTCTCCTGAGACAGGGGCTCAAATCTTAACTAGGCAGGCTTGAAACAGCATCAGAACAAAGTGTTTTCCCTGAACATTCACCAATAGCAATTATAGGAAACAGGAGAGAAGAATTGGGTTATATTTGTGCTAGAGGAACGGAAGTGAAAAGTATGAGTCATCTGGCTATCTTTGAATATCAATGGAACAAAGTCCCTTGCGGACTGACCATGTGCCAGCACAGAATATCCTGGCATGCAGTTGGGCACTGAGGGAAGTCGCTATGTTTGGAGACACCTAGAAAATGCACCTTCCTGGCTAAATCCATCTGTACCTTGCCGCCATTTTGCCTCTGTTCTCCTGGACAAGGAATGTGCGGACATCAATGAGTCCCGTGGCATTGCCTTGCAGGGACTTAGCCTCTGCCAGACCTCCAAAGAGCTCAGAACAGACTCACCTTGGTGACTCACCATAGCCACAGCAGTTTTTTTTAAAAAAAATATTTATTTATTTTTATTGAAAAAGCAGGTTTTCAGAGAGAAGGAGAAACAGAAAGATCCATCCACTCGTTCACTCCCCAAATAGCTGCAATGGCTGGAACTGAGCCAATCTGAAGCCAGGAGCCCAGAGAATATTCCGGGTCTCCCACATGGGTAGAGTCCCAAGGCTCTGAGTCATCCTCAACTGCTTTCCCAGGCCACAAGCAGGGTGTTGATGGCACTTGGAGCATCGGGGACATGGACCAGCACCCATATGGGATCCTGGCACTTGAAAGGCAAAGATTTAGCCACTGAGTCATTGTGCTGGTCCCCAGAGAAGCTTCTTGATGTGAAAAAGGAGGAGAGAGGGCAAAGAATACACAAAGAATGGAGAAAATAAGGGGAATTCAGTAAAGAACATGCTCTGAGGATAAGAAGAGACCCCGAAGGAGGGAAACAAAGATAGGGACGCTCCCACTTTCTCCCTGGAACCCATGCAAGCTTCCAGGGTGAGTACAGACACACTTTGGCCACATGTATACTGATCCCACCCTTTTTATGCCATCTTTCTAGCTCTTGGGGAATTCAGGAACTGACTGCTCACTGAAGAGAAGTGACTACACACTTCTAGCAGCGACAGGGCAGGAGGAAGCGAATAATCAGATTCTCTGGGAGACAAAACAGTAAGAGAGAGATGATGTTGAGATTTCTGTCATGTAGTCTGAACCGATTCCACTCATCCACAAGTTGTTTACCATTCTGGAACACCAACCTGAAGCCTTGCCAACCCTCATCCGCTATTTCAGAGCACAAGCTCTCCTAGGTGAACACCGAAAGCTTCCAAAATGTAACCTTCTCGAGGAAGGGAGTTTCAAAGTCCTTTGAACATGTGTAAACTGAGCATTTATTTGTTTTCCTCAAGTTTCCACTTATCAATCCTCATGATTTTAATCTGGTTTTCAAACCATCAAATCACTAGCAAATGCCTAAACATACCAATTCTGCCATGGGATTTGCCCAACACTCTGTGGTTTAAAATCTACAAACCACTGAGTTTCCTTTAGCTGTATATCCTGAAAATTAAACAAGGGTACTTCTTGTTTGGAAGCAGTGGGCAGGTGGAGAATAATTCTCTATCAGAACAAGTTGCATCCCTCTTGAATGTAAGCAGCCAGGACATAGCTCTTCCACATTGCGGAAATGAAGGCCAACAAGGAAGATAAAAAGATGCAGACTAAAGCTCTATGTTTACTGCACAGCACCATGTAAACAGAACGCAGAGGGGCTGCCCGTTAGCTTTTCATTGCTGCTTGTCTGCCCTACACTACATGGCTGGTCTCTCCTTGGATTGCCCTAAAGGACAGCAGGACAGGAAGGCCATGCACCTTGTGGGTGCATACCGAGTAGCTCCCAGCTTCCCTGGGGACAGGAGCTATAGTACTCGGCCCTAGTGACGCATGCATTCTCAGAGGATCCCTCTCTGCCACCCCACGCCAACCTTAAGAAGCTCTATCAACCCTCTTGAAATAAAAATTTTGCAAATTTTGCTGTGTGTGATCAAAAACATTTCCAAGCAGACACGTTTTCCCACAGGATTAAGACCAGAACACAATGTCCAAATGCACGATGCATCTAAACTGTACGTGACCAAGTAATTCACCATGATCAATGACCCTCGATAAAACTGGATTGTTGACAAATAGCACAGACTTCTCTGGAAATGGATGCTGCCTGGGGTTCTGGTCTTTTAAATGTTTCCTGCATCACATTATTTCTTCCATGTTATCTGAGCATCCACACAAAGGAGGCAGAGGCCAAAGATAAGGAAGGTTATAAATGACAGGGTCAGACTAAGGGCTGGGGGGGTCTAAGAGAACGATGGTGAGGAGACAGGAAATGAACCACTGACCATGAAAAGGCACAGGCACAGGCACAGGTGTAGCCACTGAGTACATTTGACCCCAAGGTGGAGAACTTGGAGAAGCCCAGAATGACTCACTTCATTATGCTCCAGGCAGTAGATCATCAGCTCGGAAAGAATGACCACGCCGGTCCTCCCAACTCCCGCACTGCAGTGGACAACAATGGGAGGGTGGCGGTTCTTGGTGCCTTCCAGCATGCTGTTGGTATGGCGACGGACAGACTGGATCTCCTCCAAGTAGGCTGTAGGACAAAAGGGAAACCTTGTCACCAAAGTACATAGGAGTGTGTGTGTGTGTGTGTGTGTGTGTGTGTAGTGGGGAGGAGATGGTGCATCTTCTAAAACTGACAGTAATTTACACTTCTTCTAAGACACTAATTATTTGGCTGGTACCCACTATACAGTCCTGGATCCAGAATGGACCAGCTGGGAGTCAATTAGTCCATGGGAGACTCTGCACTTTTAAATTAAATAGTTCTTTTTTTAAAAAATTAAATTCTGTTTTCCCCTCTGTAAATCCCCAAGTCCCCCAAGCAGATGATTCTAGACATTACTTACAGCAGTTCCTCCTATTAACAGGCTGGGATCGGAACAACAGCTAAGTCCCCTTGAAACGTCCGCCTGTCAGAGCCAATTTCTGGCAGGCAGAGCGCGTCCATCTGCCCCTCCTCTTCCCGCCCGGAATGAGTGAATGTCAACCGTGGCTTGACTACAGTTTTACATTTTCAAGTAGACTATGGGGAGGCTGCTTTTCAACATGGATTCCAGGGGGTTAGGCAAGGGGCCCAGCGGGTCTTTCTTCCTGAGCCAGCATGTGTGGGGGGTGAGGGGTCATGGCCCTCACGTCCCTTCCAACATCTGCCGAGCCCACCAGAGCCATGTAGGGAATAAGACTGAAAAAAAAAAGATCCCAGTCATACAAGATTTCCGGACTTTTACACTATCTTGGAAAAAGGTAAAAGTATATAATGTAGTCAACAATGTCCAAAAATCAGGAAATTAGTAGTTTACATTTTGTACTACGTCAGGAGACAGAGATAAAGGTGCTGATATTCAGAAAACTTCATCCTAATGCAGCAGTAGAAATAAGACAATAAGGGAACAAATTGCTGAAGAGAAAACACATATTCAAACCATGGAAGGAATTCAAGTGTCTTTCACATGCAGTTAAATAAGAACCTGCAGGGCCCAGCACAGTGGCCTAGTGGCTAAAGCCCTCGTCTTGCATGTGCCAGGATCCCATATGGACGCGGTTTTGTATTCCAATAGCCCCCTTCCCATCCGGCTTCCTGCTTGTGGCCTGAGGAAGCAGTTGAGGATGGTGGCCCAAAGCCTTGGGACCCTGTACCCACGTGGGAGACCTGGAAGAGGCTCCCCAGCTCCTGGCTTCGGATTGGTTCACCTCCAGCCACTGAGGTCACTTGGAGAGTGAATCAGCAGACACAGGATCTTCCTCTCTGTCTCTCCTCCTCTCTTTACCTGACTTTCCAATAAAATAAAAGAACCTGCAGAGCAGAGACCTGGCACCATGGTCAAGACCCCACTTGGACAGCCTGCATCCAACATCAAGGCCCAGCTCTGCTCCAGATTCCAGCGAGCGAGCATCCTGGGGAGCAGCCAATGCTAGCTCAAGTACTTGGCCCCCTTTGCTCATGCGAAGGACCTGGATTAAGCTCTCGGCTCCTGGCTTTAGCCTGATCCATCCCTGTCCATTGTGGGCATTTGGGGAGTGAACAAGTAGGTAGGGGACATTCATTCTCATGTTCTTTCTCTCAATGTCCCCCACTCTCCCCAACACATACTCCTTCCCTCTCTCCTCTCTCCCTCCTTTTCCCTCTCAGATAAATAAGTAAATAAATAAAAATTTGGTAAGAAAAACCTGTATGGTCTTACTTCAAAAAGTTGTTGGAAAATGGAATTAGAAGATAAATCTGTTTGGGAAGTGTCATCACTGCTACATAAAGTAAGATGAAACAAAGAGAGACATCCCGAGAGGAACCAAGCAAGGAGCTGCTGCTGGACACAGGGATGCCTTTCATCACTGCCTTGCCAGGAGGGAAAGAAATCTGGCAGCTGAGTGTTCTCATGCAAGAGATGAAGCTTTTCTGGAGCTAAATTTAAGAAACAGAAAAGGGATGTCACGGCCCCAGAGCAACAGCCTAGTGACTAAAGTCCTCGCCTTGCATGCACCGAGATCCTTATGGGTGCTGGTTTGTACCCTGGCCGCTCCTCTTCCTTTCCAGTTCCCTGCACCAAAGTGGGAGACCCGGAAGAAGCTCCTGGCTTCAGAGTGGCTCAGCTCGGGCCATTGCGGCCACTTGGGGAGTGAACCTGTGGACAGATCTTTCTCTATGTATCTCCTTCTCTCTGTAAACTGCTTTTCCAATTAAATAATAATAATAATAATAAATCAAAAAAGGGGGAATGTTGGAAAAGAGAGCAGATGCTACTTTCAACTGAAGTTCACAAAATACCAAGAAACTGGATAAATGGAAGGTTCTTCCATCAATCCTTAACTTTTCACTCACTGAAGAGTTCTGGAGAGCAGCAGTATGGTGTGGGTATTCTGCACCCGGGTAGTCTAGTTTCAGCATGGCTAAAAATATTTAGGATGCAGAAGAAATGCAAAGTCAGCATTTCCAAGGCCTTGGACAGAACACTTGCCTTGAGTTTCTTAGAAATGAGACTTAATATATGAACTTAAACTCTGCAAATATTCCCTTTATTTTTCAGTAATTTAGATTAGCTTCCCTTAAATGGATGCTGAGTACAAAGATTTGACTATACTTTTACCCACTTCTAAAAGCTCTAGCTTTCACCAGAGCCATTAGTCAATCACCCAACTAATCCAGCTGTATTATTTCCATTTTCTGCCTGTTGGAGGAAATTTTAGTAAGTAGATTAGTTAAAGATTACCTGTAAGGAAAGACAGAGCCTGCCCTCCTTATTAAGAATGAGCTATAGGGCCCAGCACGGTGGCGCAAGTGGTTAAAGGTCCTCGCCTCGCACGCCCAGGATCCCATATGGGCGCCGGCTCTAATCCCGGCAGCCCCGCTTCCCTTCCAGCTTCCTGCCTGTGGCCTGGGAAAGCAGTCGAGGACGGCCCAAAGCTTTGGGACCCTGCACCTGCGCGGGAGACCCAGAAGAGGCTCCTGGCTTCGGATCGGCATAGTATCGGCCCGTTGCACTCACTTGGGGAGTGAATCATCGGACGGAAGATCTTCCTCTCTGTCTCTCCTCTCTGTATATCCGCCTTTCCAATGAAAAAATAATAAAAAATAAATCTTTAAAAAAAAAAAGAATGAGCTATAAAGATGACTGGCCATTTGAGTTTGGAGGACCACTAACCCTCTCCTGCTCTTACCAGACTGATTGATCCCAGTGGTTTTGCCACTCCCCACATCCAAATACTCAGGTACCATCATTATTCTAATGAGGGAATTAAACTACTTATATCAATGAATAAGCATGCATCAGACATTTTCTGCTGGAACTTATAAATTGGTATTTTTTTAGCTCTTGAAAATCTCTGTCTCCTTTCTCATCCAACTCCATCCATTCTGATGAAATCAAATCATGGTCTGGCATGATTCAACATCTGGCTAGCAGTCCCTTCCTGGTAATCACAGGTCTCCCAACGTGGCAGTGACAGTTTTGCAAGCAATAGGATGACCTTCCCAGATAGGGAAGGAAAGGAAAGGGTTTCTCCACATACAGGACACTTTTTAGTGAACACATGGAAAGGATAGGGAGAACCCAGACCACCAGTGCAAAGTCCACGGCGGACCCCCTCCTTCCCCCACCCCCCAATGGTCATCACTGGTCTGTCTTCCTCATTAGACTGTGGGCCTGGATCCAGCTCTGTCTAAGAGCCTGACCCAATGCTTGGCACAGAGAAGGCGTATACCCAATTTTTGGCCTTTCAAATAAATTCCTGAATAATATTATGAATTGGTTGCTAAACAACCTTATCCTAAAAAAAGTAATATATATTACATTTAATGTGAAATAATACACAAGTTTTCTTGCAGATTTTAGTGTAAAAAATTACAAGGTGATCTCAATTTGATAAAGTACTAAGATTTACTGCTGCTGCAAAATACAGGGTTTATGAGATGTAAACCTTCAAGAGAAGTATGTATTGTTTATTTTCTATTTTCCTTTATGGTGATGAAACAGACATAAATATAAAACTTTGCATTTTAACTGTACAATTCAGTGTCATTAAATACATTCATAATGTAGTACAATCACCACTACTATCCATTTCCAGAACTTTTTCACTTTCCCAACCAAACAATAATTCCCTAAGCCTTTTCTCCCCAATCCTCTTCCCTACTCAACTTTTTGTCTCTGTGTATTTGCCTATTGTAGGTACCTCACAAGGAAACCACAGTATTTGTTATGTTTGACTTATTTCACTTAGTCAAATGTCTTCAGGGTTCATTCATACTGTAGCCTGTATCAGGACAGCAATGAATGAGTACCTATATACACAAGTGTGTTTTACCAATGTAAAATGAACTATTTTATTATAGTCTTAGCTTATTTGCAACCGGTAAACAGAATAAATGACACGGATTATTCTTCTACCAAAAAAATAATGGGACATATATTTTGATGTTGTAATATTTTACAACATCAGAAAGAATTCTCTCTGTCCATTTCATCTGTGACAGACAGACCGCTGATGCAGCTGGTTAAGCACAGAACAGCAAGAACTTACACAAAAATCCTTGTACATCCTCTGGGCAGCCGTGATCTGGCCAGTCTGTGTACTGCAAATGCCAAACCGTCCTTTCCTGTCCAGATAAAAGGTGCTTGACCTTCAAGCCTGTGGTTGCATAGCAACCAGAATCTGTCCGGAACTTAGTGGTGACCTTGAACTTGCCATACGTTGCTGAGCTGTGTTTGGAACCCAGTTTGGGCCAGTATCGGTGGCTCTTGGTTCTTCCACCCTCCTAAAACACACACAAAAGCAAAACTGGCAGTCAGTCAGAGAAAGTTCTTCATCTTAAAATCTAAGCACAGAATAAAATGCAAATAGCTTTTCAACAATGAACTTCATAGTATGGTTTAGTGTCTAGCAAATGGTAGATTCTGTATGTCTTGGCTAAGACCAGTACTACTTAAAATGGTACTTAGATCAACAGAAAATTTAAGAGCCACATTTAAGTGTAAGTGAAAGAGGAGAGCAAGCATAAACTTGAGACAGCTATAGGCATGCTGAACTCATGGAACAGAAAGGTCTTCAGGTGAGCAGGGAAGAGGTGAGACGGGTGGACAAAAGACCTCTCAGCTCATGCAACAGGTCTGAATGTCACACTACGGATGGTGGGGAAGCCACTCAAAGGTTTTAAGTAAGGGAGTACCAGACACCAGTTACCCTTCTGGCCACACTTCTCGCTTCTGGTTCAGCTCAGACTGTTTTCTGTCTTGAGACACTGCCTGCTGACACTGCCTCCATCACACAGCGCCAACCATTGGGCTCTTCCTTGTCACTCATGGCTCCTCTACAGAGAAGCCTTGGCTGCTTCTCTTACCTAAAGTGTTCCACATCCAGCCCGCCATTCCCTCTCCCTCCAACACTCTTCCCCAAAGCCTTGCGCTGCTTTCTGCAAAGCAGTGACTACTCCCTGAACTTCTGAACTTCTTCACGGTTTCTCCCACTACGATGGAAGCTCCATGGGAGTAAGGATGGTGCTTGCTTCACTGTTTGCTATGCCCCTGGGTTAAGTGCATGGGATTCCTTGAATTGAATGGAATGCATCCACTGCAGTGATGCAGTTCTGTAAGGGACTCAACTGGGTCCAGAGACTGTTTCTCTTCCAGGTAGTGTCAAAACAAAGGGCAGCCCAGGAAGTTCAGTGGACTCTGAAGATCTACAGACTGTCTTCCACTGGGCTGTTCTAGAAACAGTCAATGGAAGAACTCTATTATTGATGCCTTCAAACTACTGCCACATCGCAGAGGTGGTAAAAAAAATGCAAGACAGTAGCCCCTTCAATGACTTAAACAATACAAGCTGGAATTTCATGAAAGTCAACAAAGGAGGTGCTAACATTTTTTTGAGAATGTGACAAGAGAAGAAACACAATACTTCTTTCCCCAAAGACAGCAAAGTCTAAGCTAACTGGATCAAGCGGTGGTATGTGCCAGGTTGAGTAACACCACAAGCAGTTCTCTAGTTACAGCAGAAAAACTGTGTTTGGCTTGGCAGACGAAGAAAAAGACATTTCTTTCCCTCTTCCCATAGCAGCCTTTGCCCGGGACGACAGCTCAGGTCTCTTTTCTGCTGATAAGCAGTATGACATGTGGGCCCGGTGGGGCTCAGGCTGGGAGGAGAGGGTGATTGCCCAGGAGCGGCCTGAGCAGCTCAGATTCGAACGGTGCAAACAGCAATGTCTTTGGCTGCCATGCAGTCAGCTGACTGAAGGTTGGTTGCTTTAGCTTTTATGCTGTTATATTTTAATTTTCATGTATAACAACCCAAGGAAATGAGATGAAAGCCAGATGAAAATGAGAGAGGGAAAGGCTACAACAAGAAATTAGCACTGGGAGAAAAAACAGAAACAAAAAACTGTGGCAGGAAGAAGACAAAACAGAAGCACCTGTGCAGGAACGGCTGCAGAAAGCAGAACGGGACAGCCCGCTGGCACCAGTGCCTCTGTCATCATCGCTGCCCCAAGAAGGGCACTGGGTGGACCACTTTCCTTACCTCTTCTGCGGTGACCATAGCGATCACATTCACGCCCTGCTCCCACACCATCTGCCAGAAGTCGTGGCATGTATGAGGCAGGGGCCCCTGAGTGGCAAGGTAGTGCCATTCCGCCCCACTGATCATCACCTGCAAACCAAGCAGAGCATTGGTCAACAAACCCCAGGTCCAGGACAGAGCCAACTACTGATCACAATGTCATCTGTATCCAATATCCAACCTTGGACGGTATCTTTAGAGTTAACTGGGCCACCGTTTTGATCAAAAATCCCAAGACCACAGAAAGCTAATGACACGGCCATTCAGCTCTATTTAACATTTACCTGACCTCTTCTCTTCTGCAACTCACGGTATTTGCAAACCAGCACATATTAGAAACACATCTGGGAACAGCGTTGTGCAGAGCATGTCAAGTCACTGCCTGAGACATTGGCATGCCATAAGGGATCTAGTTCTTGTCCCAGCTACTCCAGCTTTCTGTTAATGTGCGTGGGAATGTAGTGAAAGATGGCCCCAACCACTGGGTGCTTAGATCCATGTGGGAGATCTGGGTTGAACTCCAGCCACCTGGCTTCAGACAGGAGCAGCCAGCACTGCGGTCATTCAGGAAGAGAACCAGTTGTTTTTAACTCTAACTCTGCCTTTCAAAATAAATAAACAAACCTTTAAAAATACATATATTTCAGGCCCAGCACAATAGCCTAGTAGCTAAATCCTTGCCTTGCATGTGTCAGGATCCCATATGGGCACTGATTTGTGCCCCAGCTGCTCCACTTCCCTTCCAGGTCCCTGTTTGTGGCCTGGGAAAGCTGTAGATAATGGTCCAAAACCGTAGACTGCACACACGTGGGAGTCCTGGAAGACGCTCCTAGATCCTGGCTATGTTTGGCTTAGCTTCAGACATTGTGGCCATTTGGGTAGTGAAAACAGAGGATGGAAGAGCTTTCTCTCTGTCTCTTCTTCTCCCTGTATATCTGACTTTCCAATAAACATATTTCTATCTCAATAAGTATACGTATACATATACGCATATACATAAGCATATATAAATACACATGTGCACATCTTAATCAGTTAATTTATGCCTATTATTTGCAATGAACTGATGTTTTACATTCTTTCTCTACTTTATAAAGCATGCATACAAGCACATACACGCAATCCTGACTGTCCACAGCCCCACCACTGTGTCGCAACCCACACTTTGAAAAACAGTGCTCCATGGTGCCCTCTTACAAAAGCCTACCATGAATTAACATTCCTGACCTGATGAGAACCCAAAACCTTCCTTGCCATCACTGCCCTTTGGTGACATGTAGAGCAGGGATTTTGGAAATGCACTTGTCAACAATACATGGTATTTTATCAAGGGCTTCACCTCGGGTAGTGCTACAACCTCCCAATGAACTACAGAGTTACCAAATGTGGATGGCTCTGAGCTCCTATTGGAGTTCAGAGCAATCAAAGGAGGATCATTTGTGCAGCTAGAAATACCAGCCACAATGGATCTTCAATAAGAAGTGATACTCAAAATGTGTTGAAGGTCAAAGTAAAATTGTTGCATTTGGCGGAATATTTTCCTTTCCCCCCTCCATTCTGAAGCCATGAGACTGCAAAGCCAGGGCTCCTTCCCGCTGGGCCAACACAGAGCTCCAGGGAGTTCCAGGAGCCATGGAGTGATCATTGTCTGAAACCGTTCTGGATTTGTTTTAGACAACAACGAACTTACTTGATTCAAACACACAATGTTAGCTATTGTCTTATAACACAACACAGTTTTAGGTCACAGCTGGCAAGAGAAATCTATTTTCCACATACTAGGGGGAGAAAACATTCATAAAGTTATTGGCTCGGAGTTTGGTTTATCTGCAGAACTGTGATTTCAAACATTAGCTTCTCTGGCACCCAACATATAGAAATCATAAATACCTCCCAAGAACACCGCTGCCCGGGGCTTTTCTGGGCATTCCAAGTCCTGGCAGGAGGGCATTCAAAACTTCATTCAGAACGCACCAAGCAGTGCTACCGAGGCGGATTGCACAGCTGTGACTTCACCTCTCGAGTACATAAATCTCCGTTCTGTGTTAACGGCCGCTTGGAACTCAGGGGAGAAAACATTGGCAAAAGGTACAACCCTCTTCCAAAAACACACGGAAATGTTCCTGTAAACTCGGTGAGTCAACCAAAGGCAGCCAGGTCCAACCCAGATCCGCAGGATGAAATGCGGGCCTCGGGAGAGGACGGAGGAAGAGCATGGCCCCGATACCAACACCCAACAGGGACAGCTCATACAGTGACAGCTCTCTCCTGAAAGCATTTGGAAAATAGTGGAAGAAATTTGGCTGAAAGAACAGAACAATAACGCCATGCAAGACTGTCAGATACTTCACCAAGAAGCAGCTGTGTCATTGGCATCTTTGCTTGAGTACTTTATTTTGCTCATTATTTCACAATCTAAGCCTCCTGAAACACTACTGCCAACATACTTCAGAATTTCATGGTGTTCAGTTTTTATGTATTTACTTTTAGACCTGTTTTATTTGAGCTACATAGAGAAAGAGAGATCTGCTATTCACTCCCTAAACTGCCTCAACAGCTGAGACTGAGCCAAACTCAAAGCAGACAGAGTTGGAAGTCTATCCAGGTCTCCTATGTGGACGGTAGGGGGCCCAGTACGTGGTTCATCCTCTGCTGTGGTCCAAGGAGCTGGACCGTAAGTGGAGCAGGCAGGACTCCAACTGTGCTCTTATAGAATGTCTGCATTGCAGGCAGCAGTCCACTGCGTCACAACACTGGCCTCCTTAGGTTACTGTTTTGTTTTGTAACTGTTTTAACGCTTATTCCCAAACTAAGAATATAGGCACTGGTGTTAAGATGCAGTGGGTTAAGTTACCACCTGTGATATCAGTATCCCATATGAGCACCAGTTGAGTAGCAACTGCTCTGCTTGTGACACAGCTTCCTGCAAATGTGCGTGGGATGGCAATGGGAGATGGTCCAAGTCCTTGGGCACAGCCTCTGGCTTCTTCCTGGACCATCACAGGCTGTTGTGACCATCGGAGGAATCAACTAATGGATACAAGGTCTTTCTCTGTGTCGTCCGGTGATTTTGCCTTTCGAAAGGAAAGATGAGTAATTTTCAAATGAATAATTTTTTCAAGAAAAATGAATATGAAATAAGCAACACTTTCTGATAGCTGGTTTTCTTTTACATTTTTAAAAAAGATTTACTTGGGCCCGGTGGCGTGGCCTAGCGGCTAAAGTCCTCGCCTTGAATGCACTGGGATCCCATATGGGTGCCGGTTCTAATCCTGGCAGATCCACTTCCCATCCAGCTCCTTGCTTGTGTCCTGGGAAAGCAGTCGAGGACGGCCCAATGCTTTGGGACCCTGCACCCGTGTGGGAGACCCGGAAGAAGTTCCTGGATCCTGGCTTTGGATCGGCGTAGCATCGGCCGTTGCACTCACTTGGGGAGTGAATCATCAGACAGAAGATCTTCCTCTCTGTCTCTCCTTCTCTCTGTATATCTGACTTTCCAATAAATAAATAAATCTTAAAAAAAATTACTTATTTTTATTGGATTCATTACTTTTACTCAATTCATATGGGTGGATGGAGAAAGTTTCAAAAAAGGTTTTTCTTTTTAATTGCAAGGTCAGATATACAGAGAGGAAGAGACAGAGAGGAAGACCTTCCATCTGACGATTCACTCCCCAAGTGGTTGCAACAGCCCGAGCTGAGCTGAGCTAACGCCAGGAACCAGGAGCCTCTTCCGCATCTCCCACACGGGTGCAGTGTCCCAAGGCTTTGGGCCATCCTCGACTGCTTTCCCAGGACACAAGCAGGGAGCTGGATGGGAAGTGGGGCTGCTGGCATACAAACTGGTGCCCATATGGAATCCTGGCACATGCAAAGCGAGGACTTTAGCCACTAGGCTATGGCGCCAGACCCCTGGTCTTTATTTATAAAGATGCATTTATTTATTTCAAAAGGAGAACGACAGATCGTAGGAGAGGAAGGCAGGGGTGTGGCAGGCCTTCCAGTCACTGGTTCACAGCAGCTGAGACTGGGTCAGGCTGAAGCCAGGAGCAAGGAACTCCCTCTGGGTGTCCTGTGCGGGTGGCAAGAGCCTAGGAAAATGAGCTACTATTCACTTTCCCGACTAGGAAGTTGGATTGGAAGCACAGAGCAGCCAAGCCTTGAAGCAGACACACAAGTACAGGGCCTGGAGAGTCCTAAGCCGAGGCTGAACCTGTTACATCCCGAGGTGCAGCCCCAAGCACTGCAATGCCGTACATCTTTTGACAGTATTTTCTGAAACACTACACTAAACCGCAACATGAGCTGATATTTCATAAAGTTCATGGAAAACAGAATTAAACAATAAGCTCATCTCGGGGGCAAAAAAAGATTTGAAACCCATGTAGCTTTTTCATGACATGCATTTTCCACACACTTTCTTTGGTACTCTTGTCCTTTACATGTTCTGCATGGAAACTGAACACAACCAGCACACAGCCTCCACTTCAGCGAGCTTCAGAAGCTCAGAAGCCACTAGTGCCTCTGCGAGGACTGGAACTCCATGGAGGACAGGTCCCCTACGACTAAGAACATAGGGACTAGAGGTGCAAATTGTGCTGCTTTAAATGCTCCTATAACAAGGATGAGAACATCTTCCTAATTAAGTTCAGAGCCAAAGGGGATATTCCACCTTCGCACTCTATCAGGCAACCACAGGCAGGATTAGAAAATCAATAAATTTATAGTAGACTAAGTTTTAAGTTGACAGTTTTGAATGACTACAAATTATGTCTTAAATATCCAAATGATCCCTGGCAAAAAAAAAAAATTGCTTATTCTTGTAAACTTGTTGTTACTGGATGGCTATTCAGGAAAGATGGGCTATATGTTTCTGTGCATGTTTGTAATTAAATTGTTAACTCAGGGCACACCTTGTGGAGCAGTGGGCTAAGCCCCAGCCTATAATCATGGTCCCATTCGGGAGCCTGTTGGTGTTTGCACTGCTCTGCTTCAGATTCAGTTCCCTGCTATAAAGTGCCTGGGACAGTGGACAATGGCCTAAGTCCTTGGGCCCCTGAACACAGATGGGAGACCCAGATGGGCTTTTCAGGCGCCTGGCTACAGCCTGGCCCACCTGAAGCCACCGTGATCATCTGAGGAACATCTCTCTCTCCCCCTCTCCCCCTTTCTCTGTAACACTGCCTTTCCAATATACAAATAAATAACAAAGTTTTTTTTTGTTCTAACTCAAGTTGACTTAAGCTACAAATATGGAGACTTGAAGAAATGATGGACTTAAAAATAATAAGAGAAATTTAACAGCACTAACTCATCAATTACTATAGCAAATCCTGCAAGATTCACTATCAACAACATCTTCATGGTGTGTGTGTGTGTGTGTGTGTGTGTGTGTACGTACGTACACATATGCATGGACCTAAACAGTATTTACAAATTAAGGCTTCCATGAGTATTGTAAAAAAAAAAAAAAAAAAAAAAGCAACAGTCTCTGTTGCTACTGAACCGGATAAAAACCTCAAAGACCACAGAACAACCCCTGTGGTTTTGGAACAGAAAGAGGCAGTCCTCAGTTGCTCCTGTGAGTTACAACACACAGAGAAGAGAAAGTCTCCCCGAGGCTGCCAGACCTCCTTCCCTGCGTGGATAGCCATGCCCTCCCAGGAGACCAGAACAACATAGGAGCTGAAAAACACTCCTCACCTCCCACTGCCAGAGGCCCAGCGACAAGCCAGGAGGCCCAGGTGCAGCCCCTGTACTTTCTCCCTGTTTCCACCGGTAGCCCAGCGACCCTGCCCAACTTTCGCACGCTCTCCCCTTCCTACCTTGATGTGCGAGGCATTGATGTAACCCGTGTTGTTCTCTTTGGTCGGTATCAGCTCTACCCGGTTCTCCTCGTAAGGGACCACCTCGCGGATGCGGCTGCGCTCGGCATTCTCTGGCAAGGTCGCTGTGCTGAACACGCCATTGGCTTTTTTCTTTGGAATCTGCTCATATTCTGTGAACACCATTCCCTCTTCCAGCTTCTTCTTCAGGGCTCTGAACTGCAACAGCAACCAATCTTCAGCTCCCTAAATGATCCCCAAAAACCAAGCAAATCACCCAATACCTTTGCATGTTACATCAACAGTGACAATGAGGGAAAGCGATAACGAGGAATTTTTGCTCTTGAAGATTATTTTTATTGGAAAGTCAGATTTACAGAGATAAGGAGAGACGGAGAGAACATTCTTCCATCTGTTGATTCATTCCCCAAGTGGCCACAACGGCCAGAGCTGAGCTGATCTGAAGCCAGTCACCAGGAGCTTCTTCTAGGTCTCTTAAGCGGGTGCAGAGTCCAAGGCTTTGGGACATCCTCGATTGCTTTCCCAGACTACAAGCAGGGAGGTGGATGGGAAGTCAGGCAGCTGGGATTAGAACTGGCGCCCATATGGGATCCTGGCACATCCAAGGTGAGGACTTCAGCCACTAGGCCACTGTACCAGGCCCGATAATGAGGGATTTCAAGATGTGTCACTAACATGAGAGTAAATATTTGGTCTCATTATTAACCACCCTGCTAGCTTCTCCAGCCAGACAATCATTTTCTTTCTCACAGGGTAAACAGAACACATCTTCAACAACTAGCAGGACTTGACATTCAAAACCACCATTTTGGCCATTGTTCTAAACATCCTTTTCTCCACTTACCCAGTTGTTGTAGTTGAGTTAAATGCTAAGAAAACACTGGGTCACAGTCTACAGCTCCCATTAAATCTCCCTCCTTTTAATTTCCCTCCCTGAATAAACTGCTAATTATAATAATATGATATTAATAGCACTAAATGGTCCCTTTAAAGTCCCTTCATTCTAATACTGCATGCATACTGGCAGAAATCTAACATTCTGAAATAATTAATACTACTTGTCTCTTAATCTTCTGATAGCAATTACAGAAACTACAGTAGCATTTTTCTTTCTTTTTTTTATTATTTTATGATACAGTTCCATAGGCTCTGGGATTTCCCGTATACGCTTCCCCAAGTTACCTCTCCCAACTTCCCACAAATTGTACCAATATAGTGTTACAATAGTAGAGTCCTTCACAAACAGTCTTAAGTCCATCCTTCTGCTGTTTAAGTGTATCATGACATTGTGGGCATGGACAATGGCAGAGAGTCCAGCATCTTATTGTCAAGATACAGTTCATAGTTTCAGTGGGAGTCCTCTTTGAGTTGGAAGTAGAACTGCATTGTATCCTCACATCTGGATATGATAGTCTCCATTACACAGTTATTATACATCCCCTTAATTGAAAACCCACCATACAGAATCAATAACAGAAGAAAAACAGAAATTTACAACAACATGAAATAACACGCTACTGAATGACTAACATGTCTCTGAAGAAATGAAAATCAAGGACCTTCTTGAAGAAAATGGTGCTATTGTATGACCTGTGAGTCAGGGAAGAATTTGAGAAAAAAAAACTGTTTTGAAGAAATGACAATAAAAACATCAAAATTCATGAGATAGAGTTTATGCTGATATTTGTTGGCGAGATGTGTATCCTGTAGGCAACAGATAGATGGGTTTTGTTTTTGATCCCATTCGCTAATCTGACATTTCATTGATGAGTTCAAGCCACTTACATTCAGGGTTAATCTCGATAGGTGGTAATTTAGTCCTGTCATTTTAGTACTGGGTTGTTCATTGTTTGATTTAGTCTTCTATTGTCATTTTACTGGGATATTCTTTGCATTTGGCTTTGGTAGATGCTATTCCTTTTCTCCATCAAGAGAACATCTTTATCATTTGTAGAGCAGGTTTAGAAGAGGCATATTCTTTGAATTTTTCTTTATTGTGGAAGGATTTTATTTTATTTTCAAAGGAAAGTTTTGCTGGGTACAATACCCTGGGCTGATCATTTTTTTTTCCTTTTAGAATCTGGAATATGACTCTGTCTCTTCTGGCCTATAATTTCTTGTGAGAGATCAGCTGTGAATCTGCTTGCCATTCCCCTATATGACAATTGATTTTTTTAAAACATGCACATTTAAGGATCTTTTCGTTACGTTCGACAGAAGACAGCTCGATTATCAAGTGTCACGGTGCAGATCACTTTTGGTCAGCCCTGTTGGGAATTTTGTACCCCTCCTGGATGTTGTGTTCCAGTTATTTCTCCAGATGAGTGAAATTATCATACATTATTTCATTGAATACATCTTTAAACCCAGCTTCTCTTTCTGTACCTTTTGGAACTCCCGTAGCTCTTTTATTTGGCCATTTGATAGTGTCTCTTAATTCTCAATTACCTTTTTAGCTAGACCCTATACTCCACTTTCAGTTTTTTGATTGTGTCATCATTGCGGCAAGAAATATCAATTCTGAGATTCTTTTGTTTCATTCATTCTATTATGGAGATTTTCCACTGAACTTTCAATTTGCTTCATTGTGTTCTTCATTTATAATAATTCAGCTTGATTTTGTTTCAGTGTTGCTATTTCCTGCATGACATATTCCTTAAATTCCTGTATGTGCTTCTCGTTGTGGATAAGAAGCTCTCTAACAAATTTTTTGAAGTTCTTTATCCCCTATTTCCTCGATGTATCCCTCAGTTAACTCTGAGGTTGGTAAAGCCTTTTGCTCCTTTGCAGGGAAATCTTCAGTAATATTCACTGTGCCTCTATCTCTTCTGCTCTTAGTCACTGTACTTCTGGTTAGCATATTCTTCTCCTTAGGGCAAGTTTCTAAGCTGTGTCACAGTTCAATTTTACTGATTATGTTTGGTACCCAGTTCTTTGTAGTCACTTAGGCTACTCCCTCCAGCGAGGTCCAGGTCTGGGTTCTTCTGTTAGGCTTTCACCACAGTCTCTGTAGCCCCAGCTCCTGGCTCACCACTCTTCACCTCCTGTGATCCTGTGCTGTTGCTGCACCACTGTCTGTACAATCTTTTTCCTACTTCTGGTTCAAGCAGTTCCCAGGATAAAGGAGACATCAGGTGTCCAAAATAGCCAGGCTGTTGGTGCTGCTGATCTTGCTGGAACCTGCTGGCTGTTAGATCTGAGCGTTAACCAGATCTATTTTGGGCGGGGCCCATAGGGTGCCAAACTCAGTACTATTTTCCCTGTGGGACCAGTTCAATGCACTGAGTTGGAAGTGAGTTCTCTTTCCGCTTAGCATATGCACAGCTCACTGTTGTCCCTCCAGTCCCACAGCTTTTGCCATACTATCCAAAATGCACCTGACAGGGGACTGGTGGAATTCTGGGTCTGCTGGCAATTAGGTCTAGGGTCTACCCAAACCTATTTTGGGTGGAACCTATAAGATACCATGTCAGTACTGTTTTCCCTGTGGTGTGGGACCAGTGCAATGCACTGAGCAGGAAGTGAGTTCGGTCCCACCTTAGTACATGCACAATTTGCTGTTGTCCTTTCAGTCCCATAACCTTTGCCTTACTACACAAAATGGTGCCCCATGTGGCTGTGGTAGGTGTCTGGGCTGTGAAAGCCATCCTATTCCTGCATAGCCTGGTTGGGGTCTGTTGCTATATCTCTGCTCCTGGTTGAATCAAACAAATCAGCAGGATAGCCAGTTCTTTGGGTTCACCTCCTGAGCTCCTGGTGAACTCTGATTCCCATCTAGCTGCTGCTGGAGCTCTGGCCACTGGTGGAGTTCAGACAGCCACTCGCTGACTGCTGCTGGGGTATCTGGTCACTACAATACCACTCCATTGTCTCCACTGTTCCCTTGTGTCCGCCAGTCTCCAGGTGCCCCTCTACTGTCAGCCTGTCCTCTCTATTTCCTGAAATCTGCTCTCCCTGCTTCATGCTGGCTAATGATTCTCCATCGGCTTAAATGTGTCCTTACCCTATTCATTTTGATTCTCCCAGGAGCATCTTCTTTTTCACCTCTAAAAATATTTTTCACCATTAAAAATATCACCTTCACCTTCTTTTTGCTTTTCAAAACCAAAGCACATTCTGCAGTCATACAGGAGGACGGCATATTAAAGAATTCTATAAACGCCTTAGATAAAATAACCATTTTCTAAGAAATAGTAACCATCTACAAAAATCATAAGAAGTGGAGAGCATAGCTGTTGTTTCTCTTTTTCTTTTTACAAAAATATTACAGGCCCAAAGAAAATGAGTGTTGAACAACACTATACAGCTTGTTACAGGATGGTCTTTTAAGGCAATTTGACAAAGTGGGAAGATCTGAAGAAAGAAACACAAGACGCTGGAAAAGGTCAATTTAATGCTAGCCAGACCAGATCTTGCCAACCTCAAATTGAAGAATGGATTCAACAAACCAACCCAAGGCCTGGCATGTTTGGGCAGGGAGGGGGCTGGGAATGACTCACACGTCTGAGGAGTCCAGCACTCACCCTCTCATCCATGGGCATTCGGGCGCCATCACCTCGGCTCTCTTCCCGCCCCGGGACGCGGGCCACGGAGAGTCCATTCAAAGCAGCCAACATCAGCGGCCTCTTCTGTACTTCCAGGCCTGCCCTCTTCTGCTTCTCTAGATTCTTACAGCAAGAAAAGGCACGTCCTCATTGTTTAGAATACCAGCACAAGCTTGGAATGTGTTTTAATCTCCCCAAATCTGTAACTCCCCAGCCAAGGAATGCAGACACTCACCATTAGGTGGGAAAATGCAAACCCAGACTTCCCATTATTCCCTCTATACCCGAGAAAACCAGTTCCTACAGGACTGCTGAGCTTGTACTTCTAAGTTTTAATTAATTCACTCATTAGAGAAATAAATAAAAGTAGAAGGTTCTCTACAGACATATCTTGCCATAGGGCATGCCGTCTCTTGCATTCCCTCTCTTTCATACATGCATGCACACATATATAAGACACGCAGACTATATTTTAAAAGACTAGGGTTAAATGAATACAGGACAAAGAAAACAAAAAGTTACGTGAATCAACTAATCCAATCCCAATGGTGTGGAGTCTTTCAAAGAAGGAATGTTGCATATGTGTAAAACGTCCTCCTCTGTGCTGTTGACGGAGAAAGATGCAGACATATCCAGGAGAGGCCGAGTCTCCTTAAGTTTCCATCCCCAGGAACTAAGCCTGAGGATGCTACCCTGTACTAGTATCTGGTCCTTGGTGAAGTCACAGCTGTGCTCCTCCACAAGACAGTGAAACTGATCAGCCCAGGATTGCCCTGCATGTCTCATCCAGCGGACCCAAAGGAATGGACCGACCCTGTGTCTCCCAACAACCACAGCAGGACGTATCTCACAAGGCCACGTTATTTATGGGGAAGCCTGACACGGGGGCTGAGCAGATCATCACAGGAAAAGTTACATGTTCCCATCAGAGAGTGGCTTGCAGCTCTCTGGGGGTCCACACTCTATCTGTAGCTGCACCTGCAATCAGAATGAGATGAGCTGAGCACTGGCTGTGAGGCCCACCACTGCTCCCTCCCCAGTGCCTGAAACTGACTGAGCTGTGACCAAAACCCTTCAAACTCACTGAGGGTTCATTAGGAGCATTCCCTTAAAATAACTTTATCTTATGCATTAAGAGAAGAACAGAAGCAGAGTGTCAGACTTTGATCCAAACTGAAATGGAAACTGAAGGGTCATGTTTGACTGTCTCAGATGAAGGGGTTACCTTATCACTTCTTTCTCAAGCCTTCAGGGACTTTCTCTCTGGTTCTATCACTTGCAAATGTCTTCCCAAGGTATCCTGACAGCGGTGATCACACAGGGTAGGAGACTACTCTGTCAATAGAGGGACGGCACATCCTACCATCCCATGCTACCCTTGCATGTGCAACACTGTCACTGTGATGTCCCCTGCTATCAGCACTGGAGCCTCTGCAAGTGATACTGCCTGTAAGACACCTGTCCTGGTGATGGAGTCTGCTCACCCATGAGATCAGAGAGACACCTTGGGGGAGAGTGAACGGCAAGGAAGTGAAGAGCACAAAGGACTCTCAGCCAGAAGGCACAACACCCTTCAGAATGGCCTGGATTTCTCAATCTCAGGCAACACCTTGCAAAAGACTCTGGATTTAAATCGGTGAGTCCTTGTTTGCATTTTGGGACCATAGGATGTTTTTCCCCATCACTCCTTTTTTTAGTTGGGAATGTACTGTTCCTATCCAAAGTTTCTAGAAAAACAGTTCTTAGTGTCTCTCAACAGTCTTTCTTTCTTCTTACTCACATTAGACAGTGACCTCAAGTAGACCTAAGAGAGTAAGTCAGTAACTGGTATTTTTTGTGGGAAAGAATTACTGTTTCTCTGGCGATAATGGAAGGCCCAGTGATAAAAGAGTTGTCTCTTAACTTTTTCTTATACTCAGCTTTTTACCAGAGAGGGAAACAACATTCATAACTCAAAGATCTGGTCTGGATTCTGGTTGTTAGAGAACTAAAAACAGTGAGATGTCTTCAAGAGAGCAGTAGGAGCTGGGACGAGCAGCCATAAAGTCCACAGTCTGGATTCCTCCACTGCACAGAGAAGCAGCTCCAACATCACTCAGAGCTGCTTGGAGGGAGGATTCTTACCATACTTCTTTCTCATCCACTGGGGAAAAAGTTGGCTTCCATTTGTATACACTTTCTCATTGTCCCCTTATCCAGAAGGCCTTGGGATGGCTGCTGGTGGTTCTGTCCTCTCAACCACTGCTAGCAAGCCCATGGAGAGGAGGACAGATGCATGTGAGCTATGCAGGTGCCATGTAGGTCAGGGCAGAGTCCCTGCATTCAAAAATAAAGATGGCCATCGCCTTCGGCCATGCTTGGTCTCCTCCCTGACACGGAGTCTCGAACCCTCTTCTGAGGTCTGGATACCAGCAAATATTGTAATCCTTGAGCTCCAGACTGTGTAAAGGATTTGGGGGAAAAAGAAGTAACAAAAATAACAATAATCATGTTCCTGAACTGAAAGTTAATGGTTAAAACCTGTTAGTTGCTCATATGCCTATGGATGGAATGGAACTGAATACGGGGAGGGGAGGGTTGGAATGGCAAGCACCTTGCTCCTTGGCAATAATGCAAGGACAAACACCATGATTTTGACTACAGGCTCTTTAAGAGGATGAATATGACCAAATGAGGTTATGGGACCATGTGGACGTCATTAAGCATCAAGCTGGCAAGACTAATAGATTCTTGAGGCTACAGTTGCTTTTCAAAGGCCCGGGGCCAACAAGTGTTGAAAAATCCCCTTTCTACGAATGAGTTCTTTTTTTTTTTTTTCCAAGCTGGGAAAGCTCTACCCCAGTGGCATCCCCTCCACATTTCACTGCACCCCAAGCCAAAAACTCTCATTGCCAGCCATGCAGGTAATCTTTCACAATTTCCCTCTAGCTCTGCAGAAAGTGGAAAAAGTTCTGCTTGTACAAAACTCTTAGTCCAAAACTATGAGGCTGAGAATGTTTTTTTTTCCTAAAGCAACCAAGTTGCTATGGTTAGATTCCTTAATTTGGCAAAGCAGTCTCCTTAAAATCTTGGCTTCTGATCATTCTCAGATGGATTTCCAGTGATGAGTGAGGATGACTTATAATCACAGCAAGACTAATGAACCCCATCAAAGCAAAGTTTCAGTTGCAACCAGAATTCTTACATGAGGTTCAACTTTACAGCAGAGCTATAGAGAATGAACAGCAGTCAGTCTGGAGTGGGTAATAGTGTTTCTATGAGAGTGAAAATTTTCAGGATAAGCAGCAATGGAGCTTCTAAAAGCAGCAATTTCAATCCAACAAGTTTTTAAGAAGAGAGATTCACTTTGTTCTCGGTGTGCATCTTGCCTGAAAATATCCCTGGTCACCTGGGTCATAAGTGCTTAGAAGAGCTGTCAATATCTAATTTGTGCCTTCAGAGGCCACAACTATGTGTGTGGGTATGGGTCTGTATGTGTACACTTACATACGTGAACTCTGAAGAGGCCCGATAGGAAACAGAAAGACAACAGAAAATTTCTAATTTATATATCCAATTATTATGATTTTCCTGAATTGAACATCCGCTGAACAAAAATGTGAAAATAAGGCTAGCTACATCATTGTCTGGACAACACTGATGAGCTATCTTGACATGGATCTATACAGAGAGTTGATTGATATAGCAAGGCTGCTTCCTTGACAGCTGATTGGGGGAAAAAGTGTTTCTCCTGGAAAAAAAAAAAAAAAAAAAGGATGCCAAGAGATACAGGGAAACAAGCTTTCAGCACTTTTTACAATTAGAATTTGAGTTCCCAAACAGCAAAATATTGGGTTAGGAATTGATCAACAATCCCAAAATTCTCTTCTGACACTGCACGCCAAGTATACCTGCTGCCACAAATGACAATGGGAGGTTTACTTGACAGGATACAAATCAACATCTGGAGAAAAAGAAATACTATCTGTCCTATGTCTGATGATTTTTTTTTTTAAGCAACACATTCACTCAATAAATCTTTAGTATCTTCTTTATTGCTTAAAAATATGTACCAAGGCACTTCAAAAATGGAACCAAAAGATGAGTTTCCTTTGTTGTAAGCTATGTCTGAGACCCACGCATCACTGTCTCGTAATGTGCATTTCCTGCGAATGTTCTGCTGGCCACACCCCCTAGCACCTAGCACCATGTGTTTCCCCACCATGAAGAGGAAGACACTTACCCTGATCATCATCTCTCTCTCTATAATGCTGTCCTCCAGGGAAAACATCTCAGACACAGGTCTCTCCTTTACCGGCTCTTTCCTGGCCCGCTCCTTCACGCTGGTCAGGTCGGGTTCAGAGATGGATGGGCCAAGCGAGGGTCCGGCTGCAGTGGGTTGGTCGGCCCGGGAAACACTAAGGGCCTTGGCTGGCCCATGCCTCAGCAGCCTGGCCCGGGTGACAGCAGGTGGGAGGCTGCACGGGTCTGGCCTCAGTGCACCATTGCTAACACTTTTCCTTGGCCCAGGGTACTCGGGTGGGGGTTTGTTGGGGATGCGAGCCAAGGCGGCCTGCAGCTGGGCACTGTACTCCATCTTCTCCCGAAGTGTGGGGATCTGGGCCACAGGCTCAGGCATCTCTTCCTCCTCCTCGCTCTCACTGCTGTGGATCAGCATGGTGGCGTCAGACAGAGTCTTCTTGTGCTGGTACTGGGGCAGCTGAGGGGGCTCGTCAGGTGGGCCCTGCTCACGGAACGTGTTGCGGCGTGCCAGGGGGATGTGTAGCGACTTGAGCGTCATGGCTTCCATGCCACGCACCATGCAGTTCATCACCTCCAGGCTGTGGCGCTTATTCACCGCACCATGGTGCTTGGTGGCTGTGAGGGGCTCACTCACCTCTTGGAGAGACTGATGCACCACTGGCGAGCTGTCCTCCTGGAAGGTCTTAACTGACAGCTGCACCTTGCGGGTCACCAGGTCAGGGCTGCTGCCACTGACATACTTGTGGCGGTGGCTGGCCAGGTCCGGTGTGCTGGTGGCTGGCCGGGGCCTAGGGTAGGGGGGCGGCGGCCGGAAGAGATAGTTCTTGAGCATGTGGGCTGTGCTGTAGTTGTGGCTGCCTTGGAGCTGCATGTTGGCCAGCTCTGGGGTGCTCACCGTGTGTGAGATAGCACTGGCCCCGGGCTTGCTGGGCACTGCCTTATTCTTTGGGGTCATTGGGTCACTGGGACAGAGGAGCTTGTTTCCATAACCACCCTGCAACGTGTATGGGATGGTGTAGGGGTGTCTCTCCCGCATCTCGGGTTGGCTGTACACCAGGTCCTCGGGCTGATTGTAGGCATGGGTGTTGATAATGTTGAGGTTTCGCAAAGATTGACTCTGGCTGTCGGTGTGCACCATGCCACGCTTCATCTGCCGCATGACGGTCTCGTAATCAGGGGTGGGCCTGTAAGAGGGCACGATGATAGCACTGTGCCGGTGGCTGGGGATGTAGTCAGCTCGCATGATGTCGCTCCCAGGGATGCTGAGGTTGGAGGAGACAGGGGAAGCCTGGATGAAACTCTGGGAGCAGTTGAGGGAGTTGATGCTGTGAACGCTACACACGCTGCCATTGGTGACAGTGCCATTTAAGTAATTTAGGTCCAGGCTGTTGTGAGAGTTGCAATATAAGGCTTCTTCATTCCCATGAAAGATGCTGTCTACAAGAGGCCAAACAGAGGCACATGAACCTCCATGTCATCCGTTCCAACACAGAGGGTGATTTAAACGAGTCATGGAAAGTGAAATCCACGGTCTCCACCAACACATTTCACAGAAAAATGGAAAAGTTCTCAGAAAAGAAGCCAGCAGGCAGAAGCAACACTTTCAAGCATGCTAAAAGGAAGACCCAAATGTAAACAAGGCTACGCACATTCAGAATGTGTTGTCTGCGTCAGTTTTCCATTCTGCCAAGCACAAGCTTTTAGAGCAAGCCTCAGCAACAGCCCTCCCATCGCGGAGACCTGTCCTCCCGCATCGCACCATCACCAGATGTCTGGCCAAGACGCCAAGAACTTTAACAAAAGGACAGATCTGAGGTTTTGTAGCATATGGAGCTACTTTGCCGAGCTGCGATGTTCAGGGTCTCTTTACCCATGGGGCTGCTCAGAAGTCAGGAAGCCACAAGACAACTGGCAAAGCAGTAACAGCTGTACCACTGGCATGCTCTCAACAGCAACCAGAGCAAGTCATGATTGGATCCAGGAGTTCTGAGTGGGTGTCATGGCATAATGGAGTAAGCTGCTGCTTGGGATGCCTACTTCCTATTCCTGGCTCAAGTCCTGGCTACTCCACCTCCAATTCAGCTCCCTGCTAACGCTCCTGGCACACATCAGATATAGCTCAAGTACTTGAGTTTCTGCCTCCCAGGTGGCACACCTGGTCAGAGTTCCTGGCTCCTGGATTCAGCCTGGCCCAGCTTCAGCTATTGTAGCCATGGAGGAGAGAAAGCTGGTGGGAGATCTCTCTTTTCTCGATCTCCATCTCTTTGTATCTCTGTCACTCTACCTTTTAAATAAATCTTTTCTAAAAAATAAGACATTCTTTTAGCCCTCTCCAAAATCCTCCTCTTGACCTGGTTGTATCATTGAGGTCCAATTAAGTAACTATTAACTGTGAAAAAGTTCTTCTAGACACTAAAAATCTATTTCTAAAGGGAAGCCATTCTAGGAGTCCCACGTTCATTACACACACAGTCCCTAGAAAGGACACCTCTTGATCAAACACGCTTCTGTACCCAAAACACATTTTCCACTACTGATTTAAAAAAGAACAAAGCAGCGGAAGGTGAAAAGGCAACAGGCAGAAATGGCAATTAAAAATACTCAATGATCTGAAGGATAGGAACAGATCTGATCAGACAAAAGGCAAAGGAGATGAACAGGCTACAACACGCACACTTCCAGTAGAACTTGCTTCCGATGGGGCTGGCTACCCCCATCTCCCAGAGGCAGGGTAATTTTGCCATCTGAACTTTTTTTAAAGCAGTAGTTTTATTAAATTAAAATTTTGTCTTTGTTTTCATGTTCATGCTTTGGTATCACAGAGGATCCCAACTGGCCAAGAGATGTTGGAGATCCCAGGGCTTCAGGTAACACCCCAGGTTTCCTAGTATTCTCTGAGAAGCAGTTCCTGTAATGGTTGAGATGTCAGTTTTCACATCCAAATTTCACTAGTACCCTTCTCTTTATGCCATTTCCATACCGATAAGCTGGAATAACACCACCATAGGTTTATTCTGAGGATTAACTGAGTATATCAATACTAACTACTTAGAGCAGTGCCTGGCACAACACACTTGTTCTATAAATGTTTACTGTTGAACTGTTATAATTATGATTACCAACTGGAAAGAGTTTTTTCACATATTTTTCGTAAGGGAGAAAAAGAGCAAAAACGGATTTTCTTTATTCTGAGAGGCAACAAGTACCTTAAGAAACAGGATACAGGGAAAGATGAAGGGAAAGAAAAACTCTGAAAGAAGGATCTCTCTCTCTTTTTTCAAAGATACAAAGAAAGTTCCCATCTCTTGGTTCACACCCCAAATGCCCACAACACTCAGAGCTGGCCATGCCAAGGTCAGGAAGCTAGGATATTCAACCAAAGTCTCTGACATGGATGCTAAGAACCCAGGTACTTGAGCCATCACCTACAGCTCCAATGGTATACACTAGCAGGAAGCTGGAATTGGAAGCAGAGCTGATCCTCCCAGGAGGTGCTTCAATATGGAAGGCTGCTCCCAAAGACAGTGGATTACATCCGGTTGGCCAGAACACCTGTCCCCACTTGTCTCCATGAGATACCGGCCGATGTCTCCAAGCTTGTGATATTGGCCCTGCAGCTAACACACTCGGCTGGTTCAGCTGCCCTCTTCTAAATCTCGTTGAGAGGCAGGAGAAAAGAACTCATTCACCGTCTCAGCCCTGACTTTCCCGGGCAGAGAATTTGGGGGGCAATTTTCTTTCAGGTATAACTGATGCGCAGGTTTCTCACAAATTGAAACTCCTGGCCTCCACGCAGACCACAACCAAGCTAAAGTAGAGGCATCGCCAGCGCCTGAAGGAGGAAAGGCAGAGTTACCTTGTGAGGTGTGCGTTTCCGAATAGTGCTCGCCACACTGGACATGCATGGGAGGCAGGATGTACGGCTGCTGCCTGGGCTGGAACAGAGAACACAGCGGAGCTGGGTAGGAGGCCTCGGCATGAACCAACACCCAATCATCAGAGAACCACCGCCCATGCCTCATGTCTCTCCCTTGGACCTCTCCCTCTCATCTGTACCCCAGATCAGAACTAAGTCTGGGACTGGACAAACCATGAGGGAATAAGTGACAAGCTGGGTTCAGGATCAGGCAGAGGAAGAGGCTACAAACGCAGCATGCAGCTCCATGTTTACCATCTGGCCCGTTGATCCGTGCAAGGTTCTCCATGCCCTGCCTCACAGGAAGCACTCAGCAAGGTATGTTAGAACCACCCACCTGAGAAATCATGGGAGAGTGACAGGGGAGGCCAATGGGCTCTTCTTGGAGCCACAAGCTCTCATAGGCCAGTGGAAGCTGTGCCCACGAGGCTGAGTCACATTAACCTCAAGCAGGGGTAAAGTCAGTGCTAAGCTGGTGCCAGAGGTGAACTTGCCCAATGATCTAAAAGAGGGCCCATAAGGAGTGTGCACTTCTCAAGATCACTTATGGACTTCCCCCCAAACACAGAACCAAATGTGGGAGTGAGGGCCTGGCTGGGAATCCAGTTCAGTGCTATACCAGCCACTCTCCAAGTGGAAAAACTTTCCCAACAGACTCTCACAGATGACTGACTGCAGTGACCCTGAAAAACTCCTGCTGCAGAAGAGGACAAATCTTAAAACCCCTAGAAGGGTCCTCACCTAGAGTAAATAGTTGATGGGTCAACAAATGAAAGAAGATTATTCACGAACATGACCTAGGGCAAGACTTCTAACTCCAGCTGGTCACCATTTTCTGTCAATCCAATGAAGCTCCTTCCTCAATCATTGTCCACTCTGCTTACATCTGGATTTCAGGTAAGAGTTTGTCTTACGGAAAAAAATCCATGTCAGAAGGAAAAAATCTCTTAAGTTTGTAAGGATTACATTCACATTACTATTAGGCTTATAACTTTCAAGATTTTTCCCCTGACATGGACTTTTTCTTAAAATAAAGGGAGCCTCAAAAATTCACAGAGAATGTATATTATGGACAAAATTATCCAGGGCCTGTGTGGCTGCTCAGTGGCCTAAATCCTCACTTTGCATGTGCCAGGGTCCCATATGGACACCAATTCATGCCCTGCTCCACTTCCCATCCAGCTCCCTGCTTGTGGCCTGGGAAAGCAGTCGAGGATGGCCCAAAGCCTTGGTACCCTGTACCCATTTGGGAGACCTGGAAGAAAGTCCTGGCCCCTGGCTTTGGATTGGCTCAGCTCCAGTTACTGCAGCCACGTGGGGAGTGAACCAGCAGATGGAAGATCTTTTTCTCTATACCTCCTCTCTGTGAATCTCCTTTCCAATAAAAAACAAAACTTATAAAAAATTACCTATGGATTTTGTTTTTTTAAGACCAATATAAATTTTTCTCTGAAATCCAAATCCAAATTTCCTTGTGTTTTTCTGGAGTACTTTCTCTTTCTTTCCTACCAAATGTGCATGAGCATCAAGGGGGCAACTGAAGAAGGTAGTGAAGACAAGGAGTCCAAAAATTCAAAGGAAACAACAGAAAAGAAATTAAACTAAGCCGAGAAAGTAGTTCAGGGTACCAAAGTAAAGAATTATACAAATTCTCTGAAATATTTTCAAGTGTCTCTTTGGGTGACTTTTACAGTATAATTGAAAATTTTTTTCTCTTCTTGGCAACATATAATTCATTTCAAATTTTCCATGGTAAGTGCAACGGCTTGGTGGCTTTCTTGTGTTTTAAAAATAGTGGGAAGGTATTTGTATAAGGATATACTGTAAATTAGTATATATTTGTGGAAAATATGCATTCTTTAAAAAAAAAACTGCACGAATACAAAAACCTTCTTTGTACTAACATAGATTTATCTTTACATTTCATTTGCCCACAAGCTTTCTTAAGTCTTTTCCTAAATGTACAGGTTAAGGACAGTAGCTGCCAAACCTCCCAATACATTTCAGTAGTATTTGTCCCATTTCTCTCAGACTGAAATTACAGGTAGTAGAAGGGCCAAATGAGCATGATGACTGCCGCTTCTGGGTATCAGCAAGGAGGCCAAGAGATAACGTTGCTGTAAGGGACTCTTGGTGAAACGGCTGAAACCCCAAGGGCAGGAGGGGTGGGGAGGCCCCAAAACCAACTTCTGGACTGACTTCACCCAAGTAAGACAGGGAAGCCTCTGCATGCCTCCAGAATAATTACATGAGATCAGATCACTGTGCCCTTGTGGTGTTTCATGACCATAAATGAAAAATGTCCTCACTAATTAAAGACATTTGGGCAGTAAAAAAGAGAAAGAGAAAAAAACATAAGCAAAGGAAAGAGAATAGAGACACCAGAGTCACAGACCAATCCACTGGTTCTCCAGCAGGACTCCCACAGTGCCCCTACAGTTCCAAGGCCAAGGGCTCCAGGTGAGATGTGGTACATGATACTGACAGAACCAGCACTCAAGGGAAGTCTCGTGAATTCTCATGTCATAATGTCACAGCCCAACTTCAGCCACTCTGTGATTCCATGCTCATGTGGTCTCTAGGTAGCAAATTGCCCGCAGACTGACTTAAGTAAAGTCAACGATATACCAGAGGGTATACACTGTTTGTGAACAAAAATGTAATTTTGTTCTCTTACAAAAAAGAGCAGTTCATCTAGAAAAACTAAATGGCCACATATCTACCTTGATTTTGTACCAAAAGAAAAAAAAAAAAGACCTAAAAGAACTATCACAAAACAAGTAGAACGCTGAAAAGGAAATCAACTCTTTGCATCTTTCTACTTCCTAATTTTTGAGTAATCCACAAAATAAAACACAGCCCAACTAAGATCACAAACATTAGAACTGGAGTTGTATTTCCTTATTCACATGAGGAGGGAGACTTACCTCACCTCACCTCCCTAAAGTAGTTGCACTAGTTTGAGTTTGGTTGAAAAAAAATAATGATGGGTGGATTTGAATTTCGTTGGATAATTAAAACCTTACAATTCTCACTGGCTGGGAACAAGATGTAGAAAGGTAAATGCAGGCCACACTGGAGAAGGGATGGGCAGGGACAGGTGTAATGGGAACTGGGAGGCTGTTCCTGCGCCCACATAGCTTCCTGTGTACTCACAAGATCTCCCCTGGTCACCAGGTCCTCACCAACACTCCTTCCCTAGCATTCCAACCAGTTACTGACTGAAGATCTTGTACGTACCAGGGAGGACCGGCTCCAGGTGGGCTGGCGTCTGATGGGAGGTGGAGAATTTGACTGTCTACAAGAGGTAGAAAAAAATGAGAATCACTATCATTATTGAGCGGATGTATGCTGATAAGATAGACTAGATCAATAGCACTGACACCAAAACATGAACAGTGCTTATTTCTAGATACTAATGCTAAGAACCATTTCAATTTCCATTTTTATCCTCAAAATGTTTGGAACACATATGTTTGTAATAAGCTTTCAAAAGTATTATTAAAAGAATAAGGCTGGGACCAGTGTTATGGCATAACAAATTAATAAGCCTCTGCCTGTGATGCCAGCACCCTAGACTGATGGAGTCCCAGCTGTTCTAATTACAGTCCACCCTCCTACTAACATATCTGGAAAAACAGCGAAGATGGCCTAAGTATTTGGTACCACCCACTCAAATGAGAGAACAAAAGTTTCCTTCAGCTTGGCCCAGGAATGGAACATAAGATATTGTCCTCTCATCTCTTTTAAACAAATCATTTTTTAAAAAAAGAATGGAGCTTATTATAAAGAAAATACGGTTATGAAACAAAAAACATAATCCTTAATATAGTTTTTAAAAACGATCCTTGGTGCTCTGTATGTGTGTTCATTTCTTTAGCAATACATTAGTCATTCAGTAGCATGTTATTTAACTTCATGGCATTGTAAATTTCTACTTTTCTTTCCATTGTTGATTTTGTATTATGACTTTTCATTTAAGGGGATGTACAGTAACTGTGAAATGGAGACTAACATATCCAGATGTGAGGATACAATGTAGTATGCATCTCTACTTCCAGACAAAGATGGACTTACAATGAAACTGTTTACTATATCTTCACAATAGAATGCTGGACTCTCTGCCATTGTCCATGCCCGCAATGATTGACATATGACTGTGTATGAAGAACTATACTTTAGTAATGATATAGAGGACAGGTATTGGGGAGGGGAGTTGAGGAGGGGATAAGGGAAATCCCAGAGCCTATGGAACTGTATCATAAAATGAAAATAATAAATAAATAAAGATTTTTTAAAAAGCAATAAGAAAAGTATCTTAAAATGCTTCTAGATAAATAAAACTCCAAAACAGATATAATGTTTTTGAACATGACTATCCAAAGGTACTTTTTGTTAAGATGACACCTATTACAGATATTCCTTTCTGGATAGCCAACATGAATTAAAAAGAGAAAAGAGCTAAAAATGAGAATTAAAATCAAAGGGGCCTTTAAGGTGGGTGTCAAATGCCATGAGAACACTTCTCCAAAGCTCAGTGTTAGCATGGAATAAAAACCAGAACAGGCAGACCTGTCTCAGAGCCCATCCTTCCTCCCATTATTACCTTTCTGGTAATGATGCACTTTCTTTTAAGAGCCAGTGGAGATGACAGAGCAATATTTGACTCGTAAAATGTCTGAATATACACATCATTCACAGACCTATATTAAACCACTTCCCCTTGTCCCTGACATGCCAGGAGCCTCTCCTGGTATTAACTACCTAGTGACACCAAAGAGCATCCTTGTGGAGACCAGCAAACAGGACTCTCTGGAGAAGGATGCTGACCTGTTGATGACGGTGTCAATGAACTCCAGAGTGACCCAGCCCATGTTGAGCCTCTGCAGCTCACACAGAGCTGACTGAACACGTGTGAGTGGGTGTAGAGGCGGAGAGACCCTTCACAGACAGTGCCCAGTTTTCATCAGAGTTAGCAACATCCCTAGGCTTGCTAAGAAAGAGTTGGATATTGAAGGAGGAGAATGAAAACCCAATTTCACTTCAGCTTTTAGTCTAACATGTAGTGTTCACTAATATTAGAGGACCACAGAAGAAATACACACAGAAAGCTCTACAATAAAATCTGCAAATGGTTCAACCAGAAAATTACAGTGAAATCATTCACTCCATGGAAGTCAAGTCCAGTGCTCCTGATGGGGTCAAGGACAAAAATCAACACTGCAGAGAAAAACTGTGCAGAGGCGTCCTGGAGGGAAGTGGGTATGGGGCACCAGTGTCTGGAGCAAAGACATAGCCTCAGATCTCTTCCTCCCTGGCTCACCCTTCCTGTGTCTTAGATTTGCTAACTGTGCTAGTAGGCCTATGGCCATAGGCTTTGGCTTCAGATCCCGACAGGGCCTGACTGCACTGACTGCTTTGAAAGAGCTTCCAGCATGCTGAACAGAAAGTCTGCATCAATCCTGGGTTCCAGCTACAAAGCAGCCACATGCTTCAGCAGGAAGTGCTCTAGGACTGGACTCTTGATTCCAGGACGTGTCCACCTTGGCAGTGGAAAGGCAGCACTCCCCGCGCACTGGCAGTCCTGACGTTCTTTGAAACAAAATGAAGTGCCCTGGGTGTCCCAACGGCTGAACACACTCTGCTCAGGAACTCACTCCCAATGTCTTTTGAAGGCAATCAGGGCAGAGCCCACGGCGGGGTGAGTCCCAGCACGCGGTCGCCAAGGTCAGGTCACAGTTAAGTGTCCTCATCAGACACCCTTTTATCATCTTTATATCCAAATTAAATTTAAAAAAAAAAAAGACATACGGATTTGTGCCATCTATGAGTGTCTTCCAAATCTTCCTCTAATTACCCTGGCCTCTCATTTGCAGTAAGATGACATGACCCAAGAGCACACGACACGCAGGGTTAGCCAACTGTGTCAGCAAAACGGGGCTGAGGATGACAAGCGCTTCTTCTCTTTTAAGCGGGCTCGTCACCGCACTACTCACGTCTGAGCCCACTCCACATCTGACACGAAGGGGCACCCTGGCAAATTGGCAGCCTCTCAACTTATCCAAACTCAGAGTTGGGGGTGGAAAGGCACTAATGCAGCCATCCTGCCCAGGCAGTCGAGCACTGGCAGTCAATTTGCGAATTACTCTCTCTCTAGGCTTGCATGCTACATGAGACAGTCTTCATCATTACCGCTCTTTCTCTCCTGCAAGGTGACAGCTTCCTTCTTTAGCGAGGAAAGAGACGAAAATGCAACTCCCAGTGCCTGTCAAGCAAGTGAATCTAGACTGACAAGCCAGCTAGCAAGATGGGGGATTACATGTTTACTTACTCAGTACAGATTTTGTTTTGTTTATAAAACTTGTGCCTTGTACTGAACAACCGGGAAATATACTTGGCATTCTCGATATCATCCTTGGAAAAGAAAGATGGAGAAAAAATATATAAGCATTGTTTGCTGAGGTAAACAATTCCCTGGGATTGATCTGAACATAACTTACCTTCCCCTCCTTTTCAAACACACAAGAGCCTGTGGCACCGGCAAACAAACCAACCTGCTAAATTTTAGTGGCCAACATGTCCATACAGGTCACCAAAAAAAAAAAAAAAAAAAAAGAGGCAGACCTTATGTCCAAGGTCTTGGGCTACACTGATGAACTGGCATGCCTTCACTAATTCCAAACTGAGAACTATAAAAATAAATAACTGGACGGGAGGCAGAGTGAACAGAAAACATCAGACATCATCAATGCGAAGGCCGTGAATTGCCTGAGCAGTCTTAGCTCTTGATGAGGCACTCAACAGAAGGTCACTCAGCTGACTTCAGATTAAGCTTGGACTATGATGGGAATGAAGATCTGGGTCAGCCAGCAAGAGAAAATGCATGTGCTATAATCCAGGATTACCAGCTGGCAGCTGCTAAGTGGGGAGCTGAGGAATGCAGCAGGCCAGACAAGTACTCCATCAGAAATATGCAAGGCAAGTGGGGGTGTTGGATCAAAAGTCAGCTTCGAAACACAGCATTTCAAACAAGAAATTTCATCACCACTGTTCTGAGCTCAGTAATGGTAACACTGGACAGCCACTGGAACACCTCTCCGCAACAAAATGTATATTCTTTTAGAGTATGAAGATCAAGGGAAGGTCTTGAGGAGCTGCTAACTCCAACAGGCAGCTGCCCCTGTGCCCTGCCCTTGCCTGTCCATGCTGCTTACCGTGTGAAAGAGCACTGTCTCCTCCTTGTTGATGAGTTCCACCAGAATAGTTGATTTGTTATGAGTGATATTCCCAATATCATTCCACCTGGTCAAAAGAAGTACAGCTTTATTTGCCCAAAGACATTCCATGCATGTATGCCTTCACACAGGAAGGTCACTTGCTACAGTCAAGCCTCATTTTACCTAAATAAATAAATAAGTATTCAAAGGTGAGATGGCCTAGAATCAGTTCCTAAGAAAACCAAGCACAACTCCTTCTCTCAAAGGAGGAGGGTAGAAAAACACAACACACGTCTGTTTAAATGGGTCAAAACTGTATGTAAACCAAAGCTAGATCAAGTATTACCAAGTATTACTTCCTTATGAATCGCTCTCAGGGAAATCTACAAGGAACTCCTATTGTCTTTGTCCTCTCACATTTCCAGACTTGACCAAATAAGTTTCCATGACTCTTGATTTTTAATGATCAAAGAGTTTATTATTAAAAAGTCATGTTTCCAGAAATCTAGACCAAAGTATCCACATGGGCTCTGTTTTGCCAAGTACTCTACAGAATGCCGGTGTCACTTGAGGAAAAAAAAAATGGGGAGGTTTGATGTATTCATGCTTTTGTGATCTAAGCACACACATACGCACAAAAGCAGATCTTCCCTTTCACCTTTTCCTCATGGATACCTTCCCTAAAGTGAGATACATCAAAGCCAGCAGCAGACAAGCTAAGCCAAGCTACTGAACCCTGTGCTGCCCGGAGCCAACGTCTACCCACCTTGGACTACACTGACCCTTAGCTTGGTGTTCCCCTGTTTCTGCTCTATCGCAGGGCTCAGAGGCCTATGGAGAGAAAAGATCCTTGGTCTCCCCTGACTCCCTACCTTCAAATCCAATGCCAAACTCTGGACACACATTCTTCCCCCTCACCACAGGACTGGTGGCATACTTAATGTGGCATGTCAGTAGAGGGATTTAAGGCGAGATGGCCTAGAATCAGTTCCTAAGAAAACTAAACACAACTTCTGAAGGGCTTCTGCTTATCCAACTTGCAAACTTCCATTTTCTTCTATCTTACCTCAATAGCTGATGGGTAAGACTTGTTTACTTCTCTGTAGACTCAAAAACAAACAAACAAAAACACTGAAATATCAATTTCACTTTGGAAACCTGGTGGGACTAGATGCTTCAAGAGCTTTGAATAGACATTAAAAACCTGGCTACAACTCTGCCTATATTTACCCCTTTTATTCAATTCATTTACACTGTTACAGGCATACAGCAAATCCAAAAGTCAAAAAAGTTTGTTTCATAGCTTCGAAGATCTCCCTACCAATTCCGGTTTCAATAGTGCCTTTATTCAAAGAGTAAGAGAAAATCATAAAAAATAACGGCAGGGTGGGGACCTAGGAAAATAAAAGCCAATCAGGAAGCTTTAGGTTGGCAAACCGTCTTAAAATCAACTACAGTGACTGCTGATCCAGACAATACCCAGCTGGCCAAGACGCACGGTGGGAACGTGGGCTGTGTGCTTTGCCTCTGAGAGCTCTTTGATCACCTGTCCCAGAGCACGCTCTGCCTATCAGACGCACACACAGGAAAGCTGTGCTTAAATGAAAGCACACACACAGTCTTTCAGAACGGACATTACAACGGAATGCATGGGCAGTGGCACAAAGCACAAGTTCACGGACAGATAATGGTGGAGGGCGTTCTGCCACCTCCCTATACTGGACACACTCATGGGGAGTGGAAAAGAGGGTGAAACATCAAAACAATAAAAAAAGTGCCAAAGTCTTCCCAGTTATAGTAAGTTGATGGCCTCTGCGAAACACACTTTTATAAATAATACTCTGTTGTTCATACAAAGGTTAGTTGTGCTCTTCCAGCACGTGGTGCAGAAGAGCCAGGACAAGAGGAAGCAGCCGGTCTGCATTTAATGATTGGTCCTAGGTAATCCTGTCAAAGGTAACCAGCAGGAAGCTAACTGAAGAGTGATTTCAAATGAGGTTCATTCTGTATGCTGAATTCCACTCCTCTGACTCAGTAGAGTTCACAACATACTTTCTGAAGTCAGGTGGGTAGACAGGCTTCCCCTCCCCAGACTGGCCTTCAGGAGAAGCAAAATAAATTTCTCTATAATTGCTGAAAATCCCACAGAGAGCTGATCTTATCTGCGTTAGGAGAAGCTCAGATCTAATCCAGAGCCTGGCTTTTAACCCATCTGGATACTTCCAACTTTCAGTGCAGTTGTCTAGTATCCCTGAATGGCAGAAGAAAACAAGGCAGTAAAAAGGCAAATCAGACTACCTGTGTATGACTGCTTGTCTTCCAATTCTGCTTCTCACGAAAATCCCCATAAAGAAAATGCCAAGGTGCATGCTGTTGCCTTGATTGTCCTGTGTGATAACAACAAAAGACACTTATGATAACCCAGATTCACTGTGGCGTTATTCAAACAGCCAAGATGCGGAATTAGCCCAAGTGCCATCACAGGGGAATGAATAAAGAGAATGTGCCAGAAAGACATAACATAACATGAAGCAGACTCTCAAACGTAGGGAATCATGTCATTTGCAACAAAACAAATGAACTTGGAGGACATCATGTCTAGTGAAATGAGCCAGGCACAGAAATATAAAGGCCGGTAGAAAATGGAAACAAAAGAAATGTTCACTTTGGCACAAAAGTTTTTTTCAATCCACGGGTAGTGTTTTCATAATGTACATTGCCAAGAACTTTTTGAAGACTCTTCTTACTGTGAAACCTCACTTAGATGTGGAATTTTTAAAAATGTCAAATTCCTCAAATCAGGGGCTAGGAGAGCCTTTGTCAGTCACAGGATACAACATATCAGAATTTTAAGAGATCCATTGCACATCACTACTGATACAGTAAAAATCAATGTTAGATTCTGGAAAATCATTGAGACTTTAACTGTCACTGTAAAAAAACAAAACAAAATCTAAGTCTTTGGGTCATGCATATATGAATCAGCTCAATCAAGCCATTCCATAATACACACATATTTCCAAATAACATGTTTTACACACTAAATATATAATCTTTATTTGCCAACTAAAAAAGTAATCTGAGCCTGGTGCTGGGATGCAATGGGTTAAATCACTACCTGCAATGCAGGCATTCACCTGAATGCTGGTTTGATTCCCAGCTATTCCACTTCCCATCCAACTTCCTGATAATGCAGTTGGGAAAGCAGAAGGTTGCCCAAGAGCTTGTGCCTCTGCTATGCTTGTGGGAGTCCCAGATGGAGTTCCAGACTCCTGGCTGTGGCCTGACCCAGCCATCGCACTGGGGAGTAGAGCAGCAGATGGCTCACTCTCTCTCCCTTCCACTGTGACTCTGCCTTCCAAATAAACAAAATTTAAAAAATAAATAGATAATTTAAAAAAAAAAAGGTTTAACTTCTCATGAACTGGCCCACCAGTGGTCCTGTAACACCTGGCTGCAGCCCATGGTGAATGCCACACCCATTTATGCCTACAGTGAGCTGAACTTCAGGCAGCATCAGAACTTCAGGCAGCCAGACAATCCTGCCCCTTTGTATGTCTTGGTAGCCTCTGTGGTAGCCAAGCTTTTCAAGATCCACTGGCCTTTGTGATTTTCCCTTTCATGAGCATCTCATTTTATTTAAGATTTAATTATTTATGTTGGAAAGGCAGATTTACAGATGGAAGGAGATACAGAAAGATTTTCCCATCCTCTGACTCACTCCCCAAGTGGCTGCAATGGTCACAGCTGAACCAATCCGAAGCCATGACTGGGACAGGAATTTCCTCCAAGTTTCCCATGTGGGTACACAGTCCCAAGGCTTTGGGCCATCCCTTAATGCTTTCCCAGGCAACGGGCAGGGAGCTGGATGGGAAATGGAGCAGCCAGGACATGAACTTGTCTCCAGCACAGGATCCTGGGCATGCAAGGGAGGATTTAGCCACTAGGCTATCACACCAACCCTGATTTTTTTTTCTTTAATCTTAGCTTTGTTTTGACATCATAGTTACATACACACAGAGTTGAGTCTTCTTTTTGGCTTATGCAAAAGAAGTGATTAGGAGGCCTGTGAATTTAAGTGTCCATGGTGCTCAGTCCTCAGTGTACACGTACCAGCCCTCAGCTGGGACATGAGCTCCTGTCACACCCCATTTCCTACATCCACTCCTTCTAGAAAGCCCCTCTCAGATGCTGGCTGTACTAGAAGGTCTCCTGTCCCCCACATTACATAATTTTGCTTCTTCTTTTTTTTTTTTTAAATTCTGAATCACAACTTTATTTATTTATTTATTTATTTATTTATTTATTATTTTGACAACCCTTACATATTTAATTGGGGTAAAAAAGGTTCAAGGGCTACAGGGAAGTGGGCAAGACCACCACTTCCATACTGCTTCCTTCATGTATCTGAGGTAAAGAGGGATATAGAGGAAGAAGCCCCACCCAGTTTCCCACCCACCCTAAGTCCCGGATGTGGGGAATTTTGCTTCTTGATAAGCTTTCTCTTGGTTCTATACTCTTGGGGGTCTAAGTTTTCCATTTCTAATACTGTATTTCATTATCTTTTAAGTGGCCTTTTTCATAACCACCCTGTTCCTCCCTGGCTGCAAATGACAGTTTAAGTCTCTGAGATTAACCAGACAGGATTTCCCTGCAGTTTCTGCATCTTCCAGGCTGCTTCATTCTCACGGGGAGGGCCTCTGAAACTCCTAGCAGGGCATGTGCTCCGAGGGTGAGGCTTGACTGTTCACATTTGCAAGTGGGATGCCAAAGGCTGGTGGGTTCTTTGTGAGCATAAGAGGGATTTGTGGACCTTCCTGCCAGGGATCTTGCTGGCCCCTGTGCTGGGACCAACTCTGGTTTTGTGGTCTTCCAATTTCTTACCTGGCAGAACCTACCCTGGCGGCTGAGGCTCTGAAAGCTGAGTGGGAGCAGAGCTCAGCAGCTGGCCAACAGACCACCACTCAGGTCACTGTTTTCAGCCAGGGGAGGCCCCTATCTGGGGCTAAGGACATACACAAGGAGGGACACGGTGAGGAAAGAGCAGCCCTTACATCCCCCTAGAACACAAGATCTCCTTCAAGGTAAATAAGATAGAGTCCCATTCTCAACCCACACACCACAGCATACCTTAGGACAGAAGCCTTCTAACAAGGATACAGAAGTGCTAAGACAACTTACAGGCAGAAAAAGCAGAAAGAGGGTTAAGACCGAAAACTTGGGAGTGTGGAGAAAGAGAATCGTCCAGGTGCTTTTGACAAACTGAGAAAGTAAGGAAGGCTGCAGAGGCAGGTACATGGGATAAGAAGACAGCAGGAGAAACACAAAGAGAAGGTAAAAGTCTGCAAACACTTCTCTGAGTACCTTCCCCAGGCCCACGCCAGACTCCAGTGGTGGACAGGAGAACAGTAGTTCTCCAATGGGGAGGAAACACAGAAGGGATTCCAAGATAGGCACTCCATGAAGAGGGGCACTGCATTGGTCAAAACTTCAGAGCTTTGAGTCCAATTAGATAAGGATGGGGCGCCAGGCTGTCTTATCAATCCTAGAAGCACAATTCCCCACGGCCATGAATTCTAATAGTTCAGGACTGGCTCAGGCAGCAGGCACACCTGTATTTGTTAAGGAAGGAGCAGGCCTGCTTAAAGTGCTCTTCCAACCTTGGAAATCCTCAAGGAACTGTTATTCACAGGGGAAAAAAAAAAGAAAAAAAAGCCACATCTCTTGGAGTGCTTCTTTCTTGGGCTGCATCCTGACGCGCTTTCATAGTTCTTGTTCAGTTCAGGACAGGAACCACGAGATTGCAGTATCTCTCCCCAGTCTTTTTCCTTGGCCACAAGCAGGGAGCTGCATGGGAATTAAAGCAGCCGGGATACGAACTAGCACTCATATGGATTCCCAGCAGTTGCAAGGTGAGGATTTAGCCACTAGGCCCTCTCTCCCCAGTCCTTTCCAAGCCCTTTTCTGCCTGTTGGCTCTTTGTTTCCCATGTGACCACATTTCCACCCCCACAGGTCGCCTAGCATCATGTGCTCCGAGGTGGTCTTCTTAGTCATCAACAGTCATGTGGAGAGAAGCGGGGGAAACGCAGCAGGGCAGCCCAACTGCTCCCACCGGCAATGAGTCAGCAGCACCTGTCTTCCCACTCAGAGGAAGGTGGAGCATCCCCCTGGATTCCAGTGAAGGGCACAGCAGAAACTGCAGGCATCCAACTGAAACACAATGGGTCTCAATGCTACTTCCATCACCCCTGCTTCCTACACCTCAGAATCCCTAAAAAACAACCAAAGGCCGCATCTCCTAAGCTCTTCATTTCCACGGGTTGAGAAGTCAGTTTTGCAGCAATGGAGAAAAGTTTACTCTGACTTTTTAATGACCCAAAATATCATGACTATATATGGGCTGCTGAAAATAAGTGGGATGCAGATGGCTTCCTAAGGCATGACTGTGAGGAAGCTGGATTACAAGCCTACCAAGAGCACTTGCTACAGAGGCAAAACACAAAATTAAACAATACCACCTACCCCGCCCCAAAAGCCATCTACCTCTTTCTGCAGGCTTTGGCTACCCTACACAGGCTGATGCACACGGGCAGTTCTTATCAAGGAAAGGGCAAAGACTCGGCTATTGGGGAGGGCAGCACTGCAGGTCACTTATAAAACAGGGCGCAGTATATCCACCTTTCCAATAAAAATAAATAAACCTTTTTTAAAAAAAACTGTGTGCAGAGCCGTGCTGCAGAGACAACAGCCCCTCCTACATTGCTCAAACCCACCGGGGGCTTCAGGTTTTGAATAAACTTTTTTTTCTTAAATTGGGGCTAATGTCCACACAGCCCCCAAGAGGTACTGCACAAGGATGACTGCATATAGGAAACATCACCCGCCCACCCCTCAAAAACAGTGATCCCTGCATTCAATGACAGAGTCAAAAAGGAGAGGAAGCTTCGGGAAGGAAACTACTGGCAATGGCCTTTGCTAGCACACGTGATACCAGCCCCCGTCCTGTGGTGAGACCGGATGGAGCCCAGAGGCCTTCAGGGTGCTCGCTGAGCTGGCGTCAGTGATACACTTACGTGACTGCCTACTTGTTGAGACTTTCCGCTGAGGACTGTGAAGAACCTCCAAATCTCTCGGCTCATAAATCTGTTCACTTTACTTGAATTGGGCTCACGTCACAGTGCAGCAAGGAGCCCATGGCACTGCGCCCCTCTGCTAGCCAGGCTGGTTCTCCAGACCTTGCCCTGTTCTGAGAAGTGGACAGCAGGATGGGGTGTGTCTCGTTACCTTCACAGGGAAGATTTCCTGTCCAAAGCCATCCAAACGTTCCACTTCATTGATGTACATCAGCTCCGCTTCAGCTGGCAGGATTCCACTGAAATCAAAACAGCAGCAGAGGAGGAAATGGTTAAGGGCAGCCTAGCCAATGGAAGACTCTGCCTCTGTGCTGGCAAATTCCAGAGCTGTGGTTCAGTTTCTGGGAAGAGCAATCATTACCCAATGGCGAGGACCTGGTATCTTACCAGGTAATTTATTAACCAAGTTCCCGGTGACTTTTTACTCACCAGGGAATAAGAGGAAGCTAAGGTATTTAATGAACAGCCCCAGCCTTAATTCAGAACATTAAACAACTACTCCAGACATCTCTGTCAATAACATGGCTGTTTGAAATAAAAGGAAAATGACAAGAAGAAAAGGTTAACGGTGGGGATGACATTTTGGTAATCAAGTGCTCAAGGGTGGGTGGGGAGGGGGGTATGTTCTCTACCGGTCCAATGAGCACCAGGAGGTCCTGAGGTCACGGCCCTGGTCCACATCTGTGTGGGCTTCCTGGTGTGGAAGGAGGGAGGCAGGACAGAAAAAAGGGACAGAGAGGAGAGAAGAAAACAAAAACAGGAACAGGAAAGAGGAGCAAGGCTCTCATGCCCCTTCTCAGGACCAAGCACATAGCTGTTGCCTGCTGGCAGCCACAGAGATGCTCTGGCTCCAGTTAGGGCTCCAGGTGGAAAATGAAAGCCTCCAGCTGCCTGCCTTACCTGTGGGCTTTGTGCTCCTGCGCCACCTTCTGGGTCAGCTCCTCCAGAACAGCCTCCTCCAGGGCCAAATCCTGCAGGCACAGAAAGCATGTGATGTGGGCAGGCTGTCCTCCCAGGCTGTCCTCCCAGGCTATCCTGATCAGTTTCCTTAGCGCAAACTCTCCTCATTCCTACAGATTACAGGCTATCAACTTATGAGACCGAGTGCTCATTTCTGTTGTTAGACCACAGCTAGCCATTACGCCTGACAATTCTACCATCTGTAGTGCCCAGCAAGGAGCATTGTTTTTTTGCTCTGCCTGTCTCTCAGAAACAATTTTATCAAAAACCTTTTGCATGTTCAATCCCTGGCTTCTGCATCCATCGAGTCCACTGAGCACAGATCAAAAATAGCTGGAAAATAGTCAAGTCTGCATGAAGTATGTGCATACTATGCCCTGTTATCCAATAACTACTTAACATTTACACTGAATTAGATGCTACATGTGATTGACAGGTGATATGAAACGCGTTGGTGGATACGCGTGGGCCCTATGCTACACCATGCCATTCTGAAGGAACTTGAGCATTCTCAGACTGTGCCAGCGTAGAGATCCTGAACTCAGGGTCACACAAATATTGAGAGATGTCCGTGGACAAAGACTGACCTCCAGTCCAAAGTTTCAAGGTTAAAGCCATACCCTCCCAAGTATGTACCCCCAAACCATGAAAAACATCTCATCTTGGGAAATTAAAATACAAAAGAAAAGTATCTTTTAACAACTAAAAAATAAGGACCTAACAATTTACTGGAGCTCTAGGTTTTTAGATTTTAATTGTATGGTTCATGTCTCAGAAGACTGAAGGAATTACTGGTAACCTTTGTTTTCTACCTGTTAACTTATTCAGATGCTATTTCCTATTCAGCCATCCACTGAAATGACTCAGATCATAATAAAAAATACGCTCAACACTTTCATGTTGTGCAAAAACAAAGATACTGGGGGGTGGGGCAGACCTGGCACTTTAGTCCAGTGGGTTAAGCCCCACCTACAACCATAGCATTCCATATGGGCACTGGTTCCAGCCATGGCTATTTTCTTCCCAATCCAGCTCTCTGATAGTGCACCTGTGAGCAGTGGAAGATGGTTCAAATACCTGGGCTCCCACACAGGAGACCTGGATGGAGGTCTGGGCTCCTGGCTTTGATCTGGACCAGCCCTAGCTATTGTGGCCATTGCTGAATAAACAAACACATGGAAGATTCTATCTCTTTTTATGTCACTCAGTCTCAAATAAATTAAAAAAGAAAAAACCCACATACCATGAGGCTTAGTAACTCAGATAGGCAGGTGCACCTCAGTACTGCGTAGAACTCATAACCTAATGCTAATTCTGAAAAGCTACGAAAAGCCATCAACACAAGAAAATAAAGGTAAGTGAAGATCAAAAAGAGTTCCATCAACAACCCCTCTTTGCTTCCTAGTTTTAGAAACAAAAATGTCCCATAGTACTCCCTTCCCCTACTATTGTACTCAAACCCCTGCATCTGTGCCTGGGGCCTCACTGGGGTATGGGCCCCACTAGGGGGAAATGTAAGTGGTCCTGTGTGTGTGTGTGAATGAAAAATGGGAGCCTGCATGCCTGTACACAGCCGCACACCTGTGGAGCGCCCTGTGTACTTAACTTTGTTCTTTTCACTGCTGAAGAAATGACATTTGACAAATTCGGTTACTTTGTAAGATCAAACACAGCCATTCATCCTATCTTCCCTCCCCCACCAAAGGAATGCATTCTTCTCTTTGAAAGCCCCAATGGAAGCAAGCAGAAAGTTTACAGCCTTCCATGGCTCCCCACTGCCAACTCAATTAGGTCAACACCTGGAGCAGGCATTCAGCCCATTCTTCTGGTATGACCCAGCCTTCCCTTCCAGACCTCCTCTCCCAAGGCATCAAGGTCTCAGGCAAACTCCTCTCCCTTAGCACCAACTGCATTTATATCCCCAGTCAAGCTCAGGCCCACCCTTCCTGGATAATCCAGTCCCTTCACACCACTTTTCTCCAGTGAGGTTTCCTGACCCCCTACCTCGATACCAGCTAGATGAAGCATTCCTGCTCTGGACTTATCTTTCCCACTCTCACAGCCCTTTTCATAGCCTGCCTACTGCATTTCTGGCAGTTAGTTGTATGCCCTGTCTTATCCCCTACTCCTGTCTGCTTTTCTGTTGCAGCAATTCCTCTTCACAATGTAGAACAGCTCTAGCAGGGTTTTGACTCAAAGACAACTTAGAAAGTGTCAATATACAGTAGGTGATCAATGTTTATTGAACTGAGCTCATTATGCAACATACAATTTCCAGATCCTCAAATGATGTCAAACTGGCTAATAATCATTTGCATCTTTGCCTACGCTCAGTCTGATTATATTTTAAAAATTACTTATTTAAAAGGCTGGAAGACAGAGATCTCCCATGTGCTGGTTCACTCCTTAAATGCTCTCAACAATCAAGCTATTCTAAGGCAGGAGCCAAGAACTCACCCTAGGTCTCCCACGTAAGTGTAAGAATTCAGCTACTTGAGCCATGACCTGCTGTCTCCCAGGGAGCACACTAACAAAAGCAGAGCTGGGCATGGAAGCTGGGCACTTGAATATGGGATACAGGTATTCCAAGGAGCATGTGATAACTGTATTCCACACTGGGCCAGCAGTCTACACTGTTAAATGAATATAGTGATAAATGATGAATATGGTTTTTGGAAAGTACAGTCATCAACATTCTTGTGTTTGCATCTCGTATAGACAGAAATCTACCACCATTACCAACAACATGACAACTGGAGAAACACTGAGACTCTTATATGGCAAGATAGGGACTTCACAACAAACGCTTACCTAAAAGGAGTTGGGCTTACGTTACCCTCACGGTAGCCTAAGAAGATTAAGTAAGTTGCCCAGGGTCATAAAATCAAGCAAGTGGTTCAGCAAGGGGCCTGGCACCGCACTGCTTGGCACCAGGTCTGCAAACCACAGGACACAGTGCCCCCAGAACACAGCACTGGGGGAGGTGGGGAGAAAGCTGTGGCAGAAGCTCAGACACACATGTTCCATCATCCTCAGTGTCCCCAGCAAGCCATGGAGGTCAATGGAAGCATTCTAAGCATAAGCTAACAGACACAAACACACCTCGCTAAACTATGCCCCAAATGGAGGCAATGAAAGGAAGGAACTGGATTTTCTAACTAATGTAAATATAAATAGCTGGCAGTTCTCACCCTGAAGATCACCTGTTTAGCTCTATAATGATAGGGGTTAATGTCTGTCCAGCGGTGACATGGATGAAGCACCACATACTTTGAGATGATAGAGGCACAGTCTTGCTCTGAAAGGAGGGTAAGGCTGGAAGGAGTACATTACACCATGGCACTGTGACTTGTCCGTGCCTTCTACCATCTGAAACTCGTATCTTTGAAAACTCTGCCCAGCACACAAACCCTAGTCTTTCAACCAGGCCTGTGGTAATGGCTTCCAATGAGAGTGAGGGGGAAAACAGGTGGGAAAATTGAACCTCAATTAGTAGCAATTCCATGTGACACAAAAACATAAACTCACTAAATCATATTTGCTTCACTTTCAAAAACAAAGCACACTGGAAGATATTCTGAGATGTCAGAGAGGCTGGCTCAAGCATACAGACACTAAGTCCTAGGGTAGGTTCTCTGCTAAGCTATATGCTAATGTCTCTGCAGTTTGATTTAAGGGATAAAGCAGTAAGGCATTACCAACAGCAGGCACAGGAGGTAACACTGCTGCTTTCTTATAGAGAATAAGAATCAGAATAATGGATCCATTCATGAAAAGTCAAGGATTTGAATTATTTCCCTAACCTCTAAGAACACAGTGAGTTTGGAACTAATTTAAACTCATTTCATGCAAGAAAAATGCATAATAACTGCAATCCTTTTTTTCCTTAATCCTAATCTCTCAAAACATAACGCCTTTATTACCACACTTAACTTTCTCCCATACAGCATTTTACTTTAAAAATCTCTTGCAATGCTTTCTAATTTTAATCTCCCTGCTACCACCTAAATAAATTCTGTCTCATGTCCAAGGTCTGGGAAACAGGTCTCATTGCTCTAATCCAGCAGTTCAAAGTGTAGGGACTGCAAAACCCCAGAAGGAAGGCATGGTCCCTAATTTCTCCGATGCTCTCAGTTTCCTCAACCAAGTTTCCCCTCTGGTACCACCAAGCTACAGCTACACTGACCAGGTGCCTCGATCCCAAACACTTGGAGCATATCACTTCTCTCCTTTGCCAGCATTACTTCTGTGCTTCTCACCTCTGCCCGACACAACTCTGTCACCGTTAAGACATAGCTCACGTTTCATTAGCCTCTAAGCCTTCCTTAATCCCTCAAGTACAGGTGACCTCTTACCACATAAACCCTGTGTACGTGACTGCACTTGGCATTGCCTTCTGATTTTGTAAGTTTCCTGTTCCCTCAACCACACTGTACTATTTCTTCTACAGTTTTATCCCTTGGGTATTAGTTACCCACATCAGTACTTTGGGTGAAACAGCGGATCCAAAAAAAACAAGCAGTGAATGATTCTAATATCCAGAGTCAGAGCCAGGACTGTTAGGCTGCTTTTCACTTTTCCCTACAATGGCATTTCAGATCTTTGAGGTCTTCCTCATTTAAAATGCTCTCATTTACACCGAAGCTATCAATCAATCATCCACCAGACTCCCCAGGAGTTCAAACCTGGTCTCACTCAGGAACGGGCAGTTCACTTCATTAATCTCTGTGAACACTGAGTATGTGCCACACAGGAACAGACAAGATGGGGAAGTTCCCCATGAGCATTCTGCCTGACAATAAAAGCAAAAATAAGGAGGAGGGTGCGACTTCAGGTGCTGAAGGAGCCCTGAAGTGTGTGCACATGCGTGTGTGCATGTGTACACACACACACACAGTGATTTAACAGGAAGCAGTTAAGGCTGAATGAGAAAGACAGGTAGCCATGAAAAAGAAGTCTACACAGATATCAAACTGACATTAAGCAAAGGAGCTGAGCACTCTAGGCAAAGGACACCCAGGGCACAGGCTCTGGGGTGAGAAGCTGCTCAGAAAGAAGGCAGCAAAGGCTGGAGGGGCACTGAGTGAAAGCAGAGGGGCTTGGCAGCAAAGGGCCTTCTGCATCTTTTCTTTTTTACTTTTTACTGGCAGACAGCACATGTTTACGGAGTACACTGCAATACTTCAATACATGCAGCTCCACAGGATGAGTAAGTCGGCCAATTAACACAACCATCATCTCACTGTGTGTGTGTGTGAGTGTGTGTGTGTGTTTGGGGTGGGGGCTGGTGAAGACATCTTTGAGCAACTCTGAAATATACATTAGTAACTGTAGTCACCTTGCCAGGAAAGAAGTCACCAGAACTTAGTCCTGTGTACCTGAAGCTGCCCCTTTGATGTACATCCCACCCCTCCACCATCCCATCTCCTGGTAGTGGAGACAATGATTCTCAGAGCTGCACTCTTCCGGAGAGATTCCACTTATACCTGAGATCATGTGGTATTTGTCTTCTGTGCCTGACTTATTTTACTAAGTGTAATATCATCCACATTCACTCACATTACTACAAATAACAAAACTGCACTCTCTTTTACACACCACTTTCTCTTTTTTTTTTTTTTAAGATTTATTTGTTTTTATTTCAAAGTCAGATATACAGACAGGAGGAGAGACAGAGAGGAAGATCTTCCGTCCAATGATTCACTCCACTAGTGACCTCAATGGCCAGTGCTGTGCCGATCTGAAGCGGGGAACCAGGAACCTCTTCCGAGTATCCCACGTGGATGCAGGATCCCAAGGCTTTGGGCTGTCCTCGACTGCTTTCCCAGGCCACAAGCAGGGAGTTGGAGGGAAGTGGAGCTGCCGGGATTAGAACTGGTGCCCATATGGGATCCTGGCGCATTCAAGGTGAGGACTTTAGCCACTAGGCCACGCCGCCGGGGCCCCACTTTTCCTTTCTTAATCAGTTCATCAGTTGATGGCCATATCCTGGCTACTCTGAATACTGCTGTGATGAACACGGGGGTACAAACATCTTTTTGACATATTGATCTCAATTCCTTTGGATTTACACCCAGAAATGCGATTGACAAATCAAATAATTCTTTTAGTTTTTTGAGGACTGGCAGACTGTTTCCATGGTGGCTGTGCTAACTTATATCCCCACCAACCATGCGCAAGGGTTCCCTTTGCTCACACCATTTTACAAAAAATTCATGTATTTAACTTGAAAGAGCTACCAAGAAAGAAGAAGAGAGAGGAAGACAGAGAGGAAAGAAGGGAGTGAGAGAGAGGGAGATAAAGACAGAGAACTTCCATCCACTGGTTCACTCCCCAAGTGGCTGCAATGCTGGAGCTGAGCAGAGCTAAAGTCTGCACCCAGGAGCTTATTTTGGGTCTCCTTTATGGGCACAGGTGCCCAAGGACTTGAGCCAATTCTGCTGCTTTCCAAGCCATAAGCAGGGAGCTGGATCAAGATGTAGAATAGCCAGGACTTGAACAGGTGCCCAAATGGAATGGCAGTACTACAGGCAGAGGATTAGCATGCTATGGCATCATGCCATCCCTGCTCCCTTCTCTCAACACTTACTATCCACTGTTCTGACACCAGGCTGCCTCTTTTGAAAAAGATTTATTTTATGTTTCATTGGAAAATCAGATATACAGAGAGGAGGAGAGACAGAGAGGAAGATCTTCCGTCCAATGATTCATTCCCCAAGCAGCCACAACAGCTAGAGCTGAGCCAATCCAAAGGCAGGAGCCTGGAGCCCCTTCCGGTCTCCCACACAGGTGCAGAATCCCAAGGCTTTGGGCCATCCTCAAGTGCTTTCCCAGGCCACAAGCAGGGAGCTGGATTGGAAGTGGGGCAACTGGAATTAGAACTGGCACCCATATGGGATTCTGGCACACGCTAGCACACTTTAGCCACTAGGCTACCACATCAGGCCCAACACTGGTCTTTCTAACAGGTGTGAGGTGATACCGCATCACAGTTTTGTCATTCCCTGATAATTATTGATGTTGAGCATTTTTAAGTCTATCTGTTGGCTTTTTATCTATCTTTTTTTTTGGAGGGGGGTATGTCTTTTGATAGGAAACACCGGGTTTTTTGTGCATTTTAAAACAGGGTTGTTTTGCTGATATTGAGCAGTCTGAGTTCTTTATATATTTTGAATCCGAGACTTGTGTCTGATGTACAATACACTGTGACATCGTATCCCAATCCCAGGTGCAGTTTCTTCACATGCTTGATTGTTCCCTTTGTTCAGAAGCTTTCAGTTTGATACAATTCTATTTTTATTATCTGTGCCTGGAAGCCATTTATAGAAAAAATCATCGCACAAATCAATGTAGCTTTCTTTTTCTACTTTCTTCCTTGTCTCTTTTCTTTCTTAGAATAAACACCTTCATCACATGAGGGAGGACTGACTTGACCTTCCAGGCCTTCATCTTCCTCAGCTGTAACTCCAGCTTCTTGAACTCTGGCACACAGCTGTGTGTTTGGCTCTGATGCCACACACTCTGGCCTGGCTCTGATGCCACACACGTAAGCAGCTTGCCATGCTGGAACTGCTCTTCCAGAAGACTGCCACTGGCTTTGGCATCCGTTGTCCTTTCATCATATTTCTTCTTAGCTTTCCTTGACCATTGTTTTTCTTTTAAATGCCTTCCTTCTTGGGAAATTAGCTGGGACCTCTTCTAGTGGCACAGGAACAACGCGAAATAGGATTTGCACAGCATGCCGTCAACGGGGTCTTGGTGGGGACAAGCCTGTTGCTGGAAGCACTATGGACCCTTGCTTTGTGTGTACAGCACTCAGAGCACGGCATCTCCTGCTGCCTCCTCTCTCTCACACCCACAGTGCATCGCAGCAGGGGCCGAGCTTCATGTCAACAACCTTACGGTAGGGCTTCCTTTGGGCCCCAGTCTTCTGGCACCTCTGCCAGTTGTCCCCGAATTGTCCATCACTTTGCACTACCTGGAAAGATGCCCATATTTTCTTCTAACATTTTTACAGTTTCAGATCTTAAAATCTCCTATGTATGCTGAGTTGATTCTAAAGATGTACGTATATCTTATTGGAAAGCCAGATTTGCAGTGAGAAGAAGAAACACAGAAAAAAGATCTTCCATTTGCTGGTTCACTCCTCCAGTGCTTGCAACAATCGCTGGAGCTGAGCCAATCCGAAGCCAAGAACCAGGAGCTTCCTCGGGAACTTCCACGCAGGTGCAGGGTCCTAAGGATTTGGGTTGTCCTTGACTGCATTCCTAGGCCATGGGCAGGGAGCTGGATGGGAAATGGACCTGCTGGGACACAAACCAGCATCCGTACGGGATCCCAGTGCATGCAAGGCGAGGATTTAAGTCATTAGGCTACCATGTTGGGCCCAAGTTGATTCTTTTTTCTTTTTAAGATTTATTTATTTTTATTTGAAAGTCAGATTTGCAGAGAGGAGAAAAGACAAAGAGGAAGATCTCCCATCCATTGATTCACTCCCCAAGTGACTGCAACAGCTGGAGCTGAACTGATCTAATTCCAGGAGCCCAGAGTCTATTCCAGGTCTCCTGCACGAGTGCAGGGTCCCAATGTTTTGGGCCGTCCTCCACTGCTTTCCCAGGCTAAAAGCAGGAAGCAGGATGGGGGATGGAAAGCATGGTTACTGGGATTAGAACCAGCATCCATATGGGATCCTGGTGCATTCAAGGTGAGGACTTTATCTGCTAGGCCACGCCGCCGGGGCCCTTAAGTTGGATTCTTATATAATGGATAAGGGAAGGTTCCAAGTACATCTCTCAATATGTAAGTAGCCAGCTTGCTCAGCATCATGTATTAAAAAGACTGTCTTTTCCCCATTTTATATTCTTGTTCTTTTAGTCAACAACCATTGAGCATAGATGGGTAGTGTTTATTTCTGGACTCTATAACCTAATTCCATCAGCGAATGCGTGTGCTTCGAGGCCTCTACCACACTCTGTTGGTTAACGCAGCTTCATGATCCTGTTGGATATATCCAGCTTTGTGTTTTCTGTACAAGATTATTTCGGATATTCGGAAATTTGAAGCACACCAGAATGTTAGGATTGCTGTTGTTAATTTCTGTGTTGAGTGGCACTACATTTTGGATACGGAATGCACTGAATGCTAGTATGGGAATGTCACATACTGAACTTTCCCTGAAAACAGAGTTTCTTTCCATTTGTATCATCTGTAATTGCTTTCATCAGCCATTTATACTTTTCAGGAAAAAAGTCTTTTACTTCTTTGGTTAAATTCACTGCTAAGTATTTTGGGACTCGAGTGTGTGTGTTTCCCTTTTGGCTGCTTTTGTGAAATGGATTTTTATTTTATTTTATTTATTATTTCTTCTGTTGCTCATTCTCTGTGCTTCCCTGCAGCAATGTCCTGGATGCTGCAGCCAAAGTAATTATTAAGAAACAGAAATAAATGGGATTCAATCAGAAAAGGAAGAAGTGAAGTGAAGTGGCTGACAACATGACCTTACATGTAGAAAACCCCAAAGATCTCACAAAAACACTTTTAGAATTGGTACATGAAGCTGCAAGTTACAAAATGAATATGCAAAAATCAGTGAAGGTCTTCTATGCTAACAAGAAACCATCTAAAACGGAGGCAGGAAAGCCCCGTGAGGCAGCAGGCGGCATTTTTACTTTCGCAGTCTGTTTTCAAAAACTTGCATAGATTTCCTTCTCCGGGAATATGTATATTTAAGTCCTCTGAGATGTACAGAAGAAAAAAAAAATCAAACATCATGATGGAAAATTAACCAAAAGCCAAACACACTTACCATAGGAAACAGCACGTATTCTCTGAGGAAATCTTGAGAATCAAATTGATTAAAGTCTCCAAAATCAGCTAAGAAGAAAAGAAGGGTTTACAAGATTTAAAATGGAGTAAGATAAATGCATCATCACAGTAACTTTCCCGACTTCACTCTATTATTGCACTATTATTCAACAATAATGCCAGATGTGTTTGATAGTTATCAGTTTCACTTAGAAATACTACAAACGCCAGCATGTCAGCAACACTACATAATTTTCAAATAGGGAAATTTGAAAGTGATTCCTATATGCTACTTTAAAAAATTAAAACAAACATTTGTTAATAATTCATGTTTTAAGAATATCTGCCAAGGGGACTTTTAAAGCGGAGATTAATCTGGAGAACTAAAGATGTCAAACACATCTGCACTTTTTGCTAAAGTATGCAGCTGGAATTCCCCCCCTGTAAACTACCCCTGGCGAGCAAAATCGTATGCCTTTTGAACAACCACGCATGCTGCAAGATGCCAAGCAATGCTGTGCTCTGCCGCTTTCATCTCGCAATAGCATGGCTGAGCAAAAAGCAAATGAATACAAAACGCACATAATACGCATGTAAATGCATGCCTTTTTATCTTGCATGCTCTCACACACATGTGAAGCTTTAACGTCATAGGGAGAATCTAACATCTGACAGAAATGGACTCGGGTATCTTTAAGAGAGCTATTAATATAGAATGAAAGGAAAACACAGAGACAAGGTCCTTGTGAGGAAGCTGCCGAGACGGCAACTGTCTCAGTACAGTACAACTCTACTCACCAGCCAGCTGACACACTGCAGCACTGCACAAGCCACTCTCCCAGCTTTTTTTTAAAGATTTTTATTTTTTATTGGAAAGTCAGATATAGAGAGGAGGAAAGACAGAAAGATCTTCCATCTGTTGATCCACTTCCCAAGCAGCTACAATGGCCAGAGCTGTGCCAATCTGAGACCAGGAGCCCGGAGATCCCCCATGCAGGTGCAGGGTCCCGAGGCTTTGGAACATCCTCAACTGCTTTCCCAGACCACACGCAGGGAGCTGGATGGGAAGCGGGGACACCGGGACATAAACTGGTGTTCATATGGGATCCTGACACATACAAGGTGAGGACTCTAGCCACTAGGCTACCATGCTGGGCCCTTCTAGATTATTTTTAATGATCTATTATCACATTTCATTCCATCTTACATTTCTGATAATGTTCCCATCCTAATAAACCAATAAATCAGGAATATAATTGTAAAAGAATGACTATATAACGCAATTGTGTTACACTGTGTTACTGTTAACAGACTATATCTATGTTACATGTCTCCTACAATATTTTAAACACGATACAGCTGGAGGAGGTTTCACCACACTAGACCCTAGCTTCAAAGACCCAACTGAAACAGAAGTCCAGAATCAGTCTGACAGTTTCCCTTGGGGATGCTCCAACGTCCAGAACACCTGTATTACAGCTCAGGAGAAGGGACAGTAAATGAAACAAACAGCAGAGAGAGATTTTTCAAAGGAAGAACCTACTGGGTCTCGTGCCTCCTCTATTACCGGTTCCTCCTACCGTCTCAGTGGTCCACCATTGGCTTTTCTATGTGAGCCGCTCCAGGCTTCCTCCCCTCCCAGTCATTCCAGAAATATGCGAGATGACATAATGTGCACATTTCTATCCACAGGGACAACAGCAGCCAACTGTACAGGAATTACACAGTTGTCCATACCCGCTAAACAGCCCAGGATCAAAGGGGGTCAAGGACAGGCTCTTCAGACATCTAGAACTCCAAGTTACAACTTCAGTTCAAAGTCTCAATCCGCAGCTTCTAAGACAACAGTGCACGTGATGGAAACTCAACTGCTTACACACGAACATCGGTGTTTAAAAAAAAGACATACGCAAGACAGGTTTCTTTAAAAAAAGATTCTAGTTCTTTTTTCTTATTTTCAATATAACTAAAGGCAGTTAAACAACACTCCATAAACAGTAAAGTATAAAAATATAAAAAATGTGTATGTGTGTGTACACATTATATAAGTACCCAGATATCTGAGGCTAGAGCTGCAGTACAGTACATTAAGCCACAGCCTACAATGCTGGCATCCCATATAAGAAACAGTTCAAGCCTCAGTTCAAGCGTGTTCCCTTCTCACGCAGCTCCCTGCTAATGTGCCTGGGAAAGCAGCGGAATGTGGTAATTTCTTGCCACTTACACGGGAGACTGGATGGAATTCCAGACTTCAGGTTTTGGCTTAGACCATTCCCAGACAGTGGGGCCAACAGAGAAGAGACACAGCAGAAAAGCTCTCTGTCTTTCTGCCATCCAAATAAATAGGTAACTCACATAAACAAGAAAAGAAACAGAAGTCACCAGACATCTCAATTTAGAGGTGGTAAAAAGCTGTTGTCTGATAAATCTAAATAGGGCAGGCTGAAAGGTACACTTACTCCAATACAAATCTGGTATTCACATCACCAATGTGAGTTCTGAATTTATCTTCCTAACTGCATTACAATGAATTGCAGTACAATGTTTAAAGCTCTCACACTTGGGGCAGGCAGCGTGACGGCAGTGTAAGCTGCTGTTTGGGAAATTAGCATCCTATTTCAGAGTTCCTGGTCTCAGTTCCGGCCCTTTGGATCCAGGTTCTTGCTAATGTGCATGGGGGGCAATGGGTGATGATGACAGCACAAATACTTGGGGTTCCACACGGGGAATGCCCATGTGGAAGCAGTTCCAGGCTTTGGCTTCAGTCTGGCCAATCTGTTGCTGTTAACATCTGGAGAGTAAACTGGCAAACGGATTTTCTTTTCCTCTGTCTCTCCCTCTCTCCTCTTTCATTCTGCCTTTCAAATGTGTAATTAAAAAGAAAAAATAAAAGGCTGTATAACATGACATTATTACGACAGCCACACAACCACAGCTTCACACCACAGCATCTGACCACACTGCGCAGCACAGCAGTTCTTAGAAAATGTCCTACAAATCCTGAAATGTAGCTCTAGTGAAGACAGGAAAACAGCTCCTATGTCCTCAAATAAAACTGTAGTTAAGAAGTCACAAGCAGCTTACAGTTTAAAGAAATGTCCCACCCTGCCACTACAGATTGCTAACTTTGCATTTTTGCTGTGAGATACCTTACAACGAAAACGGAGCATTCCTTTTCTCTCTGAGACGTCATCAACATGACCATCACACAAAGAACACGGCCCTTCATGTACCTTACCTTGGACGGCTAAGCCGGCCAGCCGGATCACCTGTTCCAGCGAACACCGCAGCCGCCCTTCAAGCACATCCTTCTTAACTTGCAGGTAATACTGATATCTGTGGGAATAGAGGAATAAGTAAATTTATAAGCACATACTTAGAAGTTGGTTAAATAAGGAACTAGAAAGATTTTATTTTTGTTGTGGGATAAAAAATGTTGAGTCCTATGCATACGAGGGGGACTTTATAAAATTAATGGTAAGCATGAACTAGGAAAAAATATAACATATGTACTAAAAATATGCATCAAAATAAACCTCAATTCTATTTTCTATGAACGTTTTGAAGTACCCTCATATCCTAACACAGACGTTCATGTACACAGCAGGACAGGACAGTGATGCTAATGATTGTCACCTCTGTGACATGGAGGTGACCTCTGTCTCTGCTTATCTCTGCTTATTTCTGTCTGACATGGCAGGTGCTGCATCCCACTCGCTGGGTTGGAGAGCGGGACCAACAGAGCACTTACATGTGGACCAGCAGGATGAATCGCTAATAAAAGGTCAGATCTCTAGAACACAGCATCAAGAACGACCACGCTCATCCTCGCCCATAACACAACTGCCAAAGCTACACACCACACATTCATCAACAAATTCCAGAGATACAGCACCTCACAAACTGAAAACCGGATAGCAAAACTGCAAACAGGCTAAACTATCGGAAAATCCAGAGCTTTACCTTACATATCTGTAACCCATGAACTCAAAATCAAATGCAACTTTGCAGTCTGAAGTGATATTCCAATCAGCAAGTGCAGATGGACAGGATGTGTCCACACACAGCCTCCAGCCACAGTCCGGATCGCTGCTCCAGGCACAGCCCGTGCCACTGCTCCTGGAACCACCTCAACACCTGAAACTCCTCACTGCAGATTTCACACCTGAGCATTTTGCTTTCCCTGACCATAATCTGAGCGCACTCCTACTAGAGTCCCCTTTGTGGGCTTTAATTTCTAATAACCCTTCCGCTCCAGCTATACCGTAATTCTCCACTTGAACCTAACTTCAGGGGACTCCAGCAACCCAAAGCCCGGCTTTCCTTCCGAGTGGCGATCAGAGCTAAGCGATTCCAGGCTGGCTCTGCTCTGGGATCACAGCACTCACTACACATCCACTCAGCACCCACTGTGGAAAGGAACCAGACCCTCTGTACTCATCCTCTCTCCTCATGGGTCTCATTGGCAGGATGAAGACAACCATGTCAGCATTAGGTGGGAAAACCATGGGCTCAAATCAGAAAAGCAAACACTGGGAGTTGTTTAAAAACTCCTTAGAATAGACGAGAAAGGGTCTGGCATGCTGGCATAAAAGGTTAATCCTCCACTTGTCAGCATTGGTACACCACGTGGGTGCTGGATCGTGTCCTAGCTGCTCCACTTCTGACCCAGTTCCTTGTTCATGGCTTTGGAAAACACAGAAGATGGCCCACCTGGAAGAAGCCATGGCTCCCAGCTTTGGACCAGCCTGGGGAGTGAAAAAGTGGATGAAAGATCTCTCTCAGTATCTCTGAACTTTCAAGTAAAATAAATAATCTTCGGAACAGGGAGGGAAAGGAGCCTTTTTTTTTTCTTTAAATTTTTTGTTTGTTTCATTTATTTGAAAAAGTTTCCACCGGCTTTCCAAGAAATTTGCCAAAAGACACAAGCAAGCTTTTGTGTCCACTCACACACGGTGGGGCTCTGAGGATACTGCTGTCTTCACACAGTCATGACAACCTCCTAATCCAGCGTTCGTCTAAGCAGCCAAGTGGCAAGAAACAGGAACAAAGGCACAAATAGGAACTCACAGCTGGAAGACTAATGGGGAGGTGGCAGCACTGCTGCTTCTGACTGGGTACAAGCTCCTAACATTAGGCAGGTGCATTTTTTTTTTAAAGATTTATTATTTTTATTAGAAAGGCGGATATACAGAGAGGAGAGACAGAGAGGAAGATTTTCCGTCCGATGATTCACTCCCCAAGTGAGTGCAACGGCCGATACTATGCCAAGCCAAAGCCAGGAGCCTCTTCTGGGTCTCCCACGTGGGTGCAGGGTCCCAAAGCTTTGGGCCGTTCTTGACTGCTTTCCTGGGCCACAGGCAGGAAGCTGGAAGGGAAGCGGGGCTGCTGGGATTAGAACCGGTGCCCATATGGGATTCCAGGAGTGCAAGGCAAGGACCTTAACCACTGTGCCACCGCGCCGGGCCCGGCAGGTGCATTCTTGAACACTGGGTAAAATTAAGGAAATTAAAGGCTCTCTGTGGTGTGTGTATGTGTGTGTGTGTGCTTTAGGGAATCTGCAGAAAAAAAAAAAACATGACAAGAAAATCAAATATTGAATCAGCCAAGATTAAAGGATTCTCACAGTAAATATGTCACGCGACTATCTTCCACCTTGCCTTTCCTTTCCTTCCTCATTTTCTACCTGTGAGTTTTGAGCTGGGCTGTATTTTCAGCCATTCCACATAATATCAGTTAACACTGAAGAAGGCGGGTGCCTCGAATTCTTATGGACCAAGCAGCCACTGCTGCTTGCTTGTTTCTCATCTCATAAGGATAGAGAACAGAACTGTCAACAGGTAACATCAAGGATCTTATTAGGTTGCATTTTTTCATTCAGCACAGCAAGAAAAAAATGCTTTACTTAGGCATCAAGAAATGTACTCCCTGGCGTGGGCATCTGGCACAGCAGCTAAGGCAACAGCCCGGAGCTGCTCGTCCTGCAGCAGTGCCTGCATTTGAGTTCTGACTCTGTCTCCAATCCCAGCTTCCTGCTAAGATGTGCACTGGCAGGCAGCACTGATGGTTCAAATGCTTGGGTCCCTGTTACCCACATGGATGGGAGACCCAGTTGGAGTTCTGGGTTCGGGTTGGCCTTACCCTGGTTCTTGCAGGCATTTGGAGAGACCGTGGACAAGAAATCTTTTAAATAAAATGAAAATAAGGGTGCTTTGGTGTTTCAGAAAGACATTATTTTAAAAGCACAATTATAAAGAGGAAAAAAGCGAGTAGGTAAGAGAAACAAACAAAAGCCTCCAAAATATGCAAAAGCAGGAATGGAAAGGAAAGGAATCTGTATAGAAAACAATCCCAAAGCTCACTGGAAAAAAAAAAAAAAGATTCTGAATGTTCAAAACAAAACCAGAGGGCTCAGTGCTGTGACATACTAGCTGAAGCAGCCACCTGCCCACTTGAGTGCCGGGTTCAAGTCCTGGCCATTCCACCTCTCATCCAACTCCGTGCCAATGGCCTGGGAAGGGCAGTGGAGGCTGGACCAAGTGCTGGGGTTGTTACTATTCTTGTAGGAGACCTGGATGAAGCTCCTGGCTCCTGGCTCCGGCCTTGGCCATTGCTGCCATTCAGGAAGTGAGCCAGTGGATGGAAAATCACTGTTACTCTTTTACATAAATACAATAAATCTTAAAAAAAAAAAAACCTGAGAGCCTCAAGGCAGGAAAGGATGGTGACTTTACTTTTGCAAATCACACAACATCTAATGTTTCAGTCTTTAAAGCTGTCATTCCATCTTTTCCCTTTTGCATAGTTCTTATTTTCTGTCCTGTAAGCCTAGGATGGACAGTAACACCTATTTATTTAACACTGTCTCTGAGCACAGGTCCACTAGATGCCAAGAGTCATCCTACAGAAGGCAAAGACAGACTCTGACTTACAGAGACATCCAGCACCTCTCCCACCCCTGCTGCCATGGCTTTTTGGCACGGTTTCTATGGGTTCAATGTTTCAGGTCCAAGACATAAGACATCTTAACAAGGTGTTACCCTGGCAGTATGTTGTGCCAGAGCTGCAGCTTTTTCACACACCACCTGGAGCTGAAAATTATCAGTTTCCCTTTGGGACTATGTTACCAATCTGCCGGCAAGATCCAGCAAAATAGTAGTTCTAGCTTTTTTGTATTGTTATTTCAAAACTTTAACTTACAGCTCTCACTTGTATAATTCATGAGCAAATCTTGTTCCAACTCCATCCTAACCTAGTCAATAGTGACTCATACTCCACCAGCAGGGAATATCAGGAAGAGCCTAGCCCTTTGGTGTGGGAATAGGCCTGCAAGCAATGTTCTATCTGGGAAGCCACCCAGACTACAGGATAATCCGAACAGCAGCAGCGAGACAGCACTTAAACCCCATGAGACTACAGGTGTAACTACGCAAGACTGCAGAAACAAGAACAAAATCCAACCACTTTAGAAACGGGTTGGTATGTCTGTGCACAAAAGACACTTTTGTAAAATCTAGAAATCCTGTGTGACGTGAAAATTAGAGAATATAAACTGAGGCTCTATTTTTAGCATGCTTGGTTTCAGCTTATTTCTAATTAGAGATTCAATTATAACAGCAGTAAAATATAACAGTAGAGTCTATTTTGGAAACATGCAATTTCACAAAAGTATACTCCACCCCGTCACAGCTCTGGGTGGAGAGGAAAGGAAAAAAAAAAAACCAATCCTCATGCCAGGAAAATAAGTATTTGCCAACTTTCCAAAGAGATCCTCTTTGAAAATCCAAGTTCCCAAGGAAAACTTTGTAATATTTTTCATATTCAAAGACCTGGAAATAGCCCATCTGACTACTGAGGTCCAAAGAGTGGTTTTAGTTTAGGATTCTGCTCTCCCTCTAAGAACTGGTGAATATAATTATGACTATGAAATAAAGGCAAAATTTCTACTCTCAAATTTTCTTTTTCATTTCGTTCTACAGACTCACTGATTGATTAAATACAGATTAGCCTGGGTAAACTGGAAACAGCTCTATGATCAGCCACATCACTAAAGACCACAACTGGAAGCTGACATGCTATGAGCCAGTCTCAGGAGGCCTTGCAGAACTGAGATGTTCCTACTCCATGGCAAGAAAATAAATGACTTCTCCAAGTTACTTCCTCCCTTGAAATTTTAGAAATAAAGTTTTTAAAACCCCATACTGGGAGGCAGAGACAGTGGCACAGAGGACCAAGACAGATCTCTCTCTCTCTCCTGTCTCTGCACTCCCCCCACCCCTCATGCCTCTGCTGTTCAAATAGGATAAACATTTTTAAAAGGTCATCCTAAATCAATA